TGACGCACTCTCTTTTAAATCGTCCAAACATTCTAATAACAATTCTCGATGTCGTTCACATTCTCGTAACCGGAGTAATCATCGCGACTCGCGTAATCGCTCAGCTTCTCGAAATCAGAAACCTAACTGTTGGTACCATCATAGATTTGGCGAAAAAGCCAACAAATGCATCGAACCTTGCTCTTATGTTTCCGGAAATAATAATAATAATAAAAACAACGCGAATTCTAAATCGGAAAACTAATAGCGCCCAGCCGTTCTGAGACAATCGGGAGTGGCGCATTTTCCAAGCGTCTCCACATTCGTGACCGTCGATCTGGTCTGTTATTTCTCATTGACACGGGTTCTGATGTATCTCTCGTTCCATCTCCGCCAAATGCTAAGCGTAAACCATCGGACGTCGTACTCTTTGCTGCTAACGATTCACGTATTGCTACCTATGGTGAGAGACGAATGACACTTGATCTTGGATTTAGACGTGAGTTTTCTTGGAATTTTTGTGTAGCTGCAGTTCCTGCTCCCATCATCGGTGCTGATCTGCTAGCACATTTTGGACTCACCGTCGATCTTGGTCATCGTCGCCTTCTCGACTCGCTCACTTCGTTGCATTCTAATATGTCGTTTCATGGCTCTTCTTCGTGCAGTGTTACATCGATTGATCGCTCATCTCCTTTCGCAGAGATCTTGTCCCATTACCCGGAAGTCACTGGAACTTCGCAGTCCACATCGTTGACCACACACAATGTATTCCATCATATTGTAACTGAGGGTCCACCCATGGCAGAACGCGCGCGTCGCCTCGCTCCGGATAAACTCAGGGCCGCGAAGACACAGTTCCAGTCATGGACTCAACAGGGCATTTGTCGTCCGTCCAGCGCTTCATGGGCTGCACCGATTTACCTGGCACCTAAGAAGGAAGGTCTGTGGCGAGTGTGTGGTGATTATCGTCGTTTGAACTCGGTCACTATTCCGGATCGATATCCAGTCCCTCATCTTCACAATTTTTCTAATTATCTTGCTGGAAGAACAGTTTTTTCTAAGATCAATTTACACATGGCCTACACCCAGATCCCCGTTGCTCCGGAGGATATTCCCAAGACCGCCGTAATTACACCTTTCGGCCTCTTTGAATTTTGCCGCATGATGTTTGGACTGCGTAATGCAGGCCAGACATTTCAGCGCTATATCTTCCGGGCACTCGGTGATCTGGATTTCGTTTTTGCCTACGTCGACGATTTGCTCACCGCTTCTTCCAATATGGCTGAGCACGAGCAACATATCGATACTGTTTTCAAAAGGTTGAAGGAATATGGTCTTCGTGCCAACATTGACAAGTGTAGTTTTGGTCAGAGTGAGTTGGAATTTTTGGGTCATACTGTAAATTCCGAGGGTATTCTTCCTACTCGCGAGAGAGTAGAGGCTATCACTTCGTATCCTCGTCCTAGGACGGTTCAGGAGTTACGTCGTTTCCTCGGATTGGTTAATTTCCATCGTCGTTGCATTCGTCAAGCTGCACAGATACTCTTACCATTGAATCAATACCTCGTAAATTCTAAGAAGAATGACAGGACTGAGGTCGTTTGGACTGATGAGGCCACCGCTGCTTTCGAGAAGATCAAGGAGAACATCGCAAATGCAACCTTGCTTATCCATCCCACGTCGGACGGTGAAACCCGGGTCGTAACCGACGCATCAGATTTTGGTATTGGCGCTGCCTTGGAGCAAAGGGTCTTTGACAAGGACTCTTCCGCTGACGTTTGGAAGCCATTAGCTTTTTTTCACGAAAGCTTACTCCTGCTCAACGTGCTTACAGCACTTATGATCGCGAGTTAACCGCGATTTTCGAGGCTGTTCGTCATTTTCGATATTTCCTCGAGGGTCGCGAATTTAAGATCGTCACCGATCATAAACCGCTAGTTTTGCATTTAAACAGCGATCGGAAAAGGCATCTCCACGTCAGCAGCGTCAGCTTTCCTTAATTTCACAATTCTCGACCAACATTGAATATCCCGCCGGAATTGACAACGTTGTTGCCGACGCATTGTCTCGCGTCGAATCCGTCGTCTTGCTTCCTGAAATCGGTTTGCATGAGTTCTCTTCGGCCCAGTCTGGTGATGACGATCTTCGAAAGGCGTTGCAATCCACTGACTGGTCGATTCGTATCAAAGAGTTATCCTGGGGTCCTGAGAACATCGTCGTTCATTGTGATTTCTCTGGCGCGGACTTACGTCCTTTTATTCCGTCCACACTCCGTGAGAAGATAATGAAACTCTTCCATCTTCCTTCGCATCCGAGTGCTCGCGTCATGAATCGCATGATAAGCAAGCGGTTTGTTTGGCCGGCGATGCATAGAGACATTTCCGCGTTTTGCAGGACTTACGTCGATTGCCAGAGGTCAAAGGTGTCTCGTCACACAATTCTCCAACCGGCGGATTTCGTTTTGCCTGAGTCCAGATTTAAGCATGTGCACATTGATCTCGTGGGTCCACTTCCTGATGATCTTGGATTTCGCTACTGCCTAACCATGATCGATCGTTTCTCCAGGTGGCCTGAGGCGGTGCCCTTGAAGAATATCGAGGCATCGACTGTCTGCAGGGCTTTTGTGGACAACTGGATATCCCGTTATGGAGTTCCTGACACCATCACCACTGACCAGGGCAGTCAGTTTGAATCGCGTGTATTTGCTTCGCTTCTTCATCTCTCTGGTACTCGTAGGATCCGGACCACCGCCTACCATCCCGCATCCAACGGGATGGTGGAGCGCTGGCACCGATCACTCAAGGCATCGATCATGTGTCATTCGGGCTCCAGATGGACGCAAATTCTTTCTACCGTTTTGTTGGGCCTTCGAACAGCTGTCGTGACTTGTGGGGCTTCTGCTGCTGAATACCTTTATGGTACTTCTTTGAACATTCCGGGGGAGTTCGTCCTTCCTAATGATCTTCCTTGTGATCCTCAAGCCTTCCTAACCGAGTTTAGAAGTCATATTCGTGAAGTAAAGCCTGTGCCTGCTGCTCATCATCACCGGCGCAAGGTGTTCGTATCTAAAGATTTGACCTCATGTTCACACGTTTTTATGCGTATCGGTAGATCGAGAAGGTCGCTCGAGCCTCCTTATTCTGGTCCACACAGGGTCGTCGATCGCACATCGACTCGCGTGTATAGAGTAGATATTAATGGCGTTATTAAACAGGTCTCTATTGAAAATCTAAAGCCCGCTTACATGGTTTGCGAACCAACTGAGTTGAATAATTTGGATATTCCATCCTCTATACCAATTCAGTCTCGCATTGGAGCTGATAGAGATTTGTCTAAATTAACTAAGACAGATTCTTGTGATATTCCTAGTCACGAAAAACGACCAGTCTTTGTCGAACCGCATACATGATAATTCGTCAAACATTTTAACACATGACAGTGCTGCGACTGTGCTTGCCTGTCCTGAAAATAAAAATAACTCGAACAAAAACAGTTTCTCGACTGATCACAGTTATTGTTCTAAAATACCAGAAATAAAGAAACCAAAAAGGTTTATTCCTAACATATTAAGAAAGAAACAAGTTCATTTTAACATTTAATTTTTCGACGAATCATCTGTACATTTTTTTTCTTTTTTAGTATAAGTAATGTTATTATCTTCGACAGTATTATATTCTAAGCTTTTTTTTGTTTTCACGTAAAAAGATTTACTACTACCGTGGATATATATATATATATATATACTATATAATATTTTTATATAATATCTTTACATCTTATATTTTACAATTTTTTTTTAATTTTATTTATTTAAATTTATATCATTGTCACTAAGGAGGGAGTATATGTGGGAACTAGCCTTAATAATTATGTATATTTTCACACATGTGTAAGAGACTTTAACCCACAGCCTCTTGGCGGCAAAAGAAAAGGAATATTTTAGTCGTGTGTAGAGAGTCACACTGAAAACATTGTTGTGTCATATTTGATCAGTCTCATGTAGCACGTAATATTACAGTAGAAGCGACTTGAAGGCCTTTCTCCAATGGGTTCCTAAAACTTTGCGTTGCGTCGGTTGCTATGGCAACATATGCTAAAATCAACGCAACGCAGTCATTCGCAGACAAACGCAGAGCTTTGGGAACCCATTGGAGAAAGGCCTTCAAGATTGCAACGCGTTCCGGGAGAGACGTACCTTGGAAGGTAAGAAGCACGGTAATAGAAGGTTCGTGTGAGACAGATGCCAAATCTGTCTCACGATTTTCCTGTTGAATCGCATAACATAAATTATTTTACAATCTTTCCCGCTTTGACCTAAAACTTCGGCATTCTCCAAAATCTCCTCGTTAGAGATGTCCAGACCCATTAAGAAGTAAGGAATTAATAAGAATTCGAAATGTTTAATTCTTTTGAATTCCGTTTGTGACCAATTCTTTTCATTTTCATTTGGAGAAGCCGAAAAGAAGCTAAGTTTATTCTTTTGAATACCGTTTTAATATTTTAAGCGGAAAAAAAATTTGACGGTTCGAAGATTTGAACCCTCAAGCTTCATTGTCGGAGACAAACAGCTTGTCCGCTCAGCTATTTAAACTGTACTATGACTACCGAATTTTAGAAGCACTTATCTCAAAGTGTTGCAAACTTCAAAGGAATTAAAAAATTACAAAATATTAAAACGGAATAGAAAGGAATTGAACTTACCGAGTATCAAACAGTATTTCGGAATTCACAAAAATTCAAAAATTAAAGAAATATTAAAACGGAATTGATTGGAATTCACTTTAAAGAAATCTTTGCCTCAAAAAGGAATACATAGGAATTGGACAGAAACGGAATTCAAAAAAATTGATAATTTAACATTTTTTGTAAAAAGTTAAAAATGTCCAATTCTTCTCAATTCCTTACTTCTTACTGGGGTACTAAAGAATAAACTTATATGTAATTTGCGCATGTGCACTATTCCTTTTAGCATAACTCATTTATTAAAAATAAATAATATAAAACATTCTTTCGATATTTATTTTTATTAAAACTATTTATTTACATATGTCAATGTTTATGAGTGTGGCAAGATTTCTGCTATTCCCCCATTGCATTAATTAGTAAAGTGCTGCCACCTCTGTGTCATTTAAGGAACCTGTTCGACTTGCTTTTTAAATTAACTTAAAAAATTATAATATTTGACAAGTCGTCGTGTGGTCGTCGCCTGTACAGCTTAAATTTAATTAATAACATTAAAATGAATTCTGAAATAGAAAAAAATACTTATAATCATGCTTTTGTTACATAAAGCACAATGTGCACCTCGGAGGCCAACATTTTGCGATACTCATCTTTAATTCGTTGGCTTCATCTCCCCTTGTATCGCAAAATTTCGCTCGGCGTTAAAAGACTTGTTTTGCCTTCTTGGGACACAATGCACTATTTTTGGTGAATTTTTTTTTAACGCCGATTAACAACAAAAATAAGTTTTTACCTATGAGTAAAGAGAAATAAAAAAATTTTTAATAATTCAATTTTTAATGGAATAACAGCAATTAATTTACAAAAAATCGAATTAATTTTAAAAACCCTAGACAGATGTTTTTCATTTTAGGCTAAAAGTATTCTAATTTCATGAGTGAACAAATATCTGTAAAAAAAACTTTTAATGGTAAGACTTTTGTGTTGAACTTTATCGAGATCCACGGTGAAATTGATCAAGCGACCATGACAGTAAGATATCAATAATAACCAAGAAAAGAACATTTTTTTTCTAGCCTAAAACGTCTACTTTTATGCATAAAATGTTGAAAGTAAAAACTAAATTTTGTTATTCAATAAAATGTTTTTAAAAAGTATCTGCGATAAGGTAATTTAGAAAATTTTTGAAATGGAGATTTTTTAAAACAATTTTTTAGTGTTTAGATAATACAATAATTTCTATTAATCAGCGAGAAAGAACAATATTGTTTGTTGTTTAAAAGTGTTTAATAAAAGAAACAAATATTCTGTAGCCTTTTCTTAACTAAAAATAAACTGATAGCAATGTCGATCTTCACTTACTTTTACTTGAAATTTTATTAGCAAATATTTAAAACAACGAAATCCTGTGGAATACACCCAGATATTTATTATTATCATCACAAAAAAGCCTTAGATCGATGTGAACTTTTATTAATATAAACTAGAGGATATTGTAATCATTCTCACTCAACAATTTCAAAATTAGCGTTATCCGTGTAACGCCCTTTATGCACCCAATGCTTCAATTCATACATAAATATATATTTTTATATATTTATAAACTGTAAAAAATAATTATAGCTTCGTTTCGTGTTTTATTTTTGTTCTATGCGATTGATTTGCTCGTTGAATATTGTACATATTCGTATAAGAACCTGATGAACTTTCAGGATTTGAATTCACCATATTTGTCGTTTTATTATTCTGAAATGAAAACTGGTTGGACGGCACTTTTTCAATATGATTCTGAACATTTTGTGTTCGTTTGTGAATATCAGAATCTGTTTCATTTTCGTTGTCTGCGCTATCTACATCACCTGAAATAAAATAAATTACAAATCAGTTTCTTTGTTATAAAATAAAAATTAAAGGATATTTACTGTGAAATATTTTTTAATTCTTCTAGTATTTAATATAGCAAGTATTATTATTATGCATAATAATGTGAAAATAAATTCACTTACCATCTGAACTATTCGTCGATGGTAAATAAAAACGTGAGGAGAGCATTTTAGTACATCCTCGACGTCCTTTCATGACATGATTGGAATTATTGTACTTAAATTCTCGAGGTAACGTATAACTTCTAGGCAATGAAACTTGGCTACCTTCCATATCACTGACTTCGCCATCTCTGTCTCCTTCTGCTTTAGAACTTTGATCATCATCGTCGTCCTCGTCGTGTCCATTGTGCAACCTATTTTAAAACAATTCATAAAAAACTTAAAATTCAGAGGAATATACATGGACATGAAATTTCATAAAGACAATAGTTTTTGTTGATAATTTTTGGACTTTTATTTACGATTGAACGCCTTAATGCAAGAACCAGTTGAATTTGAAATAAAGATTTCAGGTAATATGCTTTTCAGTAATATGTAATATTTTCTTTTAAATGTACCTATATTCTAAGTCATAACAAATTTATTACCAAATACCTACATAATACAGACTTCGCACTGGATAATTAATTTTAAAAAAGTAGCTTTCAAACTAAAAAAAGTAGTAAAACAGTAGCTATCGAAAAATTAAACTTGACGACCAAAAAACTCGTTTTAGACACCTCACAAAACTGACAAAAATTCCATTCTATATTTTATTTTCCTGACTTTTACCTAATTTTCATCAAATAAATTTACTTCTTTCTTATCCTGCTAATAATTTGAATTCCTACAAACGAATTTTATAATTCATGAAAGAATTTAAATATTTATAAAAATAATTGAATTCTTGTGAAGAATTTTATTCAAATTTTTAAATAAATGACTTCTCTCGACTAATTTTAAGCAAATTCTAATTTAAATAATTGAATTCCTGAAAAATTGAAATTGAATTCTGTTTGGAAATTTTATGTTATAATAGAAGATATTAAAAATCATTGAATTGCAAAAAGTTTTTAAAAATAATTTAATTTTACAAAGAATTCAACTAAAATTTTTGACAATGGTTGAATTCTTGCGAAAGAATTTTTTTAAATAATTGAATTTTCAAAAAGAAATTTATTACTTTTAAAAATAATTGAATTCTTGTGATGAATATTGCTATTTATGAAAATAATTGAATTTTGCAAAGAAATTTTATTAAAATGCCTCAAAATAATTGAATTTTCAGCAATAATTTTTTTTATTTATCAACATAATTGAATTCTTTGGAAGAATTATTTATGTAAATAATAGAATTCTTGGGAAGAATTTCAATAAAATCTAAAAAAATAATTGAATTATTTCAAAAAAATGTAATTAAAATTGTATTTAAACTAATTGATTTCTTTAGAACAATTTTATTAAAATATTTGAAAATAATTGAATTCCTTTAAAAAATTCAAATATTTTTATAAATAATTGAATTCTTCCAAAGAATTAAAAAAACATTTTTTTAAATAATTGACTCATGAAAATAATTGAATAGTTGGTAAGAATTTTATTAAAATTTTCAAAAATAATTGAATTCCTGAGAAGAATTTTATTATTTATGAAAATAATTGAATTATTGCAAAAAATGTTTAAAAAGAATTGAATTTCTGTGAAAAATTTTGTTATATTTGAAAATAATTGAATTCTTCATAAGAATTTTATAAACATTGTTTAAATAATTAATTTTTTCGAAATATAATAAATATTATGAAAATTTTATTATGAATAATCAGGGTGGCCGCAAGATTGACTTTATCAATTTCCCTGACATTTTACTGACATAACAACGAATTTCCCTGACAAAAATTTTTTTGTTTAGAGCAAAAAATGTATTGCATGACTGTCTTAATTTCTTTAATTGCCCTGACAAAAAAATTTTTCCTGACATTTCCCTGACTTTACTGACAAAAAATTTTTTTCCTGACATTTCCCTGACTTTACTGACAAAATATTTTTTTCCCTGACATTTCCCTGACTTTACTGACATGTGGCCACCCTGATAATTGAATTCTTGTGTAAAACTTTATTTGTGAAAATAATTTAATTTTTCGATTAATTAATTTTAAATAGTATTAAAAATAATTGAAATTCTTCTATGAGTTTTATTATTTATGAAAATAATTGAATTCTTGCTTAGAATTTTATCAAACCTTTTTTTAAAAATTGAGTTTCCCTGAAAAATATTATTAGTGAAAGTATTTGAATTATTGTAAAGAATTGTATACAAATTTTGTTAAATATTTTATTTTTTCGAAATTTTTTTGAAAATAATGCTATTTTAAATTAATTGAATCCCATTGGAAATTTTATTATTTATAAAAATAATTCAATTTTATAATTTTTTTTTCAAATAATTGAATTCTTTAGCGAAATTTTATGAAAATACTTGAATTCTTGCGAAGCATTTTACTATGTATAATAAATAATTAAATTGTTCCGAAGAATTTATTAAAATTTTAGAAAATAAATTAATTTTATGTTAATATTTGAATATTTAAATTCTTTCGAGGAATTCTATTAAAATTGTTTTGAAAAGAATTGAATTTCTGCAAAGGATTTTACTACACTGAGAGACCTTTGGTACTGTAGCGGAACAACGTATGTGACAGCAGCTCCACTATGGTTATGGTGCGCTGCGGTAAAATCTTGGGCGCGTGACAGTCCCAAATGTTGGTGAGCAGCTGACCGAAGTAGTGGGAATGCCGCCTTTGGTTTGCAGCTGAACAACTTTGGGACTGTCACGCGCCCAAGATTTTACCGCAGCAACCCAAAAGTATAGTCCTGTAGCGTTCCTTCAAAATGGTCAGTAGCAGCCTATCGAAAGTCTGCTGCTGACCCAAAGGTCTCTCAGTGTATTTATGAGAATAATTGAAATGTTTCGAAGAATTTATTAAAATTTTAAGAAATAATTAAATTGTTATGAAGAATTTTATAGAAATATTTAAAAATAATGGAATTTTTTCGAGAAATTCAATTAAAGTTGTTTCGAAAATAATTGAATTTCTTTAAATAATTTTATTAAAATTAAGTATATTCAAAATAATTGAATTCATCACAAGAATTTTATTATTGAAAGTAATTTAATTTTTATATAGAATTTTTTAAAAACATTTTGAGAATAATTGAATTATTTTTAGAGAATTTTAAATTTTCGTTGAAATTGAATTTTATGAAATTTTTTAAAAATAATTAAATTCTTTCGTGTAATTTTATTTAAATTGGATTAAAAATGATTTAATTCTTGCAAAGAATTTTAGTATTTATAAAAATAGTTGAATTGTTTCGAAGAATTTATTAAAATTTTAGGAAATAATTGAATTCTTTCGTAAAATTTTATTAAAATTTTTAAAATATGAACAGTAATAACTAATTTTGTACTTAATAAGTGAATTTTTTAAATTTTGATTATGAAATTATTTAAAAAATTTATATTTGAAAATAAAAAATTTTGTAATTTGCATAACAATAATAAAGTGAATATCACGTTCCGCGCACTAGTTTTTTTTATAGTTTTTTAACTTCTAGTATTAGCGAATTAAAAGTATAGTGGAAATTCTAAAAAAACAGAAATAGTAGTTTTTAGAGGCTGAAATCTAAAAAAAGTACCCAAATAGTATCATAACGTAAAAAAAGTAGTAAATAGTAGGTTTTAGTAGATGAGTGCGAAGCCTGTACTTGATTATTTACTAAATATTCACATAGAGCGAGATAAGAAACTTTTTGACATCCAGAAGTCTTACCTGTGCGTAGAATTTCCTGACGATGTCCAGTGGGTATAATGATGAGGAAGACAACGTGGTGCTAAAAGGATCTCGGGAGTTTCTGCTCTGTCCTTTTGCGGTTCTTTCCAGTGAGTCGAGGAATATGAAGTAGGATGATAAGGCGATGACGGAGGTGGAGGTAGGAGACAATGCATTTTAATTGGAGGCCAGGAAGACATGACATTTTGATCGGACAATGTCGGCACTGACGTCATCAATGGAGAACTGGGAGATGTGTGTAACTTTGTATTTGGTGGCGGTTGTTGATTCGATGCTGATGGCGACGATGAGAAAGAAGATGTTGAAGCTGAAGGAGGCGGAACCAATTTTCCCTGTTTGATTTCTTCCTGAATAGCCCTTAATTCACGAAGTTGCTGCTGCTTCTTTTCTCGCAATTTTTCATGAATTAAATTCACGCTTAGCGAACCACTTATACCAACATCCGCTTCATGTCTTTCTCCAGATGAATCTTCGTCCTGTGTTGTAAAACGAAATCAAATAAATTTTTCAATAATTTCAATCTTTTTTAAATAAATATTTAGTCATTATAATTTTTCCATAAGAACTAAGATTATCAAAAATTTCAAATTAAGCAACTTTTGAAATTAAGCCTTTTGAAATTAAGCAACTTATAAAAAATTGTTATAAAACATGAAGAAATCGATGGCTCCGAGTATTCAACTCGGAGCAATCAATATCTTCATGTTTTATAATAATTAAAAATGACCGACTGATAAAATCATTATTTTGTATTATAAGAATATTGTTACTGTAACTTATTCAAAATTACTTTCATCACTTCAATTCAATTATTCTTTTCCAGAATTTTTAACTAAAATTCTTCTTTAAATTAATTTTTTTTAATAATTTTTGAAAAATTTCTTTGAAAATTTTCAAATCCTTTTGTCTTTACAATTCAATTTTACGAAATTTCTTTGATTATTAGGGAATTCTTCAATCAAATATACATTAGAAAATAAAAACTTCAAATAACTTAAAAAAAATTCAATTAAACTTTTTCAAAAAAAATTAAATCTACACAATTTTCAGTTAAAATAGTTTGAAAAATTGAAACTCAAAGATTTCAATTTGAAACCTTTTCAAAATTCAATTATTTCTAAATATTCACGCTATAATACTTTCTCTCTAAGTTTGAATTAGTAAAAATGTTTACTAATTGGAATTAGTAACAGACTTTTTGCTTTTGAATTAGTAAATTAATATTACTATTAAATTAGTAGAAACGACTATTTGTGGACGTCCGCATGAAAAGGGACCACTTTGTCGGTTCTAGATTCCGAGATATTCGCAATTTACTAATTTTGAAGAAAAATATCGAAATTTTTTTTATCTTTTTTTCTTAATCTACAGTGTCTACCACGTCGATTCATGCAGTTTTTATTAATTTATTGACACTCTAAGTATTTTATTTCGTTGTTAGAAAAAAAAATGAAAAGGGACCACTTTGTCGAAAATCTGTTATTTTTTCATTGTTTCAAAACGAAGGGAGGGAAAAATTCGAAACCTATTGATTTTCAATCTTAAGGGTGTACTAGACTTAAAACAACTCTTATCTGAATAACTTCCCAGAAGAGCCGCAGAAATTCGCGTTACAATTTTTAATTTCGTGTTTTTGGAAAAGGAATTTTTAATTTTTTTTAAGATTTTTTATAATAAAGTCGCTTAAAAAATTTTTTTAGGCTACTTTTCTTTTCTTTGCTTGAAATAACTTTAAAAAATAACACCGAACCTTTACATTCGTTAAATATTTCACTTTATTAATTAATAACCGTATTTTTAGAAAAGGGACGACTTTGTCGGAGATCCATTATTTTGTCATTGTTAAAAAATGAGGGGGAGGGGGGAATTCGAAACCTATTGATTTTCAATCTTAAGGGTGTACTAGACTTAAAACAACTCTTATCTGAATAACTTCCCAGAAGATCCACAGATATTCATATTACAATCTTTGATTTCGTTTTTCTCGAAATGACGTATTTGATACTCCAAACTTTAAAATTCTGTAACTCATCGAATTTTTCACCAAAAAGGTTGTAAGACCACTCAAAATTTTCCAAATTTTGTCAGGAATTCGCCCATATAGATAAGTCCAATAGTGCCAAAGTGGTCCCTTTTCATGCGGACGTCCACATTTATTAGTAAAATCTGATAATTCAAAAGCAAAAAGTCAGTCACTAATTCAAATTAGAAAACATTTTTATACTAATTAAAATTTAGAGTTTATTATTCAATTATTAACTAAAATTTTAACTGAAATTCATATTTAAATCAATTATTATTAGAAAATTCTACGAGAATTTAATTATTTAAATACAAAAATCAATAATTTATTGAAGAATTGAATGTTTTTTAAAATTGAACTCTCATTTAAAGAATTTTATCAACAAATTTTTAAATAGATAATTAGAATTCTTTTGACGAATTTTTAATAACATTTTTAAGAATAATTTCATTTTTCGAGAAATTAGATTAAAATTGTATTAAAAATAATTGAATCTCTGTAAAAAATTTGATTTAACCCTTTAACGCCCAGCGGTTTCGATCGAAACCACTTTTGATTTCTAAAATCTATAACTTTGACAAAAATTAAGATATTTTTGATTTCTAAACGCTCACGACCCACAAATTTATAAACCTTTATGAAAAAAATTTACATTTTAAAAAATAATTAACAATTTTGTAATTACAACAATAATAACAAAAAAATATTTGTTGCAAAATTTGCAACAAAATTAAAAATTCGAAAATAAACGGAAACAAAGCTACTGAAAATTGTTACTCGGAGGTTTTCGAGGTCGCTGATTACGAATTTGATGCCAGATTTTAAAAATTCAAAATGGCGGATCCAATATGGCGGACATCTTTTATAAAAATTGATTCAATTTGCCTGAAAATTGTTACTCGGGGGTTTTCGGGCTCGCTGATTACGATTTTAATTTTTTAAAATGTTAAATAGCGGTTTCAATTTAGTGTATAAAATGTCTAAATAAAAACGAGATCAGAATAAAATGTTCGTCTACCTTCGTGACAATGTGAAAAACAAATGCCTAACGCAAAGACGAAATCAATCTAAAATGCTTGACTATATTTGTGAAAATCGGAAAACAAAAGCCTAACATGAGAACGCGATCCGAATAAAATATGAATCTACATTTGTGACAATGCGATAAACAAATGCCTTATGAGAAAACGATGTCAAATTAAATGTTCGTTTACATTCGTGACTATAGAAAAATAATTGCCTAACATAGACTCTAACATTGGATTAGTAAACAGCGGCCCTGAAAACCCCCTACTAACAATTTTTAGGCAAATTGAATCAATTATTAGAAAAGATGTCCGCCATATTGGATCCGCCATTTTGAATTTTTAAAATCTGACATCAAATTCGTAATCAACGACTCCGAAAATCCCCGAGTAACAATTTCCAAACAAATTGAATCCGTTTTTAGAAAATATGTCCGCCATATTGGATCCGCCATTTTGAATTTTTAAAGTTTGACCTCAAATTCGTATTCAGCGACCCCGAAAACCCTCGAGTAACAATTTTCAAGCAAATTGAATCAGTTTTTAGAAAAGATGTCCGCCATATTGGATCCGCCATTTTGAATTTTGAAAAAAGGACATCGGATTCGTAATTAGCGCTCCCAAAAACCCCCGAGTAACAATTTTCAGGCAAATTGAATTAATTTTTAGAAAAGATGGTCGCCATATTGGATCCGCCATTTTGAATTTTTAAAATCTGACATTTTTGAAAATAATTGAATTTCAGAGAAAAATTTTATTATTTATAAAGATAATTGGAATTTTGAAGAGAATTTTTTTAAACTTTTGACCATAATTGAATTTCAGCGAAGAATTTTATTACTTTTGAAAATAATTGAATTCTTGAGACGAATTTTAATATTTCTTTTCAAATAATTAAATTCTTCTGTGAAATTTTATTGAAATATTAGATATTGAAAATAATTGAATTTTGATAAATTATTGAAATGAATTAAATTCCTATGTAGAATTTTATTAAAATTATTTTGAAAAAAAATTGTATTTTTAAAAAGAATTTCATTAAAATTTTTGAAAATAATTTAATTAAAAATGTATTGACAATAATACTTGAATTCTAATAAATAAATAAATTATAGGATGGCTTTTTAAAATAATTGAATTTCTTTGATGAATTTTAATAACATTTTTAAGAATAATTACAGTTATTTCGAGAAATTCCATTAAAATTGTATTAAAAATAATTTAAATTCTGCAATGAGTTTTATTATTTATGAAAATAATTGAATCTCTGTAAAAAATTTGATTATTATTTATGAAAATAAATGAATGATTGCAAAGAAATTTATAAAGAATTTGTAAATAATAGAATTCCTGTGAAGTTTGTATTATTTAATTAATTCATTTAAAATTGAAATTTTGCAAAACCTTTTGAAGTTTATCTATTTATGAAAATTGTAAATGCGACTCTTTTAAAATTGAATTAATTTTGAAATGTCTAAGAAAAACTGGATTTCAAGAATAAGCACAATAACTTTAGAAAACAATTATTTTTTAGGATTCCTATCAAAATTCCCTGACTTTTCCAAGTTTTTTAAAGGTTTCTAAAATTCTCTGATATTTCCAGGTTTTCCAGGTTGCGTGCCAACCCTGTTTATTATTATCATTATTATTAAAATGAAAAAAAAGTCGAAAATGAAAATATTACGTGAACCATGCTGGAGCGTGAAAGAGGTCTTTTCCAAAATGGAATTAATTGTCGTGCACTTCCATTGCTATTTATCCATTGTTTATTTTCACCTCCTGATGCTAAAGGCAAATTGTTCTGTTGATGTTGCGATGGAGGAGGAACAAACGAAGTTGGTTTCTTCTTTTTTCGATTTGCATTTGTCACAGTGGGATTTGCAAAACGGCAATTAAATACTCCCGGAATTCCACCATTGCTACATTTCACTCCTCGTATACCATTATTGATGTTCATTTTTTTATCATCAATATAATTCATATGTTTTGCATCAGAAATATTCTAAAAAACAATTCGTAATTATTATAAAATTAGAAAAAGTTATAACTAATAACACGTTAATTTAAATTCTATATTTAACAAACCTGATTATTTAATGTTGTTACAATATTTGTGCTATTCATTCTTCCACCCGCTTCGTATCTCAAACGTCTTACGTGAAAAAATCTAAACGTAAAGAAAATTAAAAAATACTTCAAATTGTGTTTTAATTTCTTTATTTATGGAAACTCGTGATTAAAAAACTGTAAATAATGAAATTACCTGTAATAGAGACCCATGAAGCATATACCTCCAAAAAATAGAGCCAACAGGGTGAGAATAAGTACAGTTGGACGAGGACGGTGATCAAGATGAATATCAGTTCTGTTGACACCGACTGCCCAAACGCCAATGAGTAAACTATTCTCAAGGAACATCACAGTGTAGAAAATAACCTGTTGAATACAATGCCTCATTAAAATTAAAAACAAAATTGTCATTGTAATTGTATTTTCTAGAATTTTTAACTAACATTCTTCTTTAAATCAATTATTTACAATAATTTTTTTAAAAATTTTAAGAATTTTCAAATGTCTTTGTTTACAATTCAATTTTACGAAATTTCATCGATTATTCTGAAATTCTTCAATTGAATATTTTAAAATAAAAACTTCAAATAATTTCCATTTAACTTTTTGAAAAAAATTAATTCTACAGAATTGTTAGTTAAAAATATGAAAAATTCAGATTTTCAAAGATTTCAATTTTGAAAGTTTTTCAAAATTCAATTATTTCTATTTCACGCTACAATGCTTTTAATATTCAATTATGTAAAATTTTAATTGGAATTCACTTTTAAATCAATTTCTATTAGAAAATTCTATGAGAATTCAATTATTTAAATACAAAAATAAATAATTTATATTGAATAATTGAATGTTTCTCAATATTAATTTCTCATAAAGAATTTTATCAACAAATTTTTAAGTAATTAAATTCTTTCGGTGACTTTAAATAAAATTTTTAAAAACAATTACATTTTTCGAGATATTTGATTAAAATTGTACTAAAAATAATTGAAATTCTGCGATGAGTTTTATTATATGAAAATAATTGAATTATTGTGAAGAAATTTTTAAAAAATTTGCAAATAATTGAATTTCTGTGAAATTATTTTATTATTTTATGAAAATAATTAAATGTTTACGTAGAATTTTATCAAATTTTTTTTAAATAATTGAATTCTTTTGGGAAATTTAATTAAAATACCTAATAAATAGGTATTAAACAAGTTGTTCATTTCATGATCATTAAGCTTCCTCAATATAATATATACCAATCGTTTAATTTTTTATTTTAGAATAATTATTTTAAAGTGTTAAGATAAAATTTCAAAAAATACAAAATTTCAATTTTTTGTGAAAAATTAAAATATTTATTAATTCTATAAATTTGAATAAAATATATACTTTATATACATGAATCAATTCGTTTTTATGTCAGGAATGCAATTTTGCCAAGAATCAATAAAAATTTTAATATAGAAAAAAGTTATTTCAAAAAATCCAAAAATTATTTTTTTTTGAAAATTTTTGAAAATAATTGATTTTTCGAGAAGAACTTTATTATTTTTAAAGATAATTGAAATTTTGACGAGAATTTTTTAAAATTTTTGCAAATAATTGAAATTTTGCCAAGAGTTTTATACAAATTTTTGAAAATAATTGAATTTCGAAAAAGAATTTTATTGTTTATAAAGAGAATTGAAATTTGGACGAGAAATTCTTAAAATTTTAGAATATGTATAATTGAATTTCTGCGAAGAATTTTATGACTTTCGAAAATAATTGAATTTTTGCAATCATTTGAAACTTCTCCAAAATTCAAATTTTTTAGTGTTTTTAACTAAAATTCCTCGTTAATTTCTTTATTTTTAATTTTTAATAATTAATTAAATATATATATTAAAAAATTTAACTAATTTCATAATAATTTAAATTTTGAAAGTTTTTGCAAACATTTAAGTTCTTTAGAATTTTTAATAAAATTTCATTCAAAATTGAAATTTTATAAAATTTGAAATTAAAATGTTTTGAAGTTCATCTATTTATGAAAATTGTAAACACAACTCTTTTAAAATTCAATTAATTTTGAAATGTATAAATAAAATTATTCATTGAATAATTTCTAAGTTATAATTTTATGATAATTTTTCAAGAATTAAGTTATTTAAAAAGAAATTATTGTCAGAAATAGAAAAAATTGAAGGTTTTGTATTAGAACTTTTGTTTCTCTAGAAAAAACTATTAATAATAATATTTTAATTATTTTTCTAAAGATCTGCATTCTGTGGAATGAACGACGTTATAATTTATAAAATTCTTTACGTTATATTATTTAAATCATTAATATAAAAAAAAATGTTTATATTATGTTGGTGTTAATAATCTAAATAAAAAAAACGCACTGAATTCTATAACATTGAGTCTAAATTTTATGATTACAGTTTGAAAAAGATTTCAAAAAAAGAAAAATTTGTTTATTTTTGAATGAAAAAAGGGTACAAATCAGTAAAAAAAAAGGGGGAAAAAGGTGACAAATAGTCAAAAAAAAGGTGATAAAATTGAAATAAGGGGACAAAAGGGGACCAACTGTGATGCCTTCTTAAATAATACTTTAAGGCCAAAAAATAATATACAATTGGTCCTGGTGTGAGAAAAAATTATTAAATGATTTTAATATCGATTTTGTTGAAGATTTATGAGGGGCCACAGAATTGAAATAAAAAATTTCGCTTGAAACGTAAAAATTGCATTCACTACTAATTTATACAATTATGATTTTATTAGAGTTGCTTAAAGAAAACGTACCATTTTCTGACGATGATTGATTTCATGTAGATTTACATAAACAAATATGTAAACGAATGCAAGAAGTGAGGCTAAAAATGTTTTACGAAAAATTGGAAGGCGCTCGCCACTATGAAAAAGTCCATCAGGCGTGAGCATTAGCCAAGTCAACATTGAAAGCCAGTGGAGGGCCATTACAATTATAAGCCACTGACCACCATACAGAGAGGCGTATGCTATTAAAGCACCAACTCGTGCACTCACAGTTCCCAATCGCCAGAATAATTGGGCCAATACACCAAGCCATGTAAGCACCAAACGCTCTAAATTTCTCAAGCGTGCTGCTCCTTTACTGAAACTTGCGACTGCCCAGCACACACTCCACAGTGACAATCCTGCCGAAACGGTTGTGAGTTTTTCCAATTTTGCATCATCTCTTGCCGTCTCGATTTTGCCAATTCCATGATCGAGCTCGATTTCTCTCTCGATTCCAACTGACAGTAAGTATGATTGCAATAGTAACATTGGAGCTGCTTCGCAAAATGCGTGTATCAAACGTAAAACACACAATTCTCTCACCTGTAAATAAAGTTTAACTTTTGTTCCAATCGTTTAAGGGATTCTTTCTTAAGGTATTTGTCGCGCGACTGGTCACTGTCAAAAGTTTGTATCCGTTGACTGTACTTATGAAACGATTATGAATGCGAGTTTCCGAAAAACTTTTGCCGACGTACAGTTTGACACACAGATGTTCTCAAAGTATATTCATAACCTCTCGCATGCAAAAACGATCGTGGCAACGTCGCAAGTTTGGCGTATGGCCGTCTTTAAAATTTCGCGCCAAAAGTAGCAGACAAGCTGTAGTATTTAACAAGCGCTATTGCCACGTTTACGAATTCACCTGTCATTTACAGTAATTGTTAAAATAATTTTTCAAGTTTGATGTTAAATATCTTTTAAACAAGACGGTGAAAAATTTTCATTTTTTTTATAAAAGTTCATTTTGGTTCAATAAATAAAACTTTAGTTTTTCTAAAAAATCTGTCGATTAGTATTAGTGCAAAAATTAAAAATCTGTGGTTTTCATATGGTTTTCCTATACCGTACATGTTAAAAATCGAAACTTTGATTTCATTTTTTGAGACTTAAAGACGGTCAATTTTATTTTAATAGGCCTTATTTTGTAGATAAATATCCAAAGAATAATTATGTGAAATTTAAAAAAATTCTGTCGAAAACGAATTTACGCGACAAATACCTTAATAGTAATAATAATAAAATAACTGACCCGACATTGAATTATATAATTATAGAGGTCATTTTTGAAAATGCACTTTTACAAAACATTGATATAAAGTAAAGTTTATACCTCATGTTTAACATGGCTTAAATCAACAGGAATAAACAGCTTAAAGTAACGCCAGAGAACACCAGCTTGTGTTGAGTGAAGTAGCAAGACCCACCCCATTGTCCAATTACCAGTCTTCTTTTCATTATTTAAATCACAGTTAGGAGTTGTCACGTTGTTATTTAATTTACCTCTTGCACCCCAGAGGTACCATCGTATACTGATCACCTAAGAAAAGTTAAATTTAATTAATTTTTTTCATTTTTTATTCATTTTTTCATGAGAATAAAAAAATGTTTTTGTCTCATTTAAAGCCACCCTGGAGAAAAACAGCTTTTCTTCACTGAGAGAAGAAAAGCACAGATTCTGAAATGGAAAAGTTCAGCATCTGTACTCCAATTGAACGCAGCAGCATTGCCACTGTGTGATAGGTGTCGTGCTAAAATGTGAAACGGATTTTGACTTTGGCTTGAGGTACAGATGTTGTACTTCAAATGCTACTGTTTAGAAGTACAGTATCTGTCGGTCACTATGAAACAGATCCTGTACTAATTAGTTCGTACCGCCGCCGCGCTGCTTGAGCATAGTATCTGAACTATGAATGACACCAACTGAATAAAATTAAGAACGGGCACTGACACGCATTTTACACGGCCGGTGTTTGTCACAGTACGGATTCTGTGCTTTTCTTCTCTCAGTGAATTGCTTTTCAACATTCTCTACACAGAAAAAACGATAATCTAATTTTAAGAAGCTCCTACTTAAATAGGAGCCAAGAATATTCCCCACTTAAATTAAGTGGGACCACTGAATTTAAGTGGAAAATATTCTTAACTCCTATTTAATTAAATAATTAATTATTTATAAATATAATAAATGATTTATAAATTAAAATAACACACTGGGCACACAGCGTTCCCCAGACTTGAGGTTTTCAAAAGTGAGAAGTCTTTTATATGCTCTCTGGGGAATACTGCGCACCCCAGAAAAGTATGTAGCAGAAGAAATAATTAAAGAAAATATTTTCCACTTATAAAGAATTATAGAATCGAAATAGTTAAGAAAATAAGAATGAATGTACCAACCTGTGATAGTAAAAGGGAGGTCACAACGAGGGAGATGCTTAATGGAAAGAGTGCTGCTGGTGCTGAAGGATGATGAGCGAGAGCATATCCCATAGCAAGATCGAACACGACATCGCAAAAGTATGAAGCTAATGAAATTATGTTGAACAAGACGTCGCATAATGGCAAAAATTCGTATTGGCGGTTTTGCTGCCGATGCTGGGCCATAATGGGCTTCCGTCGTCCATTTGGATTCCCAGCAGTTTCTTTCTACTTTATGGGCTGACAATGAAGCATTTTCTGAAATTTTTCATTAATAAATACTTTAAATCAAAATTCCAATAATTTATTTTATAATTTTACTCATTGAACTAGAAAAACAAAATATTACATTTTATTATAAAAAGCATTTCACAACTTGTGAAAGAAAATGTAAAATAGCGAATTTTTTATATAAAAAATAGTAAACTTCAAAAAAAATTATATAATAATATAATAATTAAGTAACCCTGGTTAAAAAAACCGGGAAGATTTCGGACTGATCCGAAATTTGTCCGAAACAGTGCGTTTTATGATCAGGTTTTTGTCACCCAATATTAATACGGATAAATCCGAACTTTATACGGTTTGTGAATAACTAGTGTATACAATGTTTGATGTTAGTCCAATAAAGTTCGAAACGGTATTTATCCGAAACAGAGCGGTTTATTATCAGGTTTTTGTATCCGGAATTAGTCCGAAACAGTCAAACATTATATTCTAGCCAATTTAGTGAATGTTAATAAAAAAAAAATTATACAAGTTAGACATATTATAATTACTAATTACTTTAGGGTACATTCAACATATTTTTCGATTTACCTATCGCAATTTTATTTAGATTAACTTAAAATTTCTAACGCTTGGGGATTCGAACCTACACCTATCTAACATTATAACGCACCGAAATCGAAGACACTTACCACTATACCACGCTCGCATGGAAGTTCAAATTCATAATAGAATTTATCAAGTGCCACGAAAAAAATTACAAAAAACTAACACATCAGTGTTAATTATAATATTGAAACAAGAACTATAATAATACTAGTAAATTTATAAAAACAAATTGACTGCAGAAGTAAATATATTTTATTTATCATAAGTAAATACCTTGAATAAAAAGTCGGACCGATTTCGGACTAACCCGGAATTTGTCCGCAACAGTACGGTTTATTGTGGAGTTTTTTCACCCTGAATTAAGTTTGAAATCAATACAGTTTTTTATAACTATTGAATACATAATTACTCCGGTTTAGTCCGAAGTAAAACAGATCATATGCAACTATAGTAAATGCAGAAGTAATCCGGTTGGTTTAACCAGTGAATCCGCAGCTAATCCAAAACAGTCTGCTTATGGTCAGGTTTTTGTCACTCAGAATTAGTCCGGATAAATCCAAACTCAATACGGTTTGTGTATAACCAATGAATTCGAAATTAGTTCGAAGTTAGTCTGACATTACGTAACTTGCAAATGTGAAATTAGTCCGATTAAGTCCGGAATTAATCTGGTTATGGTTAGGTTTTTGTCATACGAAATTATAATTATAGTTTGAATTTATCTGAATTTAACACAAATTGATTTTTAATATGGATTGTTTTTGACTGTCTGTGGATTGTATTTATTTACAAATTCCATATTTTTATAACACTTATTTTCGGACTGGGGTGTTTTGATCGAATATTATTCGGATTGCAGCTGACTATTCCCATAGTGAGAAATAAAAGGTGTAACCGACCTCTATTCGACGTCTAAAAAGTTGAGAGGAGATCTAGGTCTAGATTTGGTCTACAAATGTTAAATGTAGATGTCAAAGTTGTTTGACTTCAAAGATATTTATATTTGTCATTCAGCCGTTTAGTATAATTTTACACACATTTTGTAATATTTAATATTTTCTAAATTTTTTCAAGTAAGCGAAACAAAGAAAATTGTTGGATCAGTATTGATTACGCTTATACGAATGTCCGAAATTTTTGCAGGAAATGATCCAATCGTGTACTATAGTGCCAGTCTAACAGACGTATTTGCAATTACTTAGATATCGAATAGGTTGTCTAAATCGTCCATTGTACTTCTCATTTCTTGATGGTGCGCACCAGCAAGAATTAAGTTTTCTATTCGAAGTCCTAGACATCGATTAGACATCTCTACTTAGCATCTAAGATGTCGAATAGACCACACTGAGAAAACTGGAGAGTCAAATTCAGAGGTTCAAAAAGTGTATGTTTCCTTTGCTTATGAAGAGAGTTAAATAGTCCTTCTAAAATAAATTTTGAATTGATAATGGAAATCTACTTGTATATTCTCTCCCATTATATCTGAGGGTTAAAAGTTGCGCAGAAAATGTGTACGATCTGATGCGCGCGAAATTATTTTTCTGACATTTTATGTATTTAATTTAGGGGTTAGGTTGCCATATTTATTCATTTCGCGCCGGATAAGGAAGGGATTTCTCAAGATGGTTAATTTGTCCCTCTGTTATAAACTCATTTTCCCTCCAAGAGAAATGGCACGAATATCTGTCAATGGTGTATTTGAACATTTAGATTGTTATCCAATAGCTAACTCTCAAATATCAACGATTTGTCCCTCCAGATGTTTAGTGCAATACTCCAGTTTTCTCAGTGCACTTGTCTTTTGCGAAGAAGCAGCCGAATTCTGCGCAGTAGACGTCTAATAGACAACAATTTCGACGTCTATAGACGTCTTGTGGCGTCCCACAAGACGTACTAATCCGTACTAATCTATCCGTATTTAATCCGGAATTAGTCCGAAAGTGTTTAGAGTATATGTTAAAAACCCTTTTTTACAATAAGTTAAACTAATCAATATTTTTCATTAATATAATAGTTGTAAAAATTGCTGCAAGTATTACAGTTTAACATAAAATAAGAATACATGTACACAATAAGTTTGGTAATCCAGAAATTGTACAGCGGTCCCACAGTTTGTGGTCAACTCTCACAATACGGTTTAAATAAATAATACCAGTCAGGTAGCAGTGAGAGCTTCTGTTTGACCAAATAGTTATTTGATATAAAACTACTTAACTTAAAATCCACATAATATGCACATTATTTGACATATATTTCATTGCACACAAAAACCATTTAACATAAATATCATTTGTCATAGAATTCATTAAACAGAAATATTATGTTACATAAAACTCAGATAACTTAATTCCCATTTGACATAAAAATTATGTAACATAAATTTCTATTGACATAAAAATCATTTAACATAAATTTCTTTTGACATAAAATTCATTTAACGTCAATTTTATTTGTTATAAAATTCATTTGACATCAATTTCATTTGGCATAAATGTCATTTAACGTACTTCTCATTTGACATAAATATCATGAGACATAAAATTAGCTTGACATAAATTTCATTTGACGTGAATATCATTTAACATAATTATTATTTAACGCAAAATTAAATTTATATAAATTTCATTTAGCATAAATTCCATTTAACATAATTCTCATTTGGCATAAAATTTACTTGACATAAATTTCATTTGGTATAAATCCCATTTAACATAATTTTCATTTGACATAAAGTTCATTTGACATAAAAGACGTTTAACACAATTCTCATTTGTCATAAAAGTCATTCAACAAAATTCTCATTTGACATAAAAATCATTTTACACAAATTACATTTTACATAACAATATCGGCGCGAATTTCAAAAGTAACCAATTAGATATTATCAACAACATTGTGATTCGCCAATTTTGAAATTCGCGCCTATATTTCCATGTCAAATGATCTTTACGTAAAATAAAATCTATGACAACTGAATTTTATGTCAAATGAGAATTATGTGTAATGAGTTATCCGTCAAATGAAATTTATATCAAGTGAACTTTATGTCAAATGAAAATTATGTTAAATGGGATTTATGCTAAATGAAATTTATATAAATTTAATTTTACATTAAATAATAATTATGCTAAATGATATTCACGTCAAATGAAATTTATGTCAAGCTAATTTTATGTCTAATGATATTTATGTCAAATGAGAATTACGTTAAATGACATTTATGCCAAATGAAATTGATGTCAAATGAATTTTATAACAAATAAAATTTACGTTAAATGAGTTTTATGTCAAAAGAAATTTATGTTAAATGATTTTTATGTCAATAGAAATTTATGTTACATAATTTGTATGTCGAATGGTAATTAAGTTATCTGAGTTTTATGTAACATAATATTTCTGTTCAATGAATTCTATGACAAATGATATTTATGTTAAATGGTTTTTGTGTGCAATAAAATTTATGTCAAATAATGTGCATATTATGTGAATTTTAAGTTAAGTATATACTGTAAATCAAAGAGTGTAAAATTAAAGCGTTTTAAGTGCATAAATTTGTCCCAGTTCTGAACATACTTTAAGTGCATTATTCTAATGCACTTTAACCTCAAAGTGTGTAATTTCAATGCACTTTCGAAGTGCATAAAATATAAAATCCATAGGAATTACACACTTTGAGGTCAAAGTGCATGAGAATAATGCACATGTTGTGTGTTCAGAACTGGGACAAATTTATGCGCTTAAAACGCATTAATTTTACTCACTTTGATTTGCAGTATTATACTTGCTGCAATATTACTATGAAAGTTTGTTACAAACTTGCACCGACAACTTACAAAAAGTTAACTGCCATAAGAGTCACCATTGGCATAACAATAGCCCAATATTGGGAGCCATTGATTTTCTATTGGTATATTATTAGCACCCATTAGTGGACCAACAGTGGTAAAATCATTGGCTGACTACTTCGTTGCCAATAATTGGCACCCATCATTGACTTATTATTATGTCATTATACCAATATAACGCCAATAATAGCTTTTTTTTAATTTATATAACAATAATTATTAATAACTATTTAATTAAATAAATTAAAAATTATTTATTAAATTTTTATGATTTTTTTATTTATTATATTCGTAAAAGAAAAAAGATATCACAGAAAATAGGAAAGACAGGAGGCAGAATTACATTCTACGAATGGACCTGATAAGTTCAGTCTTTATATGTACGTGCTGGAGTAACTCAGATGCTAGTAGTACTGAGTTTGGCCAACCAAGAAAGTTTAAGTCATTTAAACTACGTTTCGATGAGTTGTGCCAACCTTTGTGGCCAAAGTTGTCCCGATAGGCATGTAATGGTTGGCTTGCAAAGTCGGGACAACATCTAAAAACGACGTAAACAAGCTACCGCTGATCGGGCGACCACTGATCGGGCTTTCAGTGTATTTGCAAGTTGATTGGAATTTTGGGTTGAAAAAGATTTTTTTAACAAATTTTGAACTCTCAATGAATGACGTCCCACATAGCACAGTATTTTTTTGCAAGTTTGCAGCAAACTTGCATACATATAAAAATGTCACCCTTTTGGCAAGTTTGCAATGAAAACTTGAGGAAAATGCATTTCAAAATGCATATATTTTGATGAACGATGCCTTCCCTGTAGGGAAGATGACTAAAATATAGTGCGCAGCTCTAGATGTCATAGTAAATAACTACTGCACATACATTTAAGATTTTGCTGTTTGACGCAAGTTTGCTGCAAACTTGCCAAGAGGGTGACATTTTTATATTTATGCAAGTTTGCTGCAAACTTGTAGAAAATTTCTGTGCTATATGTGGGGTATATTACTTGCGAACTACCCTATTAAAGCCTAGTAAAAAGAAGAATTGGCTATAGGAATCTGAAATCATGACGTCACTTAAAAAAATGGAGGTCGACAACGGGGTCAAACTTTAACAAACACATATGTTACAGACTTCCTTTTAATTATTTTTTATATAAAAAGTTGAATAAAGCTAATTGGAGAGCTAAAAATTGTTTCAGTTTTTTTACACGCAAATTTTAAAAAATTATAAAATGCAATAAGCTTCAAATATTTAATATATTGAGTTATATATAACATTCAACTGTTTTCATTGTCTTTTCCCCGAGATTCTCAACGAGACGAGAGTCTCGCTCGTAATGCATCTCTAGCGCTAATCTCGAAAACACCCTAAATCATATGGTAATAGATCGACAGAATACAGTCGGCCTGTCAAAATCAATTTTTTCACATTTTAACAAAATTCCATATGATAATGATTTGTTATGTAAATTATAAAATAGATTCTTTTATATCATTATTCACACACACTATAGATATCAATGAAATTAGATTAAGTAGTAAATAAATAATTATTTATTATTTTTAAGTAATATAACAGTTTAAAAACAAGTAATATTCATCGATCAGATTTTCCTGGACATTTTGGGACAATTATATGAATATTTTTCCAAACAGAGAAGGGGTTAAGTTACCACTAATGGTAAAGAACCACTACCATGGAAGAAACATTTTTCACGTACAATTTTAACCAATCTACATATAACAGACGTAATTTATAGTATTATAAATATTTACCAATAACTTCGATATATAAATATTTAAAACTTTATTAATCTGCCAACTTTTGGTATTTTCAAAGTGAATTTTGCTACGATCGAAGTACATTTTACTCACTTTTACAAAATTGTACTTCGATCGTAGCAATTTTTACTCCAAAAATAGTGAAAATTGCAAAAAATCGAAAAAATGATGTTTTTGGGTCAATTTACCCTCGTAGAAAATAACAGAGGGTAAAAGTACTGTGAAATTTTAGAGATTTGTTGAGTCTAGTTTTTTAGATAAAGAATCGAATGGTTTTTGGTTTTTTAAAATCGGTCCGGTAGATTTCGAGAAAAGTGTATCCCCGTTTTCAAAAATATGTTTCCGAGAGAAACACATTTAAAAAGTTTTCGAAAGGTATTGCAGTGAGCTAAGACACGATCATAAAAGTTGCTATAACTTTTTTCTTTCGCATATTTCTCCAAAAATGTTTTGGGTCAGTAATTTTATATGATACTAGAACATTTTTTAAAGAAAAAAAAGAAAATACGATCTTTTTGAAATCCTTGACTAGAAAGTCTCCTTAATTTCGTTTATCTAATATTATAATATGTTTCTCTATTATAAGAATAGTGTTAATAATATTAATATGATATATGTTAATATTTTAAAATCTGACTAAAAAGGTTAATTTTCGAATTGGAACGTTTTCGCAGTTTTTCTGAATAATTGATATGTTTTTAATTTGTTTTCCATTAATTTTATTAATTAAAATAGTAGTTAAATAGTTGCAGGAGGGAAAAAAAGTGTAGAAAAGTGTCAATAGTCGCGTAGTCAGATGCCTATAAATATAAATCGTAAATAATATATTAAAGAAAATAATCCATTTCTCAAAGAATACATCAAAGTGAGAAATTCTCAGAGAATTATTTTAAAAAAATTAATTTACAGAATGATAAAATATTAATTATGCATGCCTATTTGCAAAAAAAAATATTATGCGTGAGGAAAGATTTTAAAAACCTGACTCAAAATGGAATATTAATCTCCTACTCCCACGCATTCAGAATGAAATGTATTTCAAATCTTGAAGATTACATATATACGTACATATCTATACTAATATAATTTTATTTTGGACCAATGTAGAAGTAATTTTTTATTATTAAAATTTTGTTTGAAATCTTGAGAAAAAGTTGTAAAAATGGATCAAGTTGATGTAAGGGAACTTTGAATATACACTTACTGCATTCTTCGCATGTCATTGGCGAGCGATCACAAAAGTGACATTCTTAACCTGGATGCTGTGCTGGTCGACCTGGACGGTTGAACCGCAACTTTGGAATGCAAGGAATTTCACTTCGAACGCTCCTTACCTTGCACTAAACAAGGACTTGAGGCTATTGTTTATCAAATCTTTAACTGGACACTATTAACACATCGGCAATGCACATTTTCGAAATTCGCGATAATTTAAAACTTGAAAACTTGAAATAACAGGAAAAGAATGATGAAGCAATGTTTTACCTGTTGATTGCAAGGGTTATTTTGCAGTTACAGCGCAGATCGCATGCACGCACGTACACAACAGTGATGCCAGGGGCAGTCATCGATTCCATCCCGTGAGGGGAAGTGGCGTATCCCCACCATGCGATTGCGGCCCCGCAGAGGGGCCTGGGCCCACGCGATACGCCAATAAAGTGCACCGCTTTATCTTGAAAAATTGTTTAGGCAAAAATAATGTCAAAAATCTCATTTTCGTGTATAATTGTTAACTATAAAATATCAATATAATAACAATTGTACCAAACAATTTAATTGTACTAGTGCATTTAAAAAAATTAAGTAAAAAGTACACTTTTATAGAAGACACTTGTTTTAATAACAATTATTATTGTAATAAATATATTATAATTTGAATAGTGTTTTATGTATTGAAGGAAAAAGAGAAGAAATAAAATAAATATTCAAATATTTTCCATAACCTCGAAAAGTGAAATGACAATAATAATATGAAAATTTTTGAAATTAATTATCAAAAAGAAGAAATTGAAAATTTATTAAACTTTTAGAAATTCTAGGCCTTTTCCAGGATTTTCCGCATAGAACTTTTTTTAAAAATTTCTTGTTTTTCCATGATATAAAGGTTTTGTGCGAACAAATTTTTATAATGCTTTTTTTAATTAATGTTAATACCCATGCAGAAAAAATTATATCCAATCTGATCAGTGGGGCCCAGATGTGGCCCTATAATGTAGATCTTTTTAATATTTATTTCTAAAAATATAAAATTATCAGAGTTACCACGCTTTTGCTTTTGTTTATTATTCAATTATTAACTATGTAACATTTTAACTGAAATCCATATTTAAGGAGGTTGTTTACAGGTATGCAGACCTTCAGAGAAAATATTGAATTGACATTAAAGAATTTTTTAATATTATTGTTATTCGTATCTTCTGGAAGAACAAATATCAATTTTCAAGAAGAAAATTTGAAACTTACAAAAATTGTTTATTTAGTCATTTTGCATATGATCAAAGTTTTCTTCATATTAAAAGGTTAAACTTTTTCAAAACTGATTCGATTTAAGTCTATGATGGCTTATTTTCTTCAGACAATGATTCTCTATTACTTGACCGCTCAGATTTATAAACAAATGCACCGTTTTCAAAATATGTTTATTTATTTAAAAAAAATTTTTAAATTAAGTCACTTTTTTTAAACAAATAAGCATATTTTGAAAACGGTGTATTTGTTTATAAATCTGAGCGGTCAAGTTATAGAGAATCATTTTCTGAAGAAAATAAGCCATCATTGACTTAAATCGAATCAGTTTTGAAAAAGTTTAACCTTTTAATATGAAGAAAACTTTGATCATATGCAAAATGACTAAATAAACAATTTTTGTAAGTTTAAAATTTTTTTCTTAAAAATTGATATTTGTTCTTCCAGAAGATACGAATAACAATAATATTAAAAAATTCTTTAATGTCAATTCAATATTTTTTCTGAAGGTCTGCATACCTCTAAACAACCTCCTTAAATCAATTATTATGAAAAAATTCTACGAGAATTTAATTATTTAAATACAAAAATAAATAATTTATTGAAGAATTGAATGTATTTTAAAATTGAACTCTCATTTAAAGAATTTTATAAACAAATTTTTAAATAGGTATAATTAAAATTCTTTTGACGAATTTTAATAACATTTTTAAGAATAATTTTATTTTTCGTGAAATTATTAGATTAAAATTGTATTAAAAGTAATTGAATCTCTGTAAAAAATTTGATTGAATTGAGAAAATTTTTTGAAAATAATTGAAATTTTGACAAGAATTTTTGAAAATAATTGAATTCTTATTAAGACGAATTTTAATATTTCTTTTAACAGAATTGTTAGTTATAAATATGGAAAATTCAGATTTTCAAATATTTTAATTTAAAACCTTTTGAAAATTCAATTATTTTCAAAAATTATTTCTATTTCACGCTATAATGCTTTTAATATTCAATATTATAATAAAAAATTTTAACTAAAATTAATTTTTAAATCAATTTTTATTAGAAAATTCTACTAGAATTTAATTATTTAAATACAAAAGTAAATAATTTATTGACTTTTATTTGAATGTTTCTTTAAACTGAATTCTCATAAAGAATTTTATCAATAAATTTTTAAATAGGTAATTAAAATTCTGTTGACGAATTTTAATAACAATTTTAAGAATAATTTCCTTTTTCGAGAAATTGATAGAAATTGAATTAAAAATAATTGAAATTCTGCAATGAGTTTATTTATTATTTGTAAAAATAATTGAATTTCTAAAAAGAATTTTATTATTTACGAAAATAATTGAATCTCTGTAAACATTTGATTATTTATGAAAATAATTGAATTATTGCGAAGAAATTTATAAAAAATTTGTAAATAATTGATTTCCTGTGAAATTTTTATTATTTATGAAAATAATGAAATGTTTGCGTTGAATTTTATTAAAAAAATTTCTAAATAATTGAGTGCTTTTGGAAAATTTTATTAAAATAGTAAATATTGAATATTATTGAAATGAAGAAAATTTTTGAAATATTGCCAAGGATTTTATTAATATTTTTGAAAATAATTGAATTTCGGAGGAAAATTTTATTATTTATAAAGATAATTGAAATTTTGAAGAGAATTATTTTAAACTTTTGACCATTATTGAATTTTAGCGAAGGATTTTATTTCTTTTGAAAATAATTGAATTCTTGAGACGAATTTTAATGTTTCTTTTTAAATAATTTAATTCTTTTGTGAAATTTTATTGAAATATTAGATATTGAAAATAATTGAATTTTGACAAATTATTGAAATTAATCTTTCTACGTAGAATTTTATACCCAGTTTTAAGAATAGTTATTTTCGTATCAAGGGCGCAAAATAGGTGATTGCGACGATGGCGAAATTGTGTCCCCTCGGTCCCTTCATTTCGCCAGAGTCGTAATCACCTTTGCGCCCATGATGCTAACATAATTTTTTGTCCTAACTGCATGGAAAGTATGTCATTGAGGGCACGAACGATTAAACGCTCATATTAGTTAAAAATTAAACTCTCTATAAATGTTAACTCTTTGAAGTCTATAATGATACAAGTTTTAATATAGAAATAAGAAAACAATGTACTCTGGAAATATAGTAATTGCCAATTTTTATAACCGAAATGTGAACAAAACCAAATGTGTCATAATTTTTTTTAGAGAAAATCGAAAAAAATTGCACATTTTTCTAGACAAAATAAAACAAGTTCAAAATGTTTGCATTTTTATAGTCAACATAAAAAGAAACTCGAAAATATCACATTTTAATAAAGAAAATCGAATAATTAACATGCGGGCGCAAAATACTCTTCCGCCTGCTCGAAGGTAGAGGAAGCGGGCGCAAAATATTTTGCGCCCGCTTCCCCTACCCCTGGGTGGTAATGAGTTACTTTGCGCCCGCTCTAAGTGCCCGAAATGACATACTTTCCGTGCAGGCAGAACAAAAAATCTATTATGTTTTTGAAAACTCATCCGCCATATTGAATTCGCTATTTTGAATTTTGAAAAACTAACATCAAATTAGTAACGAGCAATACCTGAAAAATTCTCAGTAACCAAGTTTTAGTATATGTAGTTATTTACGCACTGTTAAAAAAAGTGACACGTTACTCACAGCTTTCCGTGAGTAAAATTCAACGCTTTAGAGATAGTGTTGCAAAAAAGTTATTTTGCGGTGTACGCTGTAACTCGCAACAGAATCATTTAAAACAAAAAAATCAAAATGCATTTGTTGAAGGAAATAATGATTCATGAAGTAACCCCTGGGAGGATTTTTATTTTTCAACTTTTTGTAGCACCTGGAAGCGAAAAAGCCGATTTTCACTATAAAACTCACAGGGATACCTGAGGAATGATGTGAAGAAGTACTGTGACGTAATATGTGGATGGCCCCTAATTAAAAAAATATTCCATTATACTTTTTAAAAAAAATTAATTCTACAGAATTCTTAATTAAAAGTATGAAAAATTCAAATTTTTAAAGATTTTAATTTGAAACCTTTGGAAAATTCAATTATTTCTAAAAATCCACACGCTATAAAGCTTTCAATATTCAATTATAATCTAAACTTATAACTGAAATTCATTTTTAAATCAATATTTATTAGAAAATTCTACAAGAATTAAATTATTTAAATACAGAAAAAATATTTTATTAAATAATTGAATTTTTCTTGAAATTTAATTTTCATAATAAAGAATTTTATCAACAAATTTTTAAATCATTGAATTCTCTTGACAAATTTTTAAGAATAATTTCATTTTTCGAGAAATTTGATGAAAATTGTATTAAAAATAATTGAAATTCTGACAAGAATTTTATTATTTATAAAGACAACTGAAAATTTGACGAGAATTTGTGTAAATTTTTGAACATAATTGAATTTCTCCGAAGAATTATATTGCTTTTGGAAATAATTGAATTCTTGAGATAAAAAATTTGAATTGTTACAAATTTCATTAAAATTTTTGAAAATAATTTCTTTTTTTCAAGAAATTTAATTAAAAATGAATTGAAAATATTACTTAAATTCTAATAAATAAATAGGTTTTTTTAGCATAGGTTTTTAAAATAATTGAATTCTTTCGACGAATTTTAATAAAATTTTTAAGAATAATTACATTTTTCCAGGAATTTTATTAAAATTTTATTAAAAATAATTGAAAGTCTGCGATGAATTTTATTATATTTATGAAATTAATTGAATCCCTGTAAAAAATGTTATTATTTATGAAAATACCTAATTGAATAATAATTTATGAAAATATTTTGTAAATAATTGATTTCCAGTGAAATTTTTATTATTTATGAAAATAATGAAATGTTTGCATAGAATATTGTTAAAAATTTTTTTAACTAAAATTCTTCTATAAATCCATTGTTTTTAATAATCAATTAAATATATATTAAAAATTTAATTAATTTCAGAATAATTTTAGTTATTAAAATTTTTTAAAATTTCTAATTAAATTCATTTAAAATTTTGAAATTTTAAAAATTTCAAATTAAAATCTTTTGAAGTTCATCTACTTATGAAAATTGTAAACGCAACTGTTTTAAAATTGAATTAATTTTGAAATATTGAAGTGAATTAAGATTTCAGGAATGAACACAATAACTTTAGAAAAAAACAATTTTCCAGGATTTCGATCAAAATTCCCTGACTTTTCCAGGTTTTTTCAAGGTTTATAAAATTCCCTGATATTTCCAGGTTTTCAAGTTGCGTGGCAACCCTGAGTCCAGGCTTCGAAGTCTAGTAGCAGGTCAAAAAAAGTGTGAAAAAGTAGCATTTTGGAAGAAAAAAGTGTCCTCTAAATTGAAAAAAGTAGCAAAAAGTAGCATATTAAAAATGAAGTAAAATTAGTTTTTTAAGTAAGAAAATTAAGTGAATATATTTTGTTGTCCAAAAAATTGAAAGAAAAAAATACTATAAGTTTTATTTACATAATGAAATGTAATTGTTAATAATACTTAAATGAGATCTTTCATAAGAATTTGTTTTTTAATAACAGGCTCATAATTTTGAGAAGTTAAATTGACACCTTCTTTCTCCTTATTATTTTTTAAAAAACTATCAATAACTTTTTATCAGCCATCTAATTTTTAAAAATGAAACGTAAACATTTTTTAGTAATTTACTAATAACAACTATCAAAATTAAAAAAAATGGATTGTTTTTAGTTATATAAATTTTTAAAATTTTAGAATCCACATAGCCATAATTTTGTACAATAATAAATTATGAGCAATTTAATTCCAATAAAAAAAATTATAATTTTTTTTCTAAATAGCTCTTAAATCTTTATAAATTATTTTTTTATTATTGAACAACCGACTTAGGGGCCGTTCAAAAAATACGTAACGCTATTTTTCGGAAATTTTGACCCCCCCTCCCCCCATGTAACGCAATGTTGTATACATTAGCGACATTTTTTCTGCTGACCGTAACAAATAGCTTGACCCCCCCTCCCCCCTAAAGCGTTACGTATTTTTTGAACGGCCCCTTAAAACACTGTATTATTGAAAATACAATTAATATTTTTAAATTTGACATAAAGTTTGTAAACATAATATAATAAATAATCACGTTAAATAAATATTATTTTGGATTTTTAATCAAACAATTTATATAACCAAAAGAATTAAGTTTTCATTCTTAATTGATTTTTTCTATACTTGATGAAACTTTTATAAAGTCAAAAAAGGTATTACTATTAAATTATATAGTGAAAAATGAAAAATTTAGTTTTTAATTTTTTTAAGAAGCTTAAAGAATAATAAAATTAGATACGAAAAATTCGAAACGTTAAAAAGTTGTAATTTAATAAACATCCACTATTAGTAATTATTATAAATATAATATATTATAATCACGCGTCCAATAATAAATTTAATTCACTTGGCGGGTTTTTTGAAATCTACGAAATTCACCAAAAAAACTAAAATTCTTGAATTCTGTAAAATTTTTTTTACCTTTTTTGGAAAAAAGTAGCATTTAGTAGCTTTTGACAAAATAAGTAGCAAAAAGTAGGCTTGACCAAAAAAAGTGGAAAAGTGTGTCACTTCGAAGCCTGTTAAGAGTCTTATTGAAACTCCTTTTCTTCGAGGACATTTCATGGGCTACCTACTATAGGTCGTAATTTATAATTTAGAACAAATAACCAAAATGATTTTGAAAGATGCTATAGAGCTAATGAACTACGTAAGATTTTTAAGAAATATCAATTTAAAAAAATGGCGCGTCAATATTAACAAAAAATACGAATTCCAATAAAAAAAATTACTTGAAAATCAACGACAGAATTGGCAAATTTTAATTTATCGATAAAATCCTACGTAGTTCACTAGCTTGCAAGGTCTTCGGAGAAAGGGAGTTTCAATTAGTCAGCCACACAAAAATTAATAAATTTTATAGCTTTTTACAAAAAAATAAAATAAAAATATGGCCCTATTTTTACTGCACACAAAGTAATATTACCTTAAAAATAAAAATAACAGAAAAATGATTTAAAACTATCTAAAAATGTAGTAAATTACCTGAGTTTTTGGATTTTCTATTAATTATAAGGAATATTGATGTAATTTCGAGTAATTAATCGGTATAGTAATTTATGTTTTATTTTTATAATAAAAATTACACATTAGAATTACTTCTTCTGTGCGGCAGCAGCCTCATCTTCTCGTTGGTATGACTGCAAGAGTTCTTGTTTCTTCGTGGCGATTCTCTCTGCCCTGCGCTTTCGTGCTTCCTTCACTTTCGAGCGACGTGCCTCTGCTTGATCAGAAAGCATATCTGCTCTCATTTTCTCAGCCTTTTTCTTGTGAATGAATTCCATAAGAACTCTCTTGTTCTTGAACACGTTTCCCTTGGCTTTCATGTACAAAGAGTGGTACAAGTGACGATCAATTTTTTTCGTTTCACGATACTTTTTCAAAAGACGTCGAAGCACACGCATTCGTTGAACCCATAAATCCTAAAAAGAGAATCGTCAAATGTTAAAACAAACTAAAATTTTTTTAAAGTATTACAGTTATTTCTTTCTTCTGAAATTATTAAAAAATCAAAATTTTCAATTGTCAATGAGTTTAAGTGTAAAATAAACAACTTTTAATATCCTTTTATTAAAAATAATTTTGAAAAGTGTTCTTTAGATATGAATTTAATCAAATGTAGAGTTAAAAATTTTTTGCATGTTCTTTTATCTTAAGACTTTTTTTCAACCCAGATTTATTTATTTTAATAATAAGTTTATAAATAATTTATTATAAATAACTCTTAAATAAATAAACCAAATGATAAGTTTAAAAATATCACCTTTTGTGGTGTACGGGCATTGGCTGTTCCCTTTCTTTTACCAAACCCACAATGTCTACCTTTTCGTCTGGCTTCCGTATTTTTACGGACTCGAGCACGTGAGTGCACAGCAACTGGTTTCTTGATGATCAAACCATCTTTAATGAGCTTGCGAATGTTTTGACCTATAAATAAAGAAAACCATGGTTTATGTAAGTGGAAAACTTATTTAATTTTGACAATAAAATGTTTTCTTTAAAATAAATAAAAAAGTAAATTATTTATTAGAAATAAATAAAGAATTTATATTTATTGAGATTCTGATTACAAAAACAGGCCTCGGATCTTCAACTTCTGAAATTTAATAATTTCTAAAAATTAAAAATAAAATAAAACTATAATAAAAAAATTAGTAAAATTAAACTTTTAAAAAATATTTCTAAATAATTTTCAATTACATACAATTAAAAAATGTCCAAAAAATTGAAATTTAGTAAAATCTTTTAAAAAATAATTTAAATTTAGTACAATCTCTGAAAAATAATAGAAATTTGATTAAATCTTATATAATTGAGTTTTTAAAAAATATAAAAAAAATAATCCAATTTTTTTAAAGAATTTTAATTAGCAAATGGTTTCTCAAAAATTCTAAAATAGTAATTTTTAAAAAAATTTAATTTACTTTGTTCGAAGGAAATTTAATCTTAAAAAATTATGATAAAACAATTCTAAGAATTAGTTTTTTATAAATATTGTAGTGCAAGTACAAACAATTTTAAATATGATTATTTTCTCCAAAATATAAAAAATAATTCTAAAAAATGTTAATGTTATTATTTTGTGTATGTATTTGAATTTTCGGAAATACTGAAAATATTGAATATCGAAAATATTGAAAATAATTGAATTTTAAAAAATTAGAACTAAAGAATTCAAAGAATTACATTTTTCAAAACTATTTTAATATTATTTTCAGAAACTAATTTTCATTAATTTTCATATTTATTGAATATACACTTGAAGATTATTCATTAAAATTTTTATGATTTTTTAAAGACTTTTTCGACTTTTCTTCTAAATTTTGCAACAAAATACCAAAATTTTAGTATAAAATGCAACTTATTTCGATTTTTATAATGTGAAAAGTATAACTATAGACAAATCTTTGAAAAGTTATTTTTTTGAATAATTTTTCTAATTAAATTTTTAAAGTATACAATTAAAAAGATTTTAAATAATTGAAAATAAAATCCAATTATTTTCAATATTTTCGATTACATATTTTTAAAAATTCAAATTGTTTTATCATAATTTTTTTAAGATTCAATTACCTTCGAAGAAAGTAAATTAAAATTTTTTTAAATTTACTTTTTTAAGACTTATTAAAATTTTAGAGAAGTCATTTCTAATTAAAATTCTTTAAAAATTTGATTATTTTTTTATATTTTCTAAAAACTCAATTATTTTGAAAAGATTTTGCAAAATTGTCTTTCAAAAATTATTTAGAAATACTTTTAAAAAATTAATTTTAAGAATTTCTTTATTAAAATTTTTGAAAATATTCTACCTTAATAATCTTTAAAAAGAAAAATGGACGGTTTCAATTATTATAAAAAATTGAATTTTTGTATTTAAATAATTGAATTCTCAAAGAACTTTTGGAAAATTATTAAAAATTAATTTAAATAATTGATTTAGAAATGATGTTTAGTTAAAAATTGTGTATAATAATTGAATTTTGATAGAGTTATAGTTGTAATTTTTAGAAATTGATAAATTTCAGAAGTTGAAATTTTTTAATTTTATTTCCCGTGAAAAAAGAAATAAGATGTATTTAAATATTTATTTAGCAAAATTATTATTTATTTATTATAAATAAATGAAAACGTGGAAGCAACGAAGTCGATCGCGAAGCGGTAGACTAGGCGCTAATATTAAGTAAAATTTATTTTTAATTCAATTTCTTAAATTTAATTAATAAAATACTGCAAATAATAAATAAAATTTTACTAATTGTTAGTAATATTTATCAACTTTTCCTAATTTTGATTAGTGAAATAGGACTAATTATTAGTGAATTTTTTAAATAAAACTTTAGTAATTATTAGTCAACTGATTTCACTAATTATTGTTAATGAAGTTGTACTAAAATATTAGTAAAATTTCACTGATTGCTAGTAAAATTATTAATAAATTATTTCCTGGACGATTTTTCGTCATTTTATGAGTAAATTTCTACTAATTCAGATTTAGATACTAATAGCAGAAATTTTTTAACTGTATTTAATAACAATATGTAACTATTCAATGTTCCAAACATGAAATTAAAATTTTATAAACTTTTGTTCGAACACATTGAAAAACAAGATTATTATTTATTACTAATAATTATTTAATCTAAACTAATTTATTATTATCAATTACATCTAAAATAACTTCCTAGTGCACGATTAAAATTAATAGTTTAATTATTCGAACGATTGGAACTTGATAAAAAAACATGTTCTTAAAAAGGAAATAAAAACATTCCAAACTCTGGGTCCGGAATTAACTTAATATTCTTTTAATAATAATTAAGAAAAATTGACTTACGAGAATTAGTATTGGCGATTTCATTGATTTCATTAGGATCCAACCAAACTTTCTTTTTGCCGCATCGCATTACCGAGGCAGCAAGCCTCTTTTGTAGTTTTAACGAACTGAAAACAAGTAAAGGTTATGTTATTTCATACCTGTCAAACATTAATTAAAATAAAAATCCTGCACTCGAAGCACAAATAAAATAATTTGCTAAATTCTTAAAGTTACATGAGAAAATTATTTGCAACAAAGCAAAAAAAATCGGAGTTACATCGACTTTATGGTAAATAGAAAAAATATACAGACCATGTGGTCAGGTGTACAAATTTTTTCTTGAAAAACAAATAATGTACCTCCAAAATTAGAAACAATTATTTTATGTGAAATTAATAAAGAATATCTCATCTTGTTATTTAATGCACTTTAAGACTATTTTAAGTTAAATTACAGAATGAAAAAATAAATTATTTGTAGCATTCGATTTACCTCATGGTGCCGTTTCCGAAACGTGCCTGCTAAAGAAAATCAAAATGGCAGGCAACAGTTCACATTCTTTCCTCCTTAAGGCCAGTTCTCATGTTCAATCAATTTAGGGTGCATTTACACTGTTGTTTGTAGAAAAATGATTTAAGGCTAATGCACAACTGCTTCGCGAACGCAAAGCCGGGCAAAGCATGAATTAGAAAAGGACAGAGATATATTTGTGTTCTTTTCTATCTCATGCATCTCGTTCGGGAACGACTTTCGCGAACCTATTGTGCGTTGTTCTTTACTTTACCGCAAAATGTCTAAAGGCCTAAGCACAACTGGTTCGGTTTCGGGAGACGGTTTCGGGATATGTAAGCACCCTTAAGGGTGGAGTCCCATGACAGCGTTTTGCGTTGCGTCGTACGGTCCCATGTTGAGCAGAAAACACAATGCAAAGCAGAATTTCGTGTGAGTGGAAAGGATAGTGATATCTGACTATCTCTCTTGCACATACGAAATTCTGCTTTGCATTCTGTTTTCTGCTCAGCATGGGACTGCACCCTAAGTCGCGTTCACACCCAGCTGTAAAAGTGTTTCTACAATAGCTTGCAAATGCATTTACTATATCGGATTCAAAGTTGTTGATCATATTCTACATATAAATTTACCATAATTTACTTAGAATTTATTAATTTAATGTAAATCTATATACAGAATATGCAATTACTTAGGGTGCGATCCCATGTGAGCAGAATACGTCGACCGAAAGCAGAAAATCATGAGTGCAAAAGAGAAAGGTAGATATTGCTGTTCTTTTCACTCTCACGATTTTCTGCTTTCGGTCGACGTATTCTGCTCACATGGGATCGCACCCTTAGAATCAAACAATTCGAAATATAATCTCCAGCTATTGTAGAAACACCTTTATAACTTACGTTCCGTTCAAGGTGCTATTGTATGGACACAACTGTAATTATTGGCAGTAAATACGTTTATCGCAAAAATTAGATCTACTAAAGTATTTATCGCCAAAAATGAGGTCTACAAAAGTATTTAAAGTAAAAAATTAGGTCTAGAAAAATATTTAAAACCAAAAATTAGGTCTATAAAAATATTCAATGCCAAAAATTAGGTCTATAAAAATATTCAATGCCAAAAATTAGGTCTACTAAAGTAATTATCGCTAAAAATTAGGTCTAAAAATGGTTCCACATATACTCGCGTTTTGTATTTGAGGAACCAGCATAATAGCACCTTGAACGGAACGTAAACGTAACATTGTTGTCATAGCAACCTAAGCAGTGTGTTCAGGCTCCTATTGCAGAAAGGCCTTCATGCTATACAATTTTTTATTTTTTGACACTTTTCGTTTCGTGTTTATTATTTTTTTTTTAGAAAAAAACAACAAAATATTCTTAATTAAACACAAAAAATATGTTATCAGAAAGATTAAAAAAAAATATTTCATTTAAGGCTGGAAGAGATAGCATTGTAAACAAAATTTTATTATATTTAAGTTTCCATTTAAATTTACTTTTAAATTTATTTAATATTAATTTCAAATATATTTAACATTACCACACTGTAAAAAAAATTTTCTGTAGATTTACAGTTTTGTTTAGAATTTTATAAAAACTTGTAAAATAACTTCTTTAAAAGTAGTGAATTTAAAATCCCTTCTGTAAAATTAATACTTTTAATGTGTCAATTTTACAATTTTCTGTAAATTTACTACTCTGAATGTAGGTAATATTTTTGTCTTTTTATTACCTACATTCAGAGTAGTAAATTTACAGAAAATTGTAAAATTGACACATTAAAAGTATTAATTTTACAGAAGGGATTTTAAATTCACTACTTTTAAAGAAGTTATTTTACAAGTTTTTATAAAATTCTAAACAAAACTGTAAATCTATAGAAAATTTTTTTTACAGTGCAGGAAAATATTTAAGTCAAATTATTTAAAATTATTTAATTTTACATTCTAATGAAATTTGAAGTGAAATAATTTCCACTGTATTATAATTTTATATGTTCACAGGTTAAAGCATTTGATTTTTTAAAACAAGAGAATTGTGATAAGAAACGAAATTTAAAGAAATGTAAAGATAACCACGAAAAAAGAGTTGAAAATTGTACTTCGAGTGTTGACTTGAAGAAAAATAAACATTGCAATTCAACTGTCTTTTCATCAAGTTCTATTGCCCTTAAAATGCGTTCATGTTCAATGGAACATGATTGGATTAGTTTGCAAAGATTAATTCCTTTACTCCTGGATTTTTCGATTGACAGAGAACCTATTTTATGGAGATTTTCATTGATTATGTTTCTCAATAGCTCTGAAAGCCACGAACATGTTATATGTGATTTTCTAGACAGATGTCTTGGGAGTACGAGTGAAATTCAATCTGATGAACCGGACAGACATTTACAACAATTGCTAACTGTGGAGTCTTTACAACATAAATTCGAAGAAATTTGGATAAAAGAATTAGAATATATCGAACATTAGTTCGTTACATTTGATAGTGATTAATATGTGTTGTATATATGTATATACATTTTATTAACTTTTTTAATTGTCTCAAGTAATATTTAACATTTTTATTCAGAAAAAGAGGCAAGAACATGCTTATTTAGAAAAACATGAAAAACTTGCAAATTCGAAAATTTCTGTCAAATTTCAAGACTTTCTTTTATTGAAAAAATTTAATAAATATACTTTAATTTTGTTACATCGAGAATAACTTTTCTAATATAAGAATATATTAATGATATAAAATTATAATACTGCCGATAATTTAAAATTTAACTAAGAATGTTAATTTCCGAATTGGTACTGTAAAAAATCGGAATAAAATTTAGTTTTTTGAATTATTATTTACTATTATTACCATGCAACAACAATTCGCACGCTAAAGCGCGCAGCTAACTTCTTAATCCCTTTTTTAAATAAAATTAGCAATTTTAAAAATAATAGAATTTAAAATTTTTCTAATTTAAATTTTTGTTAAAAACATTAGAAAAATTCAATTTTTGAGAAATTACAAATAATTGAAGAAATTCAATTATTTTCAAAAAAATAAAATTCAACTATGTTCAAAATTTGACAAAAATTTTCGTAAAAATCCCAATTATCTTTATAAATAACAAAATTCTTCTCCAAAGTTCAATTATTTTAAAAAATGTCAACAAAATTTTGTCCTAATTTCAATTATTTTCAAAAAATTTTCTAATTTCAATTATTTTCAATATTTACTATTTTAATAAAATAATTCCCAAAAAGAATTCAATTATATCAAAAAAATTTTTAATAAAATTGAATGCAAACATTTAATTATTTTCATAAATAATAAAAATTTCACAAAAATTCAATTATTTTCATAAAAAATAATTTAGAATTCTAGATAATAATAATTGAATTAAAATGATAAAAATAATTTTGATGAAGTTACAGTAATAATATTCTTATAATATAAAATAATGATTTTATCTCTCGGTCATCTGTATATAAATAAATAAATAAATAAATTAGAAAACATGAAGAAATCGATCACTCCGAGTCTTCGACTCGGAGCAATCGATATCTTCATATTTTATAACAAATACTTTTATAAGTTGTTTAATTTAAAAAAGGTTTGAATTTGAAATTTTTTAAAGTCTTAATTCCTGTGGAAAATCCTGTTCCAAAAATAAGATTAAAAATAGGAATTGTGCAAATATTTTTCTTCATTTTCTAAAACAAAATAATAATTTTGTTAAAAAAATTGTGATTCATATATAAGCAAAAATAATGCAAAATAAATAAATTTTCTATTTCTTAATCACAGTTGTTTAACAAATTTTCTAATTTTGTTTAGAAGTAAAGAACAAAAATCTGCATAATTTCAATTTGATAAAACATAATATTTAACAAAATTTTAGTATTTTTAATGAAAAGAAGTGAAAAAAAATTCTGATGATTTCTATTTGTCAATATTCCTCTGTTCTATTTAAAATTTATCTAAACAGATATTCTACTGAATAGATGATTATAACAGACAAACTTTCTCTTAAATAGATTTTTGAACAATAAAAATTCTGTCAAATAATAAATTATTAAAAATAACAATTAAAATAATAATTTCACGTATGAAATATTTGTCACATAAAATTTCTCTTAATATTCAATTATAATTTAAAATTTTAAGTGAAATTCATTTGTCAATCAATTTTTATTAGAAAATTTGTCGAGAATTCAATTATTTAAATACAAAAAATAAATAATTTATTAAATAATTGAATATTTCTTAAAAATGAATTTTTATGAAGAATTTTATCAAAATTTTTAAAAATAATTAAATTCCTGTGAAAAATTTTATTTATGAAAATAATTGAATTCCGAAGAACAATATTATTATTTATAATAATAATTAATTTCTTATGAAGAATTTTATTCAAAATTTTTTTAATAATTGGATTTTTCAGAATTTTTTAAAACTTTTTGAAAATAATTGAATTCCTATGGAATTTTTATTAAAATTTTGTTTAAATAATTAAATTCTTTTGTAAAATTTTATTAAAAAGTAATTAAAATGAGGAAAATTTTTGAAAATAATTGAATTCTTGGGAAGAATTTTTTTTTTACGAAGATAATTGAATTGTTTCGAAAATTTTTATAAGCATTTTTGACAATAATTGTATTCCTAGGAAGAATGTTATATTTTACGAAAATAATTGTATTCTATGATCAATTTATTTATTATAATTTTGTTAAATAATTGAATTCTCGAGAAAAATTTTATTATTTATGAAAATTGTAATCGATTTCTTGTGAAGAATTTTATTCAAATTTGTTTAAATAATTGAATTCCCATAAAAAATGTATTATATTTGTTTAAATAATTGAATTCTTTTGGAAAATTTTATTAAAATAGTAGATGTTAGAAATAATTGAAATTTTTGCAAAGAATTTTATTAAATGTTTTGAAAATAATTGAATTTCGGAGAAGATTTTTATTATTTATAAAGATAATTGATATTTTGACGAGAAGTTTATCATTTGAAAATACATAATTGAATTTCTGTAATCAGTTGTTCTTAAAATTTCTATTTAAATTCATTAAAAATTAAAATTTTCTAAAACTTTCTAAAATCTTTGAAGTTCATCTTTTTATGAAGATGGTAAACGCAACTCTTTTGAAATCCAATTAATTTTGAAGTTTTTAAGTAAAATTATTCATTAATTAAGTTATTTAAAAAGAAATTATTGTCAGAAATAGAAAAAATTGAAGGTTCTGTATTAGAATTCTTGTCAATTTCATAGTTTATGAGGCAAACAAAAAAGACACAAAAATTCAGAATTTTCTTATAAATTCTAAAAATTTAATTTTTTCCAGTACTTTTAATAAAAAATCACTGACTTTTCCCTGACTTCCCCGACCTGTGAATACACAATACACTATAGTTAAAAATAAAAAATGTTCTATAAAATTGCAAATAAAATATGTTTAACCAAATTAAAATTGATGTTTTATAAATTAGATGTAGAAACAAAAATAGATTAAAAATTTGTTTAATTTATTTTCTGGACTTTTATCCTTCTCATTGTTCTCATTTGAGATATCGAATGTTTGTAGTTACATGTACGTCCTTATTAAATTTAATTGAGAACTGAATTCGTTTTACATATTATTTATAATAAAATAACTATATATTTTTTCACAAACGTTGGTAGTATAACATTAAAATGTGATTATTCCATAAGTCTTATATTATATTGGCAATTTTTATTTATCATATATGTATATATATATATACGTTATTAATATGGAAATAATATTTACACATACATTTTCGAAATGGCTTATTTCAACTTAATTACATACATTTTATTATATTGCGGTTTCATTAAATTACATGTGTTGAATATCATAAAATATTCTAAACTAAAGATTTCACGTAAAATAAGAATAAAAATCTTAATTTAAATTTATAAAACTTTCAGTCGATTTTCATGTAATTTTGCGGCATTTTTTGAATAAAAATGAGAATGTAAAATTTAACCTATATAGAAGAATTGACAGAGAATTAAATCTAATGTATTTCCTGCGGGTTTTTCTTTCACTGAATTCACTACATAATTGAGGAGTTGAATCGAAGAACTCACTGACCACTATCAAAGACGCTTACTCCTTTAGTCCTTTTTGATGGTTATTAGCGTGTGTGATAGTTAATGCAGACTTAATTATTCATGTGACATTAAAAATTTCAACTTACTAAATAAACAATACGTCAAATTATAATTAATAACAGTTAAAAACCTATAACAAATTCTTTCTACAATAAAATTGCTATAAACTGTACAAACTTTTTTATGTGTCATGTCAAGTTATTAAATCCATATAATACGGTCAAAAACAATCGTTAGTCACACGATTTTATGAACATTCATTATTGTGCGCATTATTTACATTGCTTCACATTGCTTCACATTGTACACTGCAGTCGTAAGAAAATTATAAATCTTTTAAATTTACAACATTAAAACCAAATTTTTCCTCATCTTGAAAAACAATTCATAGTTTTACAATTCAAAATTATTTATTTTAGCAATAAATAATAATCAAATCCCAAGAATATTAAAATTCTTACATTTTTAATATGTTGTTTAAAAGAATCCCGTAAGGGGAAGTAGTTCTTAGTTTTTTTTTCATTAAATTCGAATTCTTCGTTTTTTTTCGTTTTTGTAATATAAATACACGGAGAAAAATGTATGTGAAATTTTACTTGAAAATCCCGGTAATAATGCAGGAATAGAAAAGAATTAACATTTTTTCAAATTTTTAGGGTGGACACTTTTTTCATAAAAAAAATTCACGGTCATTTCCCGGTCATGAATTATTTTTCCCAGTCATAAAGAATAATTCTGAAAATAAATTATTCCATGAAAGATTGAAAGAATTCCTTGATTTTTAGACAAATCTTTGACTTTTTCCAAACCGTAAAAATATTTTAGTTTATTCTAAAAATAATTGAAATTCCAAAATATGTTTATAACACATTTTTTGAATATCTTTAATTGTAAAAATCATTTGGAACTTAAATAGATTGTTTGAAATAAATATTTAATTATTATCCATTATTTTTCCATAGGAAGATTTAAAAAAAAATTCAAGTTTCAAATCCTATAAACTCGAATAATTTTTGAGAATTGCTACTATAACTTATTAAAAATTATTTTCAAAATTTCAATTCAATTATTTTCGAGAAATTTTAACTAAAATATTTCTAAAATCCACTTTTTTACAAGACAATTTCATGAAATTTTGAATAATTTGAAAGTTTTTCAAATAAATATTATATATTCAAAAATATAACTAATTTGAAAAAAAATGTGAATAAAAATGTTTCAAAAAACTAACTTATTCAGAAATTTTAATTAAAATCTTTTACAATTCAACTTTTTTAAAACTTTAAATTGAAAGTTTTTAAAATTCAATCTATAGTAGTTTTTTATACGTTCGCGATACGTCGTGACTAACGCGTCTTGTTTACAAATTTTGAACATTCCTAATGTATAATAAAGTTTGTTAATTAAAGTCATTTCACACTCAATATCGTTTTTATTATTCGTCAGACCACTCATGCTCTTATAAACAAAAATAAATAATTTATTCAATAATTGAATGTTTCTTAAAATTCAATTCCCATACAGTATTTTATAAACAAATTTCTAAATAAATGAATTCTTTCAAAGATTTTTAATAACACTTTTAAGAATAATTAAAATTTCCGAAAATTCGATTAAAATACTATTTTAAAAATAATTGAAATTCTGCGATGAGTTTTATTACTCTTGAAAACAATTGAATTTCAGCAATAATAAGTAACTTTTCCAAAATTCAATTTTTTTTAGTGTTTTTAACTATAATTATATATATATGAGCGATTCCATGTCAAGTGATCAAGGTGGAAAAAATTTTTTCTCCAATCGTGCCTAAACTTGGGGCTTTTGTAGTACTAGTGGATAGTGATTTTTGGTAAGAATATTTTTTTACCTAGTCCAATATTTTCCGAGGGGGAGGGGGTGAAAGTTTAGGGTTTTTCGGTACAATGCTTATTTTGATAATTTTTTATTCTTAAAAAATTAAACATGAAAATTTGACCGAGTACAGTTTCGAAAGGTTTTTTCATGCTCTTTCGATTGGAAATAAGCATTTTGAAAAAAAAATTTTTTTTGACCAAAAAAATCAAAATTAAAAATAAATTTTAATTTTTTGGGGGGGAAGGATACGATTCTTTTTTTTTTTTAAACGAAAGCTGAGGTTTTTTACTAAAAGAACATATATGTATATGCGAAAATGGGACTAGAATGTTTAAGGAGGTTCTATCGATAATTGATTTAATGAACAGATTTTGATATAACTTGATGAGCAGCTAGATAAAGTTAATATAAAGGCGTAGTTAAATTTTTGTGCCCTCTAGGTACCTATGAAAAAAGTTATAAACATTTTTGGTTTTCAACATTTAACATTGAGTCTTATGGAAATTGAGTAATTTGTCATATATATTTACATACTGCAAAGTATTAAATGAACAGATATTGTTCTAAATTTTTTAAATACTAAACCGATATGCAATAATTATATATCTGTAAAAACAATTGTCAATAGGTACCTGTGAGATTTACAATAAATCAATTTGTAAACAAAATTTACGTTTCATCTGATAATATAAACAACACTTATAACGTTTGGCAACGTTGCATGCACTATACACATTAAATTTGAGCGCGAAATTTAAATGATAATTTTCTTCACAGGTTAGAAATAATTCGGCGATGCCAAACGTTTTACGTTACCAAGTGAGTCAAATCATTAAATATTTGTCACTGTTTTGACTAGCTGCGTCAAGCGATAGAACCTCCTTAAACACTGAAAAAAGAGATTTCTACCAAACAGAGCCAAAAACCGGATTTTTAGCACTCCGGTCAGTAGAAATCTCTTTTTTTCAGTGTTTAAACATTCTAGTCCCATTTTCGCATATATATGTTCTTTTAGTAAAAAACCTCAGCTTTCGTTTAAAAAAAAAAGAAAAATCGTATCCTTCCCCCCAAAAAATTTATTTTTAATTTTGATTTTTTTTGGTCAAAAAATTTTTTTTTTTAAAATGCTCATTTTCAATCGAAAGAGCATGAAAAAACCTTTCGAAACTGTACTCAGTAAAATTTTCATGTTTAATTGTTTAAGAGTAAAAAATTATCAAAATAAACATTGCACCGTAAGACCCCTTGATCACTTGACGTGGAATCGCTCATATAGAACTATTGTTCTAAACATTCATTATTTTTAATAATTTTTGGAAAAGTTTTTGAAGAATATTCAAATTCTTGTGTTTTTAACAGAAATTTATTTTTAAATCAATTTTTATTAGAAAATTCTACTAGAATTCAATTATTTAAATACAAAAAATAATTTATTGAATATTTGAATGTTTCTGAAAATTGAATTCTCATAAAGAATTTAATCAACAAATTTTAAAAAAATTAATTTTTTTTTGAGGAATTTTAATAAAAATTTTAAGAATAATTATATTTTTCGAGGAATTCGATTAAAATTTTATTAAAAATAATTGAAATTTTGCAATTAGTTTTATTATCAGGGTGTCTAACAAGGATTGAAAAAAAATTCCCTGACTTTTCTGGACTTTTTTCCTGAATTTTTACTAATTTCATTTATGCTTTCTTGGGACAAAAATATGGTAACTGACATATTTAACAATAAATTAATATCTAATGATAGAAACAAACGGTAATAAAAATCTTTTAAGTTTTTAGATTAAAAAAAAATTTTAATTAACAAAAAATTTTAATTTTTTTATAAATTTATAGAAATTTCCCTGACTTTGAATGAAATTCTCTGACATTCCCTGACTTTTCCCTGACCGTTAGACACCCTAATTATTTATGAAAAAAATTAAATTCCTAAAAAGAATTTTATATGTACGAATATAATTGAATTCCTGTAAAAAATCTATAAAATCTATAAAAAAAAGTGCAAATAATTGAATTTCTGTGAAATTATTTTATTATTTTATGAAAATAATTAAATGTTTCCGTAGAATTTTGTTAAAATTTGTTTAAATAATTTAATTATTTTGGAAAATATTATTAAAATAGTAGATATTGAAAATCATTGAATTGAGGAAAATTTTTGAAAATAATTGAAATTTTGACAAGAATTTTATTAAAATTTTTGAAAATAATTGGATTTCTGAGAAGAATTTTACTACTTTTAAAAATAATTGAAATTTTGACACGAATTTTTAAAAACTTTTGAACATAATTAAATTTCTGTGAAGAATTTTATTACTTTTGAAAATAATTGAATTTCTGCAATCGTTTGTAATTTCTCTAAAATTCTCCAAATTATATCGTACAATTAACGAACTTTTCGTCTTTTTTCAATGAAATTGCGGACTTTACGAACCTTTTTTAAAAAAAACTGACTTTTACGGACTTGAAGCAAAATTACGGACTTTTACGGGATTTACGAACCTAGTTCGAGCCCTGTATATTATACCTATCAAATAAATATTTATTTGTATGGAATCATTTTTATTTAAGTCAATTAAATGGCTTGAAATAAAAATCTGATTTATAAAGAACTTATATGTAAATATATACCTACTACCCCTTGGGACGCAATTCGGGATCAGTCGTTACAATTTACTTATCTGAAAACATGTCATTTCGTTAAGAGATTAAATGACACGTTTTCAGATAAATAGACTATAACATATGTGCGACTTTGATCAAAACAATTCAATTGTAAATCTAGTAATATAATTCATCAATTATTTGTTTTGAATGTATTAGGATTTAAATCTTAGAAAGTTGATCAAAATTAGTTTTTGAAACTATATTTTTGGTTTAAATGTTATTAAATTACTAATAAATTATATAATCAAAAGAATTACACTGTTAAAAATGTTGACGAATTTAAAACTTGGTTTACATCGGTGCCAAGTTTGTCAATAGTGTAATCAAAAAAATAACTTTACAAGTTTTTTCATTTGTAATGTAAAAAAGAAAAATATTTGCTACGCATATTTACCACAATCATCCTACTTCAAGGTAATAAAAAATTGCAGATTATCCAGATTTTTAAATAACTGAATAAAAAATCATACACAAACAAACAAATAATGATTCACACTGTCATTAGAAATAAATTAACATTACATGTTTTTGTTTTCAGCTAAAAACTGAATCTTTATGTTAACGCGACTGTGATATGTTAATGTATGATAGTTTTCAGTTGGCAAGAAATTGAAATTGTTTGATAATAATAATTGATAATTAGAAGTGAACAATGAAGATGATAAATGTCGATGAAGAGAAATGATTTAAGAATAAATACGTAAGAGAAGTTGAATTCAGTTGTCTGATCACTGCTCAGTCGAGAGGTAAATGAACACGTGAATCGTTAGCAGCCAGCTTAACAAGAGTCTTTTTTACTCTGAGTATTGGAAGTCGAGCAGCTGGTTTTCCATGCCAGCATTCTCGCATTAGTTTACCCATTCCAGCAAGAGTCTGTAAATTACACATTTGTTAATTTAAAAAATAAATCTATCTTTTTTTTAATATTCATTAACTAACTTAAAGTGTGGGAGCAAGAAGGAAAATTATTTTTTAAAGAAGAAAAAGTTTCCAAAAAAAGTGTTAAACTAATTTTAAAATTATGAAAATTTAATAAATATTCGTTTAATTTTTCAAATGATTCTTTCGAAATAGTTGCTTTAGAAAATTGTCCTATTTTCTAAACTGAAGTTGGGTTAAAAAAATGAATTTCTACTTACAGCATCCGAATGCCATCTATTTGGAAGCGGCGGCCTTCGTTGGTCAAGTGATACTAATTTTCGCATTTCTTCTATCGAAGGATCCTGACTGCTACTCGACAACCATTCGTAAAATGGTGGAGCGTACTCCAAAGCAACGCCATTGCTAACACATCTACGGCACACTTCCCAGAAAATTAGTCCCAGACTGTATATATCAGCACGTCGGAAGCTTTCCAAGCACTCCAAATTTACCCTGTCACACAAAAATAATCTATTATTAATAATATACATGTCATGAGAAAAAATATTTTCAAATTAAATATATTATTGTTTCATTATTTAAGAGGCCTTGTACGGTTAAAGATGTTTATTTGTCATAAATATTATAATTGTTTGCTACATATTTCGGCTTAAAAAGCCCTCATCAGGCAAAAATCGAGAAAATTATTTACAAAAAAAGAGACCACATTTTGACAAACTAAACGAACACATGTCTGAAATAAAAAGATTTCGAATATGCTATTAAGAAAAATATTAAGAAACATTAAATACTAAATATCAAAAAATCAAATATTAACAGACTCACCGTTCACAAAATTAATTTTTAAAAAATTTTAATAAAATTTAATAACCGTAAATTTAAATTTAAAAAAATAAAATGTCGACATGGTGAAACCATGGAATTTAAAGAGGTTATAAAGAGGTTATAATTGTATTTCGCTGCCTCGTCCTCAAGATCAAAATTATGTAGTCACGTTAGTCACTATTTGTTCCGCCACAGTATTACAAATTCTAAGATTTTTTAGCGCCACTCTTAGGTGTCGCTGCCGTCTCTTCCGCTTCCTGTCATTACGTTATTTCTGTGTGTTCCACACCACATCGTGTACCGTGAAAAATAATTAAAAGTAGTGAAAAATGGGAAAAAATAACAAACAATTACTACGGAAGATAAAGAAGATGAAAAGGCAGATGAAGAAAAACAAAAAGAAAAGTAAGAAAAGAGACTCTTCTGCGTCATCATCCGAGACAAGCAGCTCCAGCTCCACAAGCAGTTCTATGTCGAAAAACAGCAGCCGGAAAACAGCACATCAACCCAGATCCCGTAGTCCTATCCGAGACTCCAGGTCTAGAGGTAGGTCACGCCGTAAATCAGAAAACTTGAGCAGAGAGAGGTCCCGAAGAGACTCATCCAAAAGCTCATATGCTTCAAATCAAACTCGACGAGGTGCGTCCCGCAGCCATGACAGTTCATTAGACGAAAGAAATGACAGTGGAAGGCGCGACCCGAACGAAGTAACAACGAGCAGAGAAACTTCCCCTGACGCCGCTCAGTCTCGTAGCCCAAAAGCTACATCACCTCCTGCCGTGCCTTCTCATACGCGAGATCCAAAGCAGAAAAACCTGCAATCACAGGATAGTCAAAAAGATGGCTTACCGGAAGAGCGTGATAAGACACAGTCGGTAAAGAAGAGCACCGATAATCCGCAATCAAACGACGGTCAAAACGACCCACAATCGGTAAAGAAGAACACGGATATGGATGATGCTGACTTAATACAGCTAGGTGGCGATCCCTTCGATAATAAAAAAGTCAGTCCGCCGATTAACAAAACGCTGGCAACAGTGTGGCAAAAAATCATGCAAATAGGAGTGTCAAAAGAAATTCGCAAAGAATTAGTCAACAAACACCCTCCATCCGAAAATTGCGACATGATGGAAGCCCCTTCTTTAAACCCAGAATTAAAAAATATCATCGGTCAATCAGGGGTAAAAAAGGATCAATTCCAAATAGTCTCACAAAATCAACTTGGAGCAGGCATAAGCGCTCTCGGAACAGCGGTAACAAAACTCTTGACTCTCCAACAGTCTGAAGATCAGTCAAACCCCAATTGTCAGCTGATAAGTGAAATATTGTCTTTTCTCAGTGATGCAGGAAAACTCTTTACCGATCTACATCATGAAGTATCGCTCACCAGAAGGAATTTTATTACTTCTGGAAGAGACCCGAAGCTAAAAATAGTAGCAGACAATTCACCGGTTGACAGGACTCTATTTGGGGAAAAGTTCGCTGAAATGTATAAAGCAGCCAAAGAAGTTGAAAGAGTAGGAAAAGAACTCTCACGGACAACACAAAAACCAGAAAGAAAAAAGGCATACCAGCAACCTCGCTCGCGACAGACCACACCAAGATCCAGTGATTTAAACTGGAAGGGCCCCCCAGGAAGAGCTACTCGAACTCCAGACGGGGAGGGCCTCAGACAGCTCGGACATCGCGCAACCAGCAGCAGAGGAATTAAAGGTAAGCAAAATAGGCGGACGTCTATCTAATTTTCTTCATGCATGGAAGAAACTAACGTCAGACCAATTTATTCTAAATTGCGTTAAAGGGTATAAACTACCTTTTGTAGAAACACCCACACAAAATAAAATTCCCAGCAACGCAGCTCTGCCACATGAGGAATATTTAAAAACAATTAACGCAATAAATAAATTAGAAAACAAATGTGCAGTCGCTAAATGTAAACCATTCAAAGGTCAATACATTTCCCCCTTTTTTCTAAGAGAAAAACAAAATGGCGATGATAGGTTTATTCTTAACCTCAAAAGTCTCAATTCACTCATTAACCCTCCACACTTTAAAATGGAGGACATAAAAACAGCCCTAAGATTAATTAGGCCCAATTGCTATTTTGCATGCATTGATCTGAAAGACGGTTACCTCCATGTTCGAATTCACAAAAATTATAGAAAATACCTAAGATTCTTTTTTGACGACAAATACTATGAGTTTACAGCCTTACCCTTCGGACTCTGCACTGCACCCTACATTTTTACAAAAATCTTAAAACCAATAGTACAAAAGCTTAGGGAACTCGGAGTTGTACTAGTAGTATATCTCGATGACATACTAATAATAGCTAGGTCAGAAGTAGAATGCAGAGCAAATGTAAAACTTGCAAAAAACCTGTTAGAAGAATTAGGATTGGTGATCAACCAAGAAAAAAGCGCATTAACACCTTCAAAAAATTGTAAATATCTAGGTTTCCTCCTAAACAGTGTGTCGTTTTCGATAGAACTCCCACTAGAAAAAAGAAATTCTATAGCGATCTTAGCAAAACAATTTTCGAAAAAGAAATCCTGTAAAGTAAGAGAGCTCGCAAGACTTCTGGGCACCCTGGTAGCGGCATGTCCAGCAATTCCGTACGGCTGGCTCCATACGAAACAATTAGAGCGCGAAAAATTCCTCGCTCTAAAGAACTCCAATAATTTCGACGCATAAATGACCATCACAAACAATGCCATCGAAGACATTGAATGGTGGATCAAGAAGATAAAATTCGTAATCAATCCAATTCGAACCAATTTTTATGAAAAAGTTATCTTCACAGACGCGTCCCTCTCCGGTTGGGGTAGCTTCTGCGAAGGCGAAAAAGCCCACGGGTGGTGGGGAGAAGACGACAAAAATGCTCACATCAATTATCTTGAGTTGAAAGCAGCGTTCTACGGTCTCAAATGTCATGCCAAAGATTGCAATAACTGCTCGATCCTACTTAGGATAGACAATACCACGGCGATCTCGTACATAAACAGAATGGGCGGAATCCAATTCCCAAAACTGACCGAAATCACCCGAACTATATGGAATTGGTGCGAAGGTAAAAAATTGTGGATACATGCTTCTTACATAGAATCAAAAGGAAATAAGGAAGCAGATGAACAATCGAGAATATTGGCGCAAGACACAGAGTGGGAAATAGCGGACTGGGCCTTTAATAAAATTGTCGAAAAATTCGGGAACTTCGAAATAGACTTATTTGCGTCAAAGGCAAATGCAAAATGCGAAACCTATGTCTCCTGGCACCGCGATCCCGATTCCTCAGCAGTAGACGCGTTTACAATAAATTGGTCTGATTGTTATTTCTACGCATTTCCCCCATTTTGCCTAGTATTACAAACTTTGAAAAAAATACAAGAGGACAAAGCCGAAGGAGTGGTGGTAGTACCCATGTGGCCCTCACAGCCTTGGTACCCTCTCTTCGTGCGCTTAGCAACCTCAAAACCAATCTTATTTAAACCTGACATTGAACTACTAACCTATCCTTTCAGAAAAACACACCCTCTACACGAGACGATTACCCTGGCGGCAGCTCACTTATCAGGAAGGCGTTCGTAAAAAGAGGAGAAACTGAGAAAGCAGCAGATGTCATGTTAGCCTCAATATCCGAGGGAACATTGAAGCAATATGAGAAACCCATCAAATTGTGGTGGCACTATACTAAACATAACAACATTCTACCTCATCAGTGTTCCACATCGGCAGCCTTAGATTTCTTCACAGAAATCTTCTACTCTGACGTCTCTTACAGCACACTTAATATCTACCGATCAGCAATATCTCTACACTGAGAAAACTGGAGAGTCAAATTCAGAGGTTCAAAAAGTGTATGTTTCGTTTGCTTATGAAGAGAGTTAAATAGTCCTTCTAAAATAAATTTTGAATTGGTAATGGAAATCTACTTGTATATTCTCTCCCATTATATCTGAGGGTTAAAAGTTGCGCAGAAAATGTGTACGATCTGATGCGCGCGAAATTATTTTTCTGACATTTTATGTATTTAATTTAGGGGTTAGGTTGCCATATTTATTCATTTCGCGCCGGATAAGGAAGGGATTTCTCAAGATGGTTAATTTGTCCCTCTGTTAGAGAAATGGCACGAATATCTGTCAATGGTGAATTTGAACATTGAGATTGTTATCCAATAGCTAACTCTCAAATATAAACGATTTGTCCCTCCAGGTGTTTAGTCCAATACTCCAGTTTTCTCAGTGTATTGACGGGTAATGAGTTAGGAAAAGACAACGCAGTCATAAGATACTTCAAAGGAGTCTCCTCAATAAAACCACCTAAACCAAAATACGAAGAAACATGGGACCCTCAAGTAGTCCTAACTTACTTGGAATCACTAGGAAAGAACGAAAACTTGTCACTGGAAGAGTTGACAAAAAAGCTAGCAACGCTATTAGCGCTAATAACTGCGCAACGAGTTCAGACGATAGCAGCCATCAAATTAGAAAATATAAATATGAATGTCGACCCAATCAAAGTAAAAATTACTTCGAGAATTAAAACCACAGGCCGCAATAAGTACCAACCAATCCTGGAAATTACAACTTTCCCTACCAATGAAGTACTCTGCGCAACAACGGCACTGAAAGAATACATAAAAAGAACAGCAAAACTACGGGAAAATCTCAAAGAGGGCAACCTTTTCCTGACATATAGAAAGCCTCATAATGTGGCCACATTACAAAGTATAAGCAGGTGGATAAAAAATTCAATAAAAGGAAGCGGAATAGACACCGAAACATTTACGACACACAGCACCAGACACGCTGCAACCTCAGCAGCAGCTCGAAATGGCGCTAATGTGGAAACCATCAGGAAGGCCGCAGGATGGACACAAAAATCCTCAGTGTTCGCTAAATTTTACAATAGGCCACTCACAAACAACTCCACATTCGCAGAGGCAGTACTGGGATAAAAAATTACAAATCTAACTTCTTTATTCCTCTACTAGTCAGGATAATTCTTATTTCTATTCAATGATAAAACATAAAAAATTTTTTCTTGTAAAAGTCAACAATTTAGTTGGTAAAAAATTACCAACCCTATTAATAAAAACAAAATAAATAAATAAAACGAAGTAAATCACTTCTTCAACTCTAAAAATCTACATAATTTTGATCTTGAGGACGAGGCAGCGAAATATAATTAAGAAATTGAACGAACTTACCTAAAGTGAAGTTCAATTGAAATTGTATGAGCTGCCTCGTCCGAAGAGATCAAACCCTCCCGGCCCTAAGCTCCGGAGAAGCCCCAAAAAATTTCGTGATTTACTTTAGGCTCTAAAATGTAATGACAGGAAGCGGAAGAGACGGCAGCGACACCTAAGAGTGGCGCTAAAAAGTCTTAGAATTTGAAATACTGTGGCGGAACAAATAGTGACTAACGTGACTACATAATTTTGATCTTGAGGACGAGGCAGCTCATACAATTTCAATTGAACTTCACTTTGGGAGCGTTCACAAATTACGTAACATTATAAAGGGGAGGGGGGGGTCTAGCTATTTGTTATGAACAGCAGAGAAAATGGCGCTAATGTATGTAACAGTGTGTTACATGGGGGGAGGGGGGGTCAAAATTTTCAAAAATTAGCGTTACGTAATTTGTGAACGCTCCCTTTAGGTAAGTTCGTTCAATTTCTTAATTTAATGGTATAGTAAATCACTATATTTTATGATAAAGTAGTTTCCCATTTTATCAAAATTTAAAATAATGAAAAAAGAGAAAATTAACGCGGAAGTTTCAAATTTCAAATAAATTTAGAATTTGAAAATAATGAAAAATAAATTTTACTTAATTTATCTATATCAGAATTAAAATTAACATGATTCTGAATATTATTTTGAATATGGATCATTTCTAAATTTAAATTTAATTTAATTTATTAATTTTTTTTTTTTTTATTAATTAATTTTTATCTAATTTAATTTATTTTTTTATTTTTAATTTTATTTTTTTAATTAATTTTTTAAATTATTTTTTAAAATTCCTTTTTAGGGTTCCGTAAACAGAAAATATGTATTTTTGTGAGATCTATAACTTTTGTTAAAAACATTTTTTAGAATTTCTCCGTTTTTTACGAGTTAAACGCAAAAAACCACAATTTTATGGTGTTAATAAGAGAACATTTTACTTAAAACTATAAATTAAATTTTTCATAACTATAAAACACGAAGATATCGATAACTCCGAGTCTTCGATTTCTTCATGTTTTATAATAATTAAAGATGACTGAATGATAAAATCATTTATAATTCAATTATTATTTACAAGAATTTTTAACTAAAATTCTTCTTTAAATCGATTATCTATATTATTCGGAAATTCTTCAATTAAACATATATTAGAAAATTAAAACTTGAAATAATTTTAAAAAATTTCAATTAAGCATTTTGAAAAAAATTACTTCCATGGAAATTTTAATTAAAAGTTTGAAAAATTCAGATTTTCAAAAATTTTAATCTTTTTACAAAATTTAATTATTTCTAAAAATTGCAATTATTAGTAACTTCTCAAAACTTCAATTCTTATCTAAAAGTGTAACTGAAATTCATTTTTAAATCAATTTTTATTAGAAAATTCTACGACAATTCAATTATTTAAATACAAACATAGATAATTTATTGAATAATTGAATGTTTCTTAAAATTCAATTATCATAAAGAATTTTATCAAGAAATTTTTAAGTAATTGAACTCTTTCGACGAATTTTAATAAAATTCTTTAAGTATAATTTTAGTTTAGAGAAATTTGATTAAAATTGTATTAAAAATAATTGAAACTCTGCAATGAGTTTTATTATTTACGAAAATAATTAAATTATTGCGAAGAATTTTATTTTTTTTCGAAAAAATTTATGCAAATTCTATTTTTAATAATTGAATTCATGTGAAATTTTCATTATTTTAGAAAATAATGAAATATTCGTGTAGAATTTTGTCAAAATGGTTTTTAAATAATTGAATTCTTTTGGGAAATTTTATTAAAATAATTGATATAAAAATTAGGTATTGAATTAAGAAAAATGTTTTGAAATCAATTGAAATTTTGACATGAATTTTATTAAAATTTTTAGAATAAATGAATTTTATTTCTTTTGAAAATAATTGAATTCTTGTGATGGATATTGTAATTTATGAAAATAATTAACTTCCTCTGAATGATTTTATTATTTATGAAAATAATTAAATACCTTAAAGGAATTTGAAAATTAATGAAAATAATTGAATTTCTGTGAACTTTTTATTTTTTGGAAAATAATTCAATATTCGTGTAGAATTTTATCAAAATTTTTGTTTTATAATTGAATTCTTTTTGGAAATTTAATTAAAATAGTAGAATATTGAAAATCATAGAATTAGGTTCAGATTAAGAAGGTTAAATTAAGAAAAAATTTTCAAAATAAATGAAATTTTGCCACGAATTTTATTAAAGTTTTTGAAAATTGAATTTTATTATGCTTTTGAAAATAATTGAATTTTGCAATGAATTTTATTAAAATTCCTGAAAATGATTGAATTTTGTCGAAGAATTTTGCTATTCATTTATATAGATAATTGAAATGTTGACGACAATATTTTTTAGATTTTTTGAAAATAATTGAATTTCTGGAAAGAATTTTGATATTTATTAAGATAGTTGAGTGCTTTCAATGAATTGAGTTAAAATTTTTGAAATTGTAACTAATTTCAACAAAATTGAAATGAAAATTTTTCAAAAAATACTTCATTAAATGATTTATAAGTAAAAACTTTATGGTAGTCCTTGAATAGAATAATTAAGTTATTTAAAATAAAATATTGTCAGAAATAGACAAAATTGAAGATTTTTTTTAGAATTCGTGGTAATTTCATAGTTTATCAGGCAAACAAACTGACAAAAAAATTCAGAATTTTCTTATAAATTCTAAATTTAATTTAATTTTTTTCAGTACTTTTAATAAAAATCCCTGACTTTTCTCTGATTTCCATGACCTGTGGCAACTCTGATATTTATTATATCATTGTAAAATTTTTTTTAGTAATTACAGTGAAACCCATATATTTAAAAATTTTTTTTGTATACTTACGTTTGTTCAAGAAACTCAGGACACATGTAACGTTTTGTACCTTGACGAAGATCAACAGTATCGGCCATTAATCGATCCTGCGTAACTGCCAATGTAAAATCAGCAATTACACAAGAACCATTATTTTTGACGAGGATATTTTTTGACTTGATATTACGATGGGCCATTGCAGGTTTTCCTTTGGTGCCATGAATTTCCGTGTGCAAATAAAGTAAGCCATTGACAATGCTTAGGCAAATGTTAAACGACTGATGATGCGTCAATGGATGTGGAGAGTGACTTAAATTATCAAACAACGAACCAAGTTCGTGATAATGTGTCACCAGCCACAATTGAGTGCAACTTGCTCGACTTGTCATGTCGCTGCCAACATATCCCAAAATATTGTCATGTCTGGACGGCAGTAACTGAGAATAGACTTCAGTTTCGCGCGTCCACGCAAGCTCGTCGCGTGAAAAATATATTTTCACAGCAACATTTTCTCCATGCCATATGCCACGCCACACTTCGCCGCCGAAACCACCACCGCCGCCACTGCCAAGACATTCCACGAGAGCAACCTGCTTAGCTAGAGTTCTTTGCACCAATAATGGAAGGCCTGATCCTGACCCACTCGTCAAACTCCTGCCATCCAAATATTCCTGAAAATAATTCAAGAATTCTTATTTCAATTACATATCAATCTTTAAAAGGTTTTTTAAAAATTCTCTACAAATTCTTAGTAACATATTGGTATTAAACTATTGTTTAATACCAATATGTTACTTTAAAGAATTGTTATTTTCTTTTTTCTTTTCTTCAGGGCTTATTGACATTAGCAAGGCTCGAACCAGTGAAAGTATTTAAAAACACGGACTTCACGGACCAAAAATGAAAAATTACAGACCAATTACTGACAAAAATGTAACCAGTCCGAGTCAAATAATAGAACATTTTACTTAAAACTATAAATTAAATTTTATCATAACTATAAAACATAAAAAATCAATCACTCCGAGTCTTCGACTCGGAGCGATTAATTTCTTTTTTTATAATAATTAAAAATTTCCGAAAGATATAATCATTATTTTATATTATAAGAACTATGTAAGTACTTCTTTAAAATTATTTTCATCATTTCAATTCAATTATTATTTTCAAGAATTTTTAACTAAAATTCTTCTTTAAATCAATTAATTTTCAAAAAAGTCCTCTGACAATTTTCAAATTCATTTCTTTACAATATTCAATTTTCCAAAAAAAATTAATTTCAAAATTCAATTATTTCTAAAAGTTCACGCTATATTGCTTTTGTAACTTAATTATTTTCTAAAATTTTAATTGAAATTCATCTTTAAATCAATCTTTATTAGAAAATTCTACTACAATTCAATTATTCAAATACAAAAATAAATAAATTATTGAATAATTGAAAGTTATTTCTTAAAATTGAAATCTCATAAAGAATTTTATCAACAAATTTTTAAATAATTAATTTTTTTGGCGAATTTTAATAAAATTTTCGAGGAATTCGATTAAAATTGTACTAAAAATGATCAAATTTTAATTGAAAATTTCGAAAATAATTGAATTAAACAAAGAATTTTTTCAATTTTTTAAAATAATCTTGTCTGTTCATAATTATAAATGAAAATTTGATTAATTCAATTTTATTAAAATGTATTGATACTAATTGAATTTCTGCGAAGAATTTTACTATATTAATAAAAGTAATTGAATCCTTCCAAAGAATGTTTAATTTAACATTTAATTTATGAAAATAATTAAATGTTTGCATAGAATTTTATTAAAATTTTTGAAAATAATTGAATTGTGTAGAACAATTTAATTATTTATAAAAATAATTGAAAGTTTGACAATTTAAAAAAATTTTTAAACATAATTCAATTTCAGCGAAGAATTTTATTCTTACTTTTGAAAATAATTGAATTGCTTTTTAGAGTTTTTTAGAATTTTATTACAAATATTTAAATTCTTGTGAAGAATTTTTTTTTAAAATAATATTTAATAGAATTTTGCTATTTATGGAAATAATTGAATTCTTGAGAAAAGTTTTTTTTACAGTTTCTAGAAATAATTGAATTCTTTCGACGAATTTTAATAAAATTTTTAAGAATAATTACATTTTTCGAGAAATTCCATTAAAATTGTACTAAAAATGGTGGATTCCACGTCAGTTCAACACACTTATTTTCATGACTTGTTGGGATTTGGCTATAATTTTGTAAATTCATTACTTTTATAGTGATAAACAACTCCACCAAATATTTTTTCAAAATTTTGAAAATTACCAAAAATATGGCATTTTCAAAATTTTTATCTTTTTTTTGAAAGTGCTATAACTTTGGTTCTAATTAACCGATTTTGGATTTTAAAAAAAGGATTTCTTTGGTTTTAAGTATATTTTAAGTTAAAATTAATATAGAAAAAAAAATTCAAAATTTTTTTTTTTTTGAAATTTTGAAAAATTAAAAATCCGTTTTTGAAAAAACATCATCTTTGATTTTTTTCAAAATTTTACTAAATGTTAGGGCAAATGTGCTTTACATGTCCTGTAAGTTTCATCTTGGGATCTCAAAGGGATTCGGAATAAAAAAATAAAAAGGAACCACAAATGAAGGGCTACATAAAATAAGGGGACGAACGCGAGGCTTGGAAGGGATACTACCAGTCGGGTAGCAGTGACAAGCCTTGATTTTTTTTGAATTTGATAAAATATTTTTTGAGTTATGGAGTTTCAAAATTTTGATTTTTTGAAAATATATTTTTTTCGATTTAATATATTTATAAGTAAAATTAATCAAATTTAAAGTATAAATAGTGATTTTTAAAGGGGTTTTCACGGGCTATAAGCTGGTGATATAAAAATCAAAGTGGGACCATGGAACTTTTTGAAAAAATTAATTATAAATCATCATTTTCTATGTAAAATAATGATAAATTATTATTTTCCTCAAAAATTCTCATGGTCCCACTCTGATTTTTACATGGCTCATAGAAAAAAGGTCACCAGCTTATAGCCCGTGAAAACCCCTTTAAAAATCACTATTTATACTTTAAATTTGATTAATTTTACTTATAAATATATTAAATCGAAAAAAATATATTTTCAAAAAAATCAAAATTTTGAAACTCCATAACTCAAAAAATATTTTATCAAATTCAAAAAAATTAATATTTACACTTCTACTAATAATAGTAAAATTTTAGCAAAGTTTAGGGAAAATTCATTTTTTTACCTGGGCAGTTGAGGAATTTTGCCCCATATGTTCGTAATATTATATGGTTACGTTTTATTTTTTTACTCCGAATCCCTTTGAGATCCCAAGATAAAACTTACAGGACATGTAAAGCACATTTGCCCTAACATTTAGTAAAATTTTGAAAAAAATCAAAGATGATGTTTTTTCAAAAACGGATTTTTAATTTTTCAAAATTTAAAAAAAAAAAAATTTTGAATTTTTTTTTTCTATATTAATTTTAACTTAAAATATACTTAAAATCAAAGAAATCCTTTTTTTAAAATCCAAAATCGGTTAATTAGAGCCAAAGTTATAGCACTTTAAAAAAAAAAGACAAAAATTTTGAAAATGCCATATTTTTGGTAATTTTCAAAATTTTGAAAAAATATTTGGTGAAGTTGTTTATCACTATAAAAGTAATGAATTTACAAAATTACAGCCAAATCCCAACAAGTCATGAAAATAAGTGTGTTGAACTGACGTGGAATCCACCAAATAATCAAAATTCTGCGATGAGATTTATAATATTTATGAAAATAGATTTTTGAAAATCATTGAAATGAGTAAAATTTCTGAAAATAATTGAATTTTGGAGAAGAATTTTGTTATTTATAGAGATAATTGTGATTTTGACGAGATATTTTTTTAAATTTTGAACATAATTGAACTTTGTAAGAAGAATTTTATTACTTTTGAAAATAATTCAATTTCTGCAATAATTTGTAATTTCTACAAAATTAAATTTTTTTTCGTGTTTTTAATTAAAATTCTTTCTATAAATCCATTATTTTTAATAAGGTTTGTAAAAGTTTTTTGAGAATTTTCAAATTCATTTGTTTACAATTCAATTTTCCAAAATTTCAATTATTCGGAAACTCTTCAGTTAAATATATGAGAAAATAAAAACTTCATAAAAATAATTTTAAGTAAAATTGAAATAAACTTTTTCAAAAAATCAATTCTTCTACAAAATTGTTAATTAAAAGTATGAAAAATTAAAATTTTCAAAGATTTTAATATGAAACCTTTTCAAAATTCAATTATTTCTAAAAACTCTAGCTATAATGCTTTTATTATTCAATTTTAATTTACAATTTTAAGTGAAATTCATTTTTTAATCAATTTTTATTAAAAAATTCTACTAGAATTCAATTATTTAAATAAAAAAATAATTTATTGAATAATTGAATTCTTATGAAGAATTTTATCCACAAATTTTTAAATCATTGAATTTTTTTGTATATCAATTTTACTCAAATTCCTTAAAATGACATTTACCATACCAGAGTGTCTACTATTTTCATTCAACAAAATTTACGATATTTTTCCGGCTTTGTCATAATTTTTCCCAGTTTTTTTTCATCAAATTTAAATTTATTTGATTTCGAACATAAATAAATCTACAAATGGCTTCCAAAATTGTTATTAGAGTTTTTATGAATAATTAAATTCTTACGACGAGTTTCTTTAAATTTTTTGAAAATCATGATTTTTTAAATAATTTTAATTGAAAATTTGGAAAATAATTAAATTAAACAAAGAATTTTTTCAATTTTTTATAACAATCTTGTCTGTTTATAATTATAATTGAAAATTTAATTAATTCAATTTTATCAAAATGTATTGATACTAATTGAATCTCTGCAAAGAATTTTACAATTTATAAAAGTAATTGAATCCTTCAACAGAATTTTATTATTTTTGAAAATAATTGAATTGGAGAAAAATTGAATTTTTGCGAAAAATTTTATTACTTTTGAAAATAATTGAATTGTTTTTTAGAATTTTATGAAAATTTATAAAAAATAATTAAATTCTTGTGAAGAATTTTTTAAAAATAATATTCAATAGAATTTTGCTATTTATGGAAATAATTGAATTCTTGAGAAGAATTTTTTTTTACAGTTTCTAGAAATAATTGAATTCTTTCGACGAATTTTAATAAAATTTGTAAGAATAATTACATTTTTCGAGGAATTTTATTAAAATTAAAGAAAATATAATTGAAATTCTGAAATGAGTTTTACTATTTATGAAAATAATAAGAATAATAAGAATAATTATATTTTTCGAGGAATTTTATTAAAATTGTAGTAAAAATAATTGAAATTCTGAAATGAGTTTTACTATTTATGAAAATAATTGAATATATTGGGTGGATGATATTGAGAAAATTCAGAACAAATTTATTCGTTTCCTCGCCAAACAAACTGGAGTGCCTTCCGACTTCTATGATCACGACTATACTGATCTTAGAAAAAGATTTAATATTCCAACTATATCTCAGAGATTTCTTTTTGCAAATCTCCTGTTTTTATTTAAAGTCATTAATGGTTTACTTAATTGTTCAGATCTCTTAAGTTTATTTTGTTTTTTTGCAGCAAAGCATTCTCCCAGAACTGAAGTTCCATTATTTAATCAACAACTTATTAGAACTAATTACTTAGAAAATTCAGTGGTCAATAGGTTGAGTCGTGAGGCAAATCAGTTTTATGACAGAGTAAATTTTTATGGCGTTTCGCTTAATGCGTTTGTTAGAGAACTACGCAAGCAGATTTTCGACAAAAATAATAACAATGCGGTCAACTAGTAACGTAAGATTTTCATTGTTCAGTACATTGTACGAAAGGGCAATATAAGCCCGTTTATATAGGGGAGTATAGTCGAGGTTGGACCACTGTCTAGGTAGGCCACTCGCGTTTTTTTGTCAAGTTCACTAGCGCCACCTACGCGCATGCTTGTCGAAGCTTGTCTTAGTAAAACCTAACTTTTTGCTCAATTACATTTTCGGAGGATCGAAAATTGTGTTTTCTGTGACGTTGGTACAAAAAAAGCTCAAATAAAGTTTTGTGCATAATGTGAAAAACCATTAATAAAAGATAAAAAACAAATTGAATCGTCAAGGCAAGTATGCAGAAAATTTGTGGGACTCATGGTTGAAAGAAAAACAAAGTAAAAAATCGAATCCCGAAACGTATATTTCTTTATGGTTACAACAATTCGGTAATGTTACTTACTGTCAAGGTCGGCCACTATGTGTTTAAAATGCGCAAAGATGAGGACGAGCTACTTCATTTGCAAAAACTGCAATTCTGTATAACTCATAATATAATTGATCATCTTATTAATATTTTTATTTAATTTTATTAATATTTCAGTGCAAAATTTTTTTTTATTTATATTTATTTTTTTATATTGTTTATTTTTATTATTTTGTTATTTCATTAAGTTACAAACTGTAAACAATAAAGAATCAATTTTCCGTAACTCCAAACATGTTATTTTATTTTTTAACGATTAATGCCCTTTGAATTTTAAACATGGCCGACCTTGACTGTAAGGACCAACCTGGACTACAAATTTTTTTTTTTAAATCTTTATAACTTTTTCATTTTAAAACCAATCAATTTACTTTGTACAGAAAAGATGTTCCTATTAACAGGACTTTCCAACCATATACTTCAATTGTCCAAATTCACTTTTAAATAAAAGTTATGAACAAAAGTCAAAAAGGTGGCCGACCTCGACTATGTTCCCCTACTAAATAAATATATATTCTGAAGAAATTTTTAAAAATAAAATTATAATTACGGTGACTAACTCCCCTTGTTTATTTTCGAAAAATTTAAATATAATTCTTTGAAAGAATTTAATTATTTTTAACAGAATTGTAAAGAAATTTCAATTATTTCAAAACTTTTCAATTATTTGTTTATAAAAACTCAATTATCTTGAAAAAACAGAATTGAAAAATTTCAACATTCTTATTTTTCAGAGTTTTCAAAAAAACTTTGCGAAAATTCAATTTTATTAAAAAAATTTCAAGTGTGTATCTTTTTTTAAATTAACTAATAAAACTTTTAATTATTAATCTTCGCACTAAGAAACATGAATACATTTCAATGTGACTTCTTATAAAATTTAATTATTTGTCAATTATCAAATTAAAATACTTTGAAAATTCGATTTGTTAAAATGTTTTTAATGAAATTCTTTAACAAATTTAATTATTTTCAGTTGAATTTCACAAAATTTCTATTAATTCGATAATTTTTTAAAAATTTATTTACATACTATATTTGAATCAGTGACTGATTTTTTAACATGAAATTAATTATTTTTTACTAATTTAAATTTAGAAAACGGTTTAAATATCTATAAAAATTGAAATAAAAAGCAATTTTTTAAACATAAATTAAAATTCCACGTTTTTTACGACCGGACTATAAATTCACATAATTTTCAGTTTCTAAAGTTTTCAAGATTCGATAATGACCTTAGAAAAATTAATTTTTTCTTTTCCGAAAAATATAATTATTGTAGAATATGTAGAAAAAAATTTTCTGAAAAAAGTAAATGAAATATATAAAAAAATTACCTTGAGAGTGCTGTCACCTGCCGCAGTCGCTCTCAATTCATGAGGTTGATAATTTGCAGAAGCTGGAGATGTTGATGTGAAGTGAAGAATAGAGGGTCCCATTTCTGCGTCAATAAGTAATTTATTTCTTTTCGAAGCCGAAGGTCTTTTGGCACGCGTCTTGCGGGCTAAAAGGCAGAAAAATATTCCACACGTAATAATTCCCAAACCAATAATTGGTCCTAGAATCGCTAAAATTAATTTTAGCAAATAATCTTCTCCTTCGGTACCTGAGAAAAGAAAATACATTACATCATTCAAAATTGTATTGTAATCTAATTATAATTATTTCAAATTCTTAATTGACTTAAAAAACATATACATAATAAATAATAATCCTTTCTTAAAAAAGACATGGAGTGGAAAGGTCGAATGTATCGAAAAGTATCGAAATAAAGAATGGGCAATGAGAATGTAAAATCTTAATAGAAGGGTGTTTTCAAAATTGTTTGGACATGTAAACGTGGCGCTGCAGTCGTATGTTATTTAAAAAGAGCGCGAATATATAAATTTTATTTTTGTTAAGAGAAAGTACTCATAATAAATCTTATTTTGCATTGTCAAAAAAAAACGTCAACATTTCAAATATAAATAAGCAAATTGTTAATTGAAAAAATTTGAATATTATAATTAATATTATTATTAATGAAATAATGGATTTGGACAATGGACATATAAAAACTAGCACCGTAGACGGCCGCTTGCGGCCGTCGGAGGAGCTAGTATTTAAAAAGTACTATATAATTCAATTCAATAAAATAATAGTTGTATAGTAAAACTTCTTTTACCGGCTGTCAAATTTTCTAAAACTGGAAAAGGGCCATTATTACATAAATCTGAATAACAACAATCGACGAGTACTTGACTTGACTTTTTGGTGCAAGTAAACATTTTTTCGTCATCTGATTTTGAACATCCTCGTGTTACTCGTTCTACTCCATCTTTTTCCCTCACTCTAGATTTCCAGCACTGTAAAACAAATTAAATTATATCTATATTTAATGCACCAGAATTTTTTTATTTTCTAAAGAACGAATTTTTTTTCAACTTAAATATTTTAAAAAAATTGTATTCTTTCATTTTTAAAGCGTATGTTTTTTAACCAAGAAAAAGAAATTAGAAAAATGGAAAAGTCAAAAAATTTTCAACTCCAAACATTACTTTTTGTGCAAACATCGACTTAATGAAAATTGTATTTTTATTTTAACATAATTCTCATAACATTTTCACTTTTAATTTCAATAATTTATCAAATAATTTTGATTCAAAAAATTCATTTTATTCATATTCTACTATTACACATCTTTCACTAATCACTGATCATTACTTATATTATTATGATTTATTTAAATATAAAATATATCCCTCTTCTCATAATGTTCCAAATTTTAATTATGTCATTATTACTTATTTCATTTATAGGTGAAATTTTACTTATTTTTCAAAAGTGTGGTTAATTGATAAAATAAATTAATAAAAACGACGAATTTGCAATTTATAGTCTTTGAAAAATTTAGAGAGTGAAAGAATTTTTTTATAGAATTTAAAGAAAATACAGAATATTTGTTAATGATTTGTCTAGAATTAAAATAAGTGGAAAACTGTCAAATAGGGTAAGTGCGGGTATAGTCGGACAGTACTAGTAGTCGGACACTTTCATGTTTTTTGGCAAATAAATAATAATGCATTGTGATATTTACTTAAAAAAATATACTGGACGAATGTGTAAAGTTTATATTTTATGAAATTAGTGTTATTTTACAAAATAATTAAACAAATATTTTATTTAATATTTTAAAAATCGTGGTGTCCGACTATAGATACAACCATTTTCGAGTAGCGCAATAAGTAGCACAAAGTTTTGCTGATAATTAATCATAAATTTTAAAACTTATACGATTTAAATATTATATTAATAACTTCTAGTATGGTTTAATTCCATTTTCCAGCCGATAGCAATTAAAAAATTATCTGTTTTACTTTATAAATCCAAAATATCTGACAGATGTCCGACTATAGAAACAAGGAAAAAAAGTGTCCGACTACTAAAGCATTCGTAATTTTTCATTAAAATGTTTATATTTTATTAAATACTCAAGTATTTGTAACAAATTTACATGATTTTTAATCCTGAAGAACTCATTTAATTGATAATGTGCTTATAAACACAGTAGATATTTGCTATTTCAAGAAAAAAAGCATAATATGTATAAGATCGTATCCTTAAGTGTCCGACTACTAGTGCATTTACCCTATAAGAAAAAAAAATTTTCGACCCGAGTGTATATAATAGTTTTTCTTAAAAAGTTGTTGAAAAATATATGTAAGACTAAAATACAAATTTTCTCTAAATCTTAACAAATTAGCGAAACTTTTAAAAAATTCACGGATATTTTTGTGAATTCCCGGCAATTTTCCGAATTCAGGCTTCACACTCAATACTTCATTTTAAAAAAGTATCAATAAGTAGCTTGAATACTGAAAAGAGTAAAAAGTACATAGCTATCGAAAATTAATTTTAACGAATAAAAAAGAAATTGTTTTAGTTGATTCACAAAAATTTGATTCAATATTTCCCTGACTGTTTCCTGATTTCAATCAAAAATATTTATTTTTATTCTAATACTGCTGAAAACTTTAATTCTAAATTTTTTAAAAATTCAATTATTTTTTAAATTTTTTTATCCTAAAAAATACATTGTAGTGAAATGTAATTTTTATAATTAAACAAATAAAAATATTTCAATAAAATTTAATTTAAATCACAGGAATTAAGAAAATAAATTAATAATTTTTCAAAGTAAAATTTAAATGTTATTACAGTTTTACAACAATTTATCGATTTTTTAAAAATTAATTCAATTTCTGAGAAAAATTTCATTATTTATAAAAATAATTGAATTTTTGCGAAGAATTTAATTTAATTTTTTTTAAATAATTGAACTCTTGTGAAAAAAAAATAAATAATAATAATTTAATTTCTGAGAAAAATTTTATTATTGATTAAAATAATTGAATTCTTGTGAAAAATTTTATTATTTGGGAAAAAAATTGAATAATTGTAAATAAGTAAAGAAAGAATTAATCAATTTTTAAAAAAATAATTGAATTTCTCAAAAGAATTTTATTATTTATGAAAATAATTGAATTTTTGCGAAGAATTTTATTTAATTCTTTTTAAATACTTGAGAATTCTCGTGAAAAATTTAATTATTTGGAAAAATAATTGAATTCTTGTGAAGAATTTTATTAAACTTTTTAAAAGTAGGTAATTGAATTCTTGAGAAGCATTTTATTATTTTAGCGAAAATAATTGTATTCTTGCCTGGAATTTTATTTAAATTTTTACAAATAATTGAATTTTCTTGAAAAATGTTATTGCTTGTGAAAATAATTGAATTCTTTTGGTATTGTTATACAAATTACAAAATTTTTTATTTTCAGATATAAATTTTTTAAATAATTTCATAATCAAAATTTAAAAAATTCACTTATTAAGTAAAAAATTAATTATTACTGTTCATATTTTCAAATTTTTTTTAAAAATTTCACGAAAGAATTCAATTATTTTCTAAAATTTTAATAAATCCTTCTAAACAATTAAATTATTTTTTTAAATAGTAAAATCTTTACAAAAATTCAATGATTTGCAAAACAATTTTAATTGAATTCCTCAGAAGAATTCAATTTTTAAAAAAATTTTTAACACATTTCGAAAAAATTCAATTTTTTTCTAATATTTTAATAAATTCTTCGAAAAACTTCAATTATTTTTATAAATAGTAAAATTCTTCGCAAGAATTCAACTAATTTTATAAATAGTAAAAATCTTTGCAGGAATAATTCCTGCAAAGATTTTTACTATTTATAAAATTAGTTGAATTCCTCGGATGAATTAAAATATTTTTAAATATGTCCATAAATTTCAATTATGTCCTAAAATTTTAATAAATTCTTCAAAATAGTTAAATTAAATTTTAAATTTGATTAAAAATAATTTAATTATTAAATTATTTTTAATCAAATGTAAATAAAATTACACGAAAGAATTTAATTATTTTCAAAAATTTTCATAAAATTCAATTTCAACAAGAATTTAAAATTTTCTAAAAATAATTCAATTATTCTCAAAATATTTAAAACAAATTCTGTATAAAAATTAAATTACTTTTAATGCAATTTTTAAATATATTCGTCAAAAAAATGGAAAAAATTCAATTATTTTCAAAAAAATAATAAAATTCTTGTGACGAATTCAATTATTTTGAATATACTTAATTTTAATAAAATTCTTTAAAAAAATTCGATTATTTTTGAAACAACTTTAATTGAATTTCTCAAAAAATTTCATTATTTTCAAATATTTCTATAAAATTCTTCAAAAAAATTTAATTATTTCTGAAAATTTTTATAAATTCTTCGAAACATTTCAATTATTTTTATAAATAGTAAAATTCTTTGCAACAATTCGATGATTTCCAATACATTAATTTTAAAATTGAAAATATTTGAAAAGAAATATTATAAACAAGTTAAGAAACGAAAAAGCAAACAATAACTAACTTCAAACTGCGAACAGATTACCGGAACATGTATTTTATTATCATTAATAATTAATAATAATTGAATCTTATCTGCGAAGAATTTTATCAAAAATCTTTTGTGGAATTTCATTAAAATTGTATAGATATTGAAAATGATTGGTTTTCAAAAGGTTTTTGAGAATAATCGAATCGTTTTAAAGAATTTTATTACAATTTTTAGCATTTTTTTTTTAATTTCAACTATTTGCGAATTTATACTAATTCGGTATGTCCGAATTATTGAAATAGTAAAATTTAAAATTAATTATTATCATATACTGTAAATAGAATAATAATCTATGGTGAATCAAAGTAGAAAATTGTAATCATTTAAAATTGTAACATAAATCGTTTAATTCTTATTAAATAAAATTTTTAAATATAAAATCTTTACCACTACAGCATCGTGACACAATTGCGGTGACACGCACTCTGCATTTTCACAAAAATAACATTTAAATCGTTTCTGAATTCCAAGTCTACTCAAACTATGTTCGAGTAAATCCGATTGCTCTTTAACATCTTCATCGTCCAGAGAATTATCATCTTCTTGTAATGACGTTCTGTGTCTTTCTCCTAAAAGAAACAATACATTAAAATTCTAATTGTTTTTGCAAAAAGGTAAACACATCATAAACATAACATTTATTTTCAACTTAAATTATAGCAAATAAACGAAAAAAAACCCAAATAATAGTTTTCAAAATTATAGGTATAAAATACTTTCAATTTCTTAGAAACCACTCTAAATGAGTTGTTGATACATAGTAGTTTGTTTGTTAGAAAGTTTCCTTCTATATTACATTCCAATATTGTATATATTTTTAATATTATACTCTCATGTTAAAAGACTTTCCTAATTTTTAATACAATTAAGGAAAAACAATGATTAATAAAAGGAGCTATACTCAAAACTATAAACTACATATTGCAAGAGAATATAAACAAACCAAAACAAATTCTAGAAATGTTTCAATTATTATTCTAAATAATCACTTTCCACAATTAACAATTGAATAAATACAACAATTTTCTTACCTGAACATATTTTAAATGTCAACAATAGTAGAAAATGTGCGATAAATATAACATCCGCCATTTTTGAGAGCGTCAAAACCGTCAAAACAATGGACTAGGAAAGTCAAGTTTTCGCGAGCTCATCTATCATTATTTTCAGCTATTTTAATACCAATAACCATACTAAATTTTTATAAAAAAATATTAACTTTAACATTAATAAAAATAATAATAATTATTATTATTATTTGAAAAAGCACTTATGTAATATTTAATGTTCATACAAAAACCATATGATTTAAGTAGTTTGTTTTTACATAATGTGACCTTCACTTTGACAGTATAAAGCCCAAAGCAGAATAAAACAGTAACGTGAACGTAAGCATGTGATAAAACAGAACAAACATATCTTTTGTCCTTTCCTCAGGGCGGAGTCCCATGACAGCGTTTTGCGTTGCGTCGTAATGGGAGAGAAAAAGACGCAAATATACGTTTGCTGCATTCTCTCTTATTACAACGCAACGCAAAACGCTGCCATGGGACTGCGGCCTCATACTAGCGTCCGTACGCGTTTATGTTGATTCTACACTCAAATGTAAAGTAGATTCCTCAGTCAGGTGTGCAGTCCACTTAATGAGAGTGAAAAGGATAGGGATATCGACTATCTCTCTTGCACTCATTATTTTCCTTTCGGTTTAAGGTTGAGTCCACAATAGCACCTTGAACGAAACGTATCGTAACGAAATTGGGATCTGAAATCACGTGAAACTGACCCACCCCTTAGGCCGCAGTCCCATGGCAGCGTTTTGCGTTGCGTTGTAATAAGAGAGAATGCAGCAAACGTATATTTGCGTCTTTTTCTCTCCCATTACGATGCAACGCAAAACGCTGTCATGGGACTCCACCCTTAGCCTTTTTGTGGCAACCATCTTGGATTTTATCTTTTTCTTGAACGTATATCAGAAAGAGACGAAACGAAAGATGGCTACCACAACAAGGCTCTCACTAGATGCCGTATCGTAGTATTTCAGATCCCATAATGCTAAGTATATTTTTTTGTTACGTTTACGTTCCGTTCAAGGTGCTATTATGCTGATTCAACATATACAAAACGCGAGCGTTTACGCGATACGCGCGCGTTTTGTATATGTGGAACCATTTTTAGACCTAATTTTTGTCGTCAATTACTTTAGTAGACCTAATTTTTCACATTGAATATTTTTATAGACCTAATTTTTGGTTTTAAATATTTTTCTAGACCTAATTTTTGGTTTTAAATATTTTTCTAGACCTAATTTTTTACTTTAAATACTTTTGTAGACCTCATTTTTTACTTTAAATACTTTTGTAGACCTCATTTTTGGCGATCAATATTTTATTAGGCCTAATTTTTGGCTATAAATACTTTAGTATATCTAATTTTTGCGATAAACGTATTTACTGCCAAAAATTAGGTCTACAAAAAATTTTAAGCCTAAAATTAGGTCTGCAAATGTGTCGTTAAAAATGAGGTCTACAAAAATATTCAAAGCCAAAAATTAGGTCTATAAAATAATCGAAGCCAAAAAATAGATCTGAAAAAGTATTTAACATCAAAAATTAGGTCTACAGAAGTAGTTATCGTCAATAATTAGGTCTAAAAAGTATTAGTAAACTTAATGTTGCTTTCAAATATTTTGTAGACCTAATTTTTGGCATTGAATATTTTTATAGACCTAATTTTTCACTTTAAATACTTTTGTAGACCTCATTTTTGGCGATCAATATTTTATTAGATCTAATATTTTTGTCGATAAATACTTTAGTAGATCTAATTTTTGCGATAAACGTATTTACTGTCAAAAATTAGGTCTACAAAAGGATTTAAAGACACAAATTAGGTCTACAAAATATTTAAAGTCAAAAATTAGGTCTACTAAAGTATTTATCGACAAAAATTAGGTCAATAAAATAATCAAAGCCAAAAATTAGATCTCAAAAAGTATTTAAGCCAAAAATTAGGTCTAAAAAAGTAGTTATCGCCAATAATTAAGTCTAAAAAATATTTGTAGACCTAATTTTTTATTTCAAATATTTTGTACACCTAATTGGTGTTTTTAAATTTTTTTCAGACCTAATTTTTGGCGATAAATAATTTAGTAGACCTATTTTTTGCGATAAACGTATTTATCTTCCAAAATTAGGTCTACAAAAGTATTTAAAGCCAAAAATGATGTCTACACAAATATTAAAAGCCAAAAATAAGGTATACTTAAGTATTTATTGCCAATAATAATTATGTTTTGAAAAGTATTTATCGCCAAAAATTAGGTCTACAAAAGTAGATATCGCCATAAATTAAGTATAAAAAATATAAGTAGACTTAATTTTTGGTTTTAAATAATTTTTTGGCCTAATTTTTGTCGATAAATATTTTAGTTGACCTAATTTTTGGTTTTAAATATTTTGTAGACCTAATTTTTGTCTTTAAATATTTTCGCAGACAAAAAACAAATATAAGTAGACCTAATTTTTGACTATAAATACTTTAGTAGACCTAATTTTTGGCTTTAAATACTTTTTCAGGGTTGCTACAGAACCTGGAAAACCTGGAAAACCTGGAAAAGTCAGGGATTTTTTAAAAAAAGGTCTGGAATACCTGGAAATGTCATGGAAATTTGAAATGCCTGGAATTTTATTCCACTTAATATTTTTTACTACATTTTTTCTTTTAAAAAATGATGTCTTGGAATTCCTGGAAATGTCCTGAAATATCCTTGAATTTTCCATATTTTGCTTTTAAATATTCAATAATTTAAAAATTTTACTCAAATTTAAAAAAATAATTTTTTTGATCCATCAAAAAATAATTTTAATTTGTCGTTTGATTAAAGAATCTGATATCTATATTATATAATATTGATTTTTAACTCTTTTCATAATAAAATTAATATTTTTGTTCAAGTAGGTTAATTTAAATTATGTTAATCGTAATATGAAATAATATTACACATGTAAATGTCCTGGAAAAATAAAAAATCTGTCCTGGAATGTCCTGGAATTTTAAGTCATATTTTCAGTAGACACCCTGTCTGTGCTTTAATAATCAAATAGAGATAATCTAACGTGAATATTTTTATAATACAGAAAAATTGCTCTAATTTATAATGTTCAAAAGGTGACCTGGAAATTTATCAGATTTGGTACTGGAAAACCTGGAAAAGTCATGGAAATTTAAAAACAGACTTCTGTAGCAACCCTGTTTTTAGACCTAATTTTTGGTTTTAAATATTTTGTATACCTTATTTTTAGCTTTGACTATTTTTGTAGACCTAATTTTTAGGTTTAAATACTTGTGTAGACCTAATTTTTTAAGATAAATACGTTTATCGCAAAAATAGATCTAATAAAATATTTATCGACAAAAATTAGGTCTGTATATATATTTAGTGTCCAATATCAGGTCTAATAAAGTATTTATCGTCAAAAATGAGGTCTACAAAAGTATTTAAAGTAAAAAATTAGGTCTACGTATAAATATTTCATTACGTTACGTTCCGTTCAAGGTGCTATTAGGCTGTGTCTACATGCTTGCGTTTTAACGCCCGTTTTTGCGGTTTTTGCGTTTTCATATACTTCTATCCTTGTTACACTCATTAGTCATTACTCAACGCTAAACGCAGCGTTAAAACCGTGTAGGCTTCGTAGAGCTGAGCCTTTAGCTTTGCTCATCTTTAGGTGTGTAAGCGCCTTTAAGCTTTAATCATTGGCAAAACATCTTGCTTGGCAAAAGCCGCAAAGCCCGCAAAGAGAAAAAGCAATAAAGTGAATAATTTTCTTGTGAAAAAGCCGCAAAACAATAAAAAATGTCTATGTGTTGTGCTCGTGAGTATTTTTATTTATTGTAACTCTTTAAAAATGTATATAAATAATTATTAAATACCAGATTGGACATTTTAAAGTTTGAATCCCCTAATTTTTGGAAACAAAACATAACCTTAAAGTTCTACTGTATTTTAACTATATTTTAACTATAATCAGCGTAATTATATTTTTATTGTAAAATGTATTAAAATGTTAAGCCTCTAAAATTTTATTTATTAAATAAAGTTGTTTTGCATTAAATATAAAAATGAAAGTATTTTATTTATTTGAATTGAACTTATTTTATTTCAGTTTCAAATGAGGTGCCAGAGCATCCTGTTATCTCGCCTGTATCGGGAGCTATATTTGAAAAGCGTTTGATTGAAAAATATCTGCTTGATAATGGTATCGATCCAATTTCACGTAAAGAGCTTACAATCGATCAACTTATAGAAATCAAAAGTATGTAACGTCTTCAGATTTATTTCTCTTGAATGTAATATAAATAATAACAATTGATATTAAAACAGCAACGCCAATTGTAAGACCAAAGCCGGCGAGTGCCACGTCCATTCCGGCTATTTTAAAAATCCTGCAAGATGAATGGGACGCAGTGATGTTGCAGTCATTCACGCTCAGACAGCAACTGCAAACAGCGCGGCAAGAACTGTCACATGCTCTTTATCAGCACGATGCCGCCTGCAGGGTAATTGCCAGATTAACGAAGGAAGTGACAGCGGCTCGAGAAGCCTTGGCCACTCTGAAGCCCCAGGCCGGAATCACACAACCAACGGCCATACCTCAGCCTGTGAGACTCACTTTAATTGCTTTCATTTTTACATGGCGAATAAAATAATTCAATTATTGTGGGATATTGATATCCTTTCCTACTGAAAAGCCTAGACATGAGTTCTGTTGAGGTGTAAAAGCTTCGGCGGAAAGTAAAAACGCTTTCACGTCAGCATGCTTTTTTCTATAACAAATTTCCTTTCACACAGATCTAAACTATGCAAAATTTTCTTTTTTATTTATAAAAAATGTTAGAAAATTTTGCATATTTTTTTATTTCTCAATAACCAGGGAGGTCACAAGTTTCAGTTTATCAAACTCCCTAACATTTCCCTGACAATTTACTAACATTAAAATTATTTTTCCTGACAAAATTCTTTACACTCAAGAAAAAATTAAAGTTTACGAAAAATGAATAAAAATTTTTTGTCAGGGGAATTTAGAAAATTGAGATTTTTTCCAATTATTTTTTCGAAAAATATTAGAAAAATTATGTTTTAAATAATTGAATTGCTGTGAAAATTTTTTTATTTATGAAGAATTTTATAAACATTTTTTTTTTTAATTTAAAGTATACTGTAATTGAAAATTTTATAAAAACACTCAAAATTACTATGAGTCGAAATTTTAATTCTCTGTCAATCGACAGAGAATTTGATCCTCTGTTACTTCTCTATTAATGCTCTTGATTCTCTAAATTGGTTTTCTATTAATTCTCTTGATCCTCTCATACAATATAACATTCTCTTTTGATTCTCTTGATTTTCGAAAACTTATACTTTAAGAGAATCAAAATTTCGACTCTGATACAATCAAAAATTTCAAATATTTAAACAATTTTTTATACTCGATTTAATCGGGATCTGTTTCGCAGGCTGTAGCAGCGGAAGCTGGAGGCGCAGCGGCCCAACCAGCAGAACAAGCTGGAATCACAGAGGAAGTTATTCAGAAATTACAAGACAGAGCTACCGTTCTCACACAAGAAAGAAAGAGGCGTGGTCGATCTGTTCCCGAAGATCTCCTACCAGCTGACAGTATTCGCAATTTTCAACTCTTGGCCAACCACCCTGTAAGTTCATATACAAACATAAATATAAAACAAATATAAGCATTCAATATTAACATTTATGTTTGTATATCAAATGAATTTAATATTGGTGAACGGTTTTTCTTGTTGATTTTATCATTTAATTTATTAAAACAATTGCACTTACTTATGTGTAGGGTCTTCATTCGGCAAGTACTCCAGGAATTCTCGCTCTCGATATACACAGTGCGGATACAAGTAAAATATTGACTGGCGGAGTTGATAAGAATGCAACAGTATTTAACAAAGACACTGAACAAGTGATAGCCATTCTTAAAGGACACACGAAGAGGGTACGTTTCAAAGTTATTATTTATTAACAATACAATTTTCCCTATCCAAACCTTTCATCACCGATTCCACTCCTAATTCACGTGACAATTTTAATCCTTATTTCCTGATTATATCGTTAATTTCGACACTTACCCTAATGTTGTAAACTAAATGTTTCTTACCTGCCAATTGGCACAACTGTAAATTTTATTAAATTATAAATTACTTAAACTACTATTTTTCTCAAATTCTCTCGGATTTATATACAGACAAATCTTTCCAATCATCAGTAATTCAATTACCTTCGAATAAACAATAAAGTAAATTAAAAAGTTTTTTAAAATTTTAAAAATTTTAGAATTTTTGAGAAATTATTTATGATTAAAATTCTTCAAAAATTTGATTATTTTTTAAATATTTTTTAAAATCTCAATTATTTTTCAAAGATTTTACTAAATTTAAATTATTTTTACCAAATTTCACTTTTTTGGACATTTTTTAATTCTAAGTAATTGTGAAACTATTGTATTTCAGAAATTATTTAGAAATATTTCTAAATAATTTTCATTGTCATTATTCAAAAAATTTCTTGAAAAAGTGGAATATTAAATTCAGGGTGTCTACTAACCGGGAAATAGCCGGGAATTTAATTTGACCTGGAAAAACCGGGAATAAGCTAGGAATTTTATGCCAAACCGGGAATTTTTTCACCAAATTAAAAAAAGTTTTATAATTATAATTTGTGTTTAAAAAATCTCTTTTTATTTCAATTTTTAAAGATTTATTTACACTGTTTTCTAAATTTGAATTAATTAAACATAATTAATTTGATAGTAAAAAATCAGTCACTGATTCAAATATAGTATGTAAATAAATTTTTAAAAATTATCGAATTAATAGAAATTTTGTGAAATTCAACTGAAAATAATTAAATTTGTTAAAGAATTTCATTAAAAACTTTTTAACAAATCGAATTTTCAAAGTATTTTAATTTAATAATAGAGAAATAATTGGATTTTATAATGACTCACATTCTAATGTATTCATGTTTCTTAGTGCGAAGATTAATAATTATAATTTTTATTACATAGAAATTGTAAAAAAGATACATTGTACTTAAAATTTGTTAGTAAAATTAAATTTTTGGAATTTTTTTTTGAAAATTCTAAAAAATAAGATTTTTGAAATTTTTTAATTCTGTTTCTAGATAATTGAATTTTTATAAACAAATAATTAAAAATTTTGGAATTAATGGAAATTTCTTTACGCATTCTATTAAAAATAATTAACTTCATTTTATTTAAATTGTTCGAAAATAATCAAGGAAAATTAGTCACCGTAATTATAATTTTATTTTTAAAATTTCTTCGCAATATTTTCAATTATTTTCATAAATAGTAAAACTCATTGCAGAATTTCAATTTTTAATAATTTTAATCGAATTCCTCGAAAAATGTAATTATTCTTAAAATTCGCCGAAAGAATTCAATTATTTCTAGAAACTAAAAAAATTCTGCTCGAGAATTCAATTATTTTTATAAATAGCAAAATTCTCCTCAAAATTTCAATTATTTTTATAAATACTTAAATTGTTCTCCACAATTCAATTATTTTCAAAAATTTTAATAAAATTCTACTCAAACATTTAATTATTTTCATCATCATAAATAATAAAATTCTTTGGAACGATTCAATTACTTTTATAAATAGCAAAATTCTTTGCAAAAATTCAATTAGTATCAATACATTTTAATAAAATTGAATTAATAAAATTTTCAATTATAATTAAGTATGAACAGACAAGATTATTTTAAAAAATTGAAAAAATTATTTGTTTAATTCAATTATTTTCAAAAAATTTAAAGAAACTCGTCAAAATAATTTATTTATGTTCGAAATCAAATAAATTTAAATTTGATGAGAAAAAAACCGGGAAAATTTAGGACAAAGCCGGGAAATTACCCTGAATTAGAGAATTTGAAAAAACTAGTTTGTACTAAAAGTTGAGAAAATGAAAGTGTTAAAATTTACAAAAAGAGACGAAGAAGAGACATAGTGAATAACATTACTTTTTTCAGGTAACACGAGTAATTTACCATCCTGAGGAGGATGTAGTGATGACAGCTTCACCGGATTCAACGATTCGTGTTTGGAATGTAGCAACAAGTCAGTCAACACTTTTACTAAGACATCACGATGCTCCAGTTACTGGATTGTCTCTGCATCCAACTGGCGACTATCTACTCAGTTCTTCTTTGGATCATTATTGGGCATTTTCTGATATTCGAACCGGACGATTATTGACAAAAGTAAAAAAATTGTTATTACCTTCTCAATAAACAAAAATAACATTCATTGAATTTTCATTCGTAATGTTAGAATTTGGAAAATAGTGAACATAACAAATGATATTAATTTTGTTTAGGTTGCAGGACAAGCAAATCAACCTTTGACTACAGCCCAATTTCATCCTGATGGTTTAATTTTTGGAACTGGTACAGCCGACTCACAAGTGAAAATTTGGGATCTTAAGGAACAGTCGAACGTAGCCAATTTCCCTGGTCATAATGGGGCAATTTCTGCAATTAGTTTTTCAGAAAATGGTTATTATTTGGCGACAGCAGCTGAAGATTCTTGTGTGAAACTTTGGGATTTGAGGAAATTGAAGAATTTCAAATCTTTGCAACTTGACGAGTCTTATGAAGTGAAAGATATTTGCTTTGATCAGAGCGGAACATATCTCGCTGTCGCTGGATCTGATGTTAGGTAATATATTTTGTTTGATAAATAGTTTTCTTTGGCCTTAAAAAGCAATTATTTTAACTGAAATTTGAAAAACTTGAAACCTCTTTTCTGAATCAGTTTTATTAACTACACATATTTAATTTTTCAGAATCTACTTATGTAAACAGTGGCAAGAACTTAAAGTGTTTAATGATCACACAGCAACTGCAACTGGCGTTCGTTTCGGAAAGCATGCTCAATATATCGCTTCAACCAGCATGGATCGTACGCTTAAACTTTATGGAATACAGTGAATATAGATCAAATTTAATTTCGTGTACGTAATTTTTATATATCGATTGAAATATATAATCTTTTGACATTTATAAATAAATTATTAAGGTATTTCAAAATTTGACGAATTTTCTAAATCATTGCTGACTAACATTTACTACACTGAAAAAAATTTTAAGTACGTTGCTGCTCTTGTAGAGAGAGATGCTTTCTTTTATGCCTGACTCTTTAAAGAGTAGCTGCTGCCCTTCTTAAAAGAATAATGACTAAAAGGTATAACTGCAAGATTGCAGAGCGCTTTAAATTTTTTCAGTTTACTATTTAAAATGTGTTAGCAGTTTTGTTAATCTTTCGAAAATGTGTAGAGTTGGTTTTAAATTGAAAATTAACCATTAAAAGCGCACACATCCTTAACCATCTTTAATCTACCAAAAGGATTTTTATAAATTCTCCGAAAATTTTTTTTTACTTTTATCGAAAAATTCAGATGTTTTAAAAAATCTTTTTATGTTAAATATTGAAGTTTATATATAATAAAGTCTTATTCTTTGCATCAAGACGAATCGATTGGTCTGTATAAAGTATAAATTGAGTCATAATCATAATTTATAAAAATTAGTATTTAAAAAATTTATTTATAAAAACTAAAATTCTTCTCATATTAGTTAAATTAATTTCTAATATATATTCAATTGATTATTAAAAATAATGGATTTATAGAAAAATTTTAGTTTAAAAACACTAAAACAAATTGAATTTTGAAGCAATTACAAATTATTGCAGAAATTCAATTATTTTCAAAAGTAGTAAAATTCTTCTCAGAAATTCAATTATTTTCGAAAATTTTAATAAAATTCTTGGCAAAATTTCAATTATTTTCAAAAACTTTCCTCAATTCAATGATTTTTAATATCTATTACTTTAATAAAATTTCACAGAAGAATTCAATCATTAAAAAAAAAAATTTTAATCAAATTTTACGCAAACATTTATTTATTTTCATAAATAATAAAAATTTCACAGGAATTCAATTATTTACAAATTATTTTCAGATATTATTCAATTATTTTCATTAATAATAACATTTTTAACAGTGATTCAATTATTTTCATAAAAAATAAAACTCAATGCTGAATTTCAATTATTTTTAATACAATTTTAATGGAATTCCTCGAAAAAAGTTAAATATTATTTACAAAATTTTATTAAAATTTTGTCAAAGAAATTTAATTATTTTAATGACCTTTGCTACAATTTATTTATTAGAATTTAAGTAGGTATTATTTTCAATACATTTTTAGTTAAATTTTTTTAAAGAATAAAGTTATTTACAAAAATTTTAATGAAATTCTTTGCGTAACAATTCAATTATTTTCAAAATAATTTTAATACAATTCTTCGCAGAAATCCAATTATGTTTAAAAATTTGCAAAAATTCTCGTCAAAATTTCAATTGTATCTTTATAAATATTAACATTTTTCTCCGACATTCAATTATTTTCAAAACTTTTAATAAAATTCTTGGCAGAATTTCAATTATTTTTAATACAATTTTCATTAAATTTCTCGAAAAATGCAATTATTCTTAACAATTTTATTAAAATTTGTCAAGAGAATTCAATTACTTTAAAATTTTGTTGATAAAATTCTTTATAAAAATTAAATTTTAAGAAACATTTAATTGTTTAATAAAATATTTATTTTTATAGTTAAATAATTGAATTGTCGTAGAATTTTCTTATAAATATTAATTTAAAAATGAATTTCAAATTAAAATCTTTGAAAATTTGAACTTTTCATACCACAAAAGAGTGGCAACCCTGTGATTACAGAAATACAATTATTTTCAAAAGTAGTAAAAATTTGCTGAGAAATTAAATTATTTAAATAAATTTTAATAAAATTTTTGGCAAAATTTCAATTATTTTCAAAAACTTTCCTCAATTTAATGATTTTTAATATCAACAACTTTAATCACAAAAGAATTCAATTATTAAAAAATATTTTTAATAAAATTCTACTCAAACATTTATTTATTTTCATAAATAATAAAAATTTCACAAGAATTCAATTATTTACAAATTATTTTTATAAATTATTATAGGTTTTTGATTAAATTTCTTCAAAGAATTAAATTATTTTCAAAAATGTTAATGAATTTTTTTTATAACAATTCAATTTTTTTCAAAATAATTTGAATAAAATTCTTCGTAGAAATTTAATTAATTTCAAAAATTTGTCAAAATTCAATTGAGGCCTTGGATCCAATAACTCGCCCGACGCTCGGAGGAACGCGCAACTGCCAGTCAGTGAGCAGTGAGCGCCTCTGGGCCACTCACTGCTACCCGACTGGTATTAGCGCGTGCTTCCGAGCGTCGGGCGAGTTAATGGATCCAAGGCCTCAATTTTTTTCAATATCTACTATTTCAATAAAATTTCACAAAAGAATTCAATGATTTAAAAAGAAATTTTAATAAAATTCTACTCAAGAATTCAATTATTTTCAAAAGTAATATAATTCTTCGCAGAAATTCAATTACGTTCAAAAATTTACAAAAATTCTCGTCAAAATTTCAATTAACTTTATAAATAATAAAATTCTTCTCCAAAATTCAATTATTTAAAAAAGTTTAATAAAATTCTTGGTAAAATTTCAATTAATTTTAAAAACTTTCTTTAATTCAATGATTTTTTATATCTACTACTTTCATAAAATTTACCAAAAGCATTTAATTATTGAAGAAAAAGAATAAAATTCTACGCAAACATTTAATTATTTTCATAAATAACTAATGTTAAAGACTCTTATGTACTAAATATATCTTATCTTTAAAGTTTTGTCTGGAAATTAGACAGTTATTTAATTTGATAAAATGTAAATGTTGTTTTAAAAACCTAGAAAAATTTAATTTTTTTCACATGGAAAACCTGGAAAAGTCAGGGAATAAAGGTTTGTAAAGTAATTTAACAATTCTCCAGACACAGTCTAGCATTTTTATTTTATTAAAAAAGTTTAGAAAAATTACACATTTATTGCAGTTAAAAATTTGAATAGCATTATTTTTATTGCCTTTCAATAAATTTATTCAGATATTTCTTCCTCACTTTCAATTGCATTTATTACGTCAGCCCAAATTTCGTCTATATCAATTTTCTCCAATGTAGTTCGACCGAATTGTTTGAGTACTTGAGAATATTTATTGACAAATGAAGATTCTAAATGTATTTTGAAAAAAAAATTTTAAAATGCGTTATATTAAATAGAAATTTTATACTTTTTTAAATACAAATTACAGAAGTTTGTTGATGAATCTTACCCTCGTCAGTGGACCCGATAATAAAGTAATGATGAATTTGACAATTTTTCTTTAAGAATCGAGTAGCCCATATTAAAGTGAAATAGATATTGTCTACATTTTTTGGCGAATGAACATTAACTGCAAGTCCTCCTTCTTCATTTGTACTATCTTTTATAGTTACATATTTGCGTTTCTCTAATTGTCTCAACATTCTCTTACGTATAAAACTCTGATTCACGTAGTTGACAAAAGCTTGAAAATAAAATAATGTAAATTGGTAAATTAAATATTCTTGTCATTAGAAATTAAATTAATGTCACTTTGGTTTACCTGTTAATAGAGAAGAAAAGTCTTTCATTTCTATGAAAATGTTTATCCAAGGTTCAACCTCTTTACGATAACACTCGTTCAATTCAGTGTCCGGAAAATAACAGCTCATGCTCATAATTTCATTGCTTTCCTTGTTCTGTTAAGAAGAATTAAAATTACTACTTGGTAATGTAATTCACTAATACATAATTTTGTTTACAAATTTAAGAAAAAAATTATTTACAAAACCTTTTTAAATAGCAAGGAAAAACTTTGTTCAATTTAATTATTTCTGAATTTATTTAAGAATTGAGAATATGGTGAAAAATGGCGAATATTTTCAGAAAAATTGAATAATCAAGAATTCTCCTCTCATTGCTTACAAATAGATGCAAATACATAACCATTAACCAGGGTTGCCACGCTTTTGCTCTTTTCAAGTTCCCTGACTTTTCCAGGTTAAAAAACGAAATTTTCCCATGTTTTTTAAACGAAAATTATTCGAAAACATCAATGACTTCATTTTTAAATAAATATTTAATTTATTTTTTTTATAGAAATTAAGAAATTGAAACTTCTTCAAAAATTATTTTCATCATTACGATTATTAATTTCTACAATTTTCAACTAAAATTCTTCTTTAAGTCAATTTTTTTTTATAATTTTTGAAAAACTTCTTTGTGAATTTTCAAATTCTTTTGTTTACAATCTAATTTTACGAAATTTAGATTATTCTGACATTCTTCAATTAAATATACAATAGAAATTAAAAACTTTAAATAATTAAAAAAATTCCATTAAACTTATTGAGAAAAATTAATTTTATAGAATTCTTAATTAAAAGTATGTAATGTTCAAATTTTCAAAGATTTTAATTTAAAATTCATTTTTAAATCAATATATATTTAGAAAATTCTACGAGAATTCAATTATTTAAGTACCTATAAAAATAAATATTTTATTAAACAATTGAATGTTTCTTAAAATTGAATTTTCATAAAGAATTTTATCAACAAATTTTTAAATAATTGAATTCTCTTGACAAATTTTAATAAAATTTTTAAGAATAATTGCATTTTTCGAGAAATTTGATGAAAATTGTTTTAAAAAATAATTAAAATTCTGCCAAGAATTATATTAAAAGTTTTGAAAATAATTGCATTTCGTAGAAAGATTTTATTATTTATAAAGATAATTGAAATTTTGACGAGAATTTTTGTAAATTTTTTAATAAATTGGATTTCTGTGAAGAATAATTTTATTAAAATTATTTTGAAAAAAATTGAATTGTTACGCAAAGAATTGGATTAAAATTTTTGAAAATAATTTGATTCTTTCAAGAAATTTAATTAAAAATTTATTGAAAATAATACTTAAATTCTAATAAAAGAAATTGTAGCAAATGTTATTAAAATAATTAAATTTCTTTGATAAATTTTAATAACATTTTTAAGAATAATATCTTTTTTCGAGGAATTCCATTAAAATTGTATTAAAAATAATTGAAATTCAGCATTGAGTTTTATTATTTATGAAAGTAAGTAAATCCCTGTAAAAAATGTTATTATTTATGAAAATAATTGAATAATATCTGAAAATAATTAAATATTTGCGTAGAATTTTATCAAAATTTTTGTTTCATAATTCAATTCTTTTGGGAAATTTTATTAAAATAGTAGAATATTGAAAATCATAGAATTAGGTTCAGATTAAGAAGGTTAAATTAAGCAAAAATTTTCAAAATAATTGAAATTTTGCCACGAATTTTATTAAAATTTTTGAAAATTGAATTTTATTATACTTTTGAAAATAATTCAATCTTGCAATGAATTTTATTAAAATTCCTGAAAATAATTCAATTTTGTCGAAGAATTTTGCTATTAATTTATAAAGATAATTGAAATGTTGAGGACATTTTTTTTAGATTTTTTCAAAATAATTGAATTCTTGAGACGAATTTTGTTAAAATTTCTTTTTAAATAATTGAATTCTTTTTTGAAATTTTATTGAAATATTACATATTGAAAATAATTGAATTTTGACAAATTTTTGAAATTAATTAAATATCTACGAAGAATTTTATTAAAATTATTTTTAAAAAAATTGAATTGTTATAAAAAATTCCATTAAAATTTTTAAAAATAATTTAATTTTTTGAAGAAATTTAATTAAAAACGTATTGAAAATAATACCTACTTAAATTCTAAGAAATAAATTGGAGCAAATGTTTTGAAAATACTTGAATTTATTTTAAAAATTTTAATAAAATTTTTAAGAATAATTACAGTTTTCGAGGAATTAGATAAAAATTGTATTATAGAAATAATTGAAATTCTGCGATGAGTTTTATTATTTATAAAAATAATTAAATTCCAAAAAAGAATTTTATTATTTATGAAAATAGGTAATTTGTAAATAATTGAATTTTTGTGAAATTTTTATTAATTATGAAAATAAATAAATGTTTGCGTAGAATATTATTCTTTTTCTTCAATAATTAAATGCTTTTGTGAAATTTTATTCAAGTAGTAGATATTAAAAATCATTGAATTGAGGAAAGTTTTTGAAAATAATTGAAATTTTGAAAAATAATTGGATTTCTGAGAAAAATTTTACTACTTTTCAAAATAATTGAATTTCTGCAATCATTTGTAATTGCTTTAAAATTCAATTTATTTTAGTGTTTTTAACTAAAATTCTTCTATAAATCCATTATTTTTAATAAAACTAGTTGAATATATATTAAAAAATTTGACTAATTTCAGAAGAATTTTAGTTTTTAATTTTTTTTAAAACTAAGTTTTTTTATATTTCTAATTAAATTCATTTAAAATTGAAATTTTACAAAATTTTAAATCAAAATCTTTTAAAGTTCTTCTACTTATGAAAATTGTAAACGTAACTCTTTTAAAATTGAATTCATTTTGAAATATTTAAGTAAAATTAGATTTCAAGAATAAACACAATAACTTTAGAAAACAACAATTTTCCAGGATTTCGATCAAAATTCCCTGACTTTTCCAGGTTTTTTCAAGGTTTATAAAATTCCCTGACATTTCCAGGTTTCCAGGTTGCGTAGCAAGTGATTTTGATTTTTTAAATGAAATTCCGAGATTTTTGAAAGATCTACGAAAGGAAAATTCAAAATCACTGTTTTCCCAGCCTTGGATCCTCTTGGAGGAGGTTAAAGTTTTGAACGTTCAAATGAACGAAATTTATTTATTTCTTCTTCAAATTAAATTTTTATTACTATAATTTTGCGTCACTATTAAGCAAATTAATTATAATGTTTCTAAATGTAAAATTTGAGTTTTTAATTTGAATTGTAATCAATAATCTATGAAAATATTTTTAACAAAAAATATTTCGTTCATTTGAATGTTCAAAACTTTTTGTTCATCCTCTTGGAAGCTTTTTTAAATAACTTCTAATATTAAAATAAACTATTATCAAAAGAGAAAAATTGCTTTTGAGAAGAACTTGGAATTTTTTTAAACGGCTTGTGACATTTAAATAATTATTAAAAGAAAATAATTTTTTTTCAAATAGTACAGCAATACTGAATAAAGGAAAAAAATTCTTTTCGTTTAGTTACCTTTGTATTGACAGTCAACTCGACAGCGATCCTTAAAGCTTCTGTAGTGAGAATGACTTTATAATGATAAACATCATCCTGAATCAAAGTTTTACTAATATCATTAAAAGACACACCAAGCAAACGTTCAGAAAATTCTATTTCTTTCCTCTTGCTACTATTTGTTTTGATGTCACCATTGTCCATTTGTAAACCAATAAAGTTGGCAGTCATTCTAAAATAATTAAATATAAATATTAAGTTACTTTTCTTTTAAAACTTAGAGGATAAAATTATACCTATTCGAAATATTTATTTAGTAATCTGTACTCGATTTCGTGTCGTCTTTCCTCTGCTATCAGTTTTTCTCTTAATTCACAAACTTCTGTGAGAAGTTGATTCTTCCTTTCCCTTAAAGCTACTAATTCCTCATCATCAGTATTATCTTCTACCTCATCTTTCTCCATATCACTTTCAATATTAGTAGTTTGATTTATTGACATTCTAAAAATGCAAAATTTCTATGATTCAAATTATGTTAATAATTTAAGGAGCAAGTTTTCAAAACTTGATAAATCCATATTTTCTTATTTTGAGAAAATGAAACAAGTAACATTTCTCACATAACTACTACAGTTAATTTTTTAAAATAAAAAATTTGTATTAATTTATATTTATGTTTTTATAAATATAAGAAATTCTTTTTTTAATTAAACATTATCATAATTAAGTGATTTAAAGGTTTTGGTAATTTTTTCTAATAAAAAACATAAAAATTATAAGTCATCTTGGTCATGTGAAAAAGTTTTTAAATTGAATATTCGTTGTTAATAAAATTTTTTTTCTTACATTTAACGGTGACAGGTCGATTTGTGAGGTCTTTAAAATATTAAATTTATGTTTATACCAATTTTTTTAAAAATGGATTTATCAGCTTTTGAAAACTTGCTCATTTTTTAAAGTTTCAAAAATTTAATAATATGAATTTCTACCTTAAATAATTAATAATTAGAAGAGAGAAGGTAAAAATCTATTTTTATATGTACTTTCTATGAAACAGTTCTTTCAAACAACTGTAAACAAAGGGTAAAAGTTGTGTTTACAGTAAGCTTAGTTTAAAATAAAAAGAGACCATTGTGGAATTACCATAACGCGTGTACTTGAGCATAAAGTTGTGTCCATATTGGAGAATCCACACTTCGATCTAAGATGCTGTAAGCAAAATTTAATGAGAGTGAAAAGGATAGTGTTATTATCAATTATCTCTCTTGCACTCATAAAATTCTGCTTTCCACGCTTTCTGCTGATGTGATAGAAAAGGACACAAATGTACATCTCTGTCCTTTTCTAACTCATGATTTGCGTTCGCGAAGCAGTTGTGCTTAGGCCTTTATGCTGTCAAACCAGTAGAACCAGTAAACAAACATTTCTAACCTCACTAACATATTTATTTATTTATTTCTACAAATCCTTAGAATCTGATTATGAATCTTAAGCAAACATGTAAATCGTTTGTTTATTAAAACATTATTTTCATATATATTATTTCATGTCATCAACAACATAAAATTCATGTTATACAGTTTGAAACCTGAATAATTTTGATTGACGTGACTTGAAATAAAACTTGAAGTAATAATATTTTATTTTTCTTAAAATTTTAACATTTTGCGTGCTTTATTGACCCTCCAATTAACAAACGTCTCATTTCAAACTAGTAAGATCTACATGAATTTTAATTTTTCTGGAATAGGGGCGATCCGCATGCACAGGGCCAACTTTGAATCTCAGATTTTCTTCATAATTTGCTATCTTGTTGTCTTATGGGACATACATAAGTTGTGAAAAAAGTTTTGTAACTAATATTTTGCAAGATATTGTTATTTAAACTTTTAAGTCACTTTTTTCAACAATTTTTGATTTCAAAATCTATAATAGTTACAAAGAAAAGTTTAATATGAAAATTGTAGGGAAACTATTGAATTTTAATAATATTTTATTGGAAAATAAAAAATTAATTTTTTTTCATTAATTTATTTAAACAATAAATTTTAAATATTTTTTTTTATCCGAAGTCCGTAAAATTTTTTCTTCAAAAAATATTAAAATGAAAGCTTGGAATGTCCTTAAATCAATTAATTTTTAAAAAAGTCTTCTGGCAATTTTCAAATCCATTTGTTTACAATATTCAATTTTACGATATTTAATTATTCATAAATTCTTCAAGTAAATATATAATATTAGAAAATAAAAAATTCAATTAAACTTTTCAAAAAAAATTTAATTTCAAAATTCAATTATTTCTAAAAATTCACGCTATATTATTGCTTTTGGTATTACCTTGCTTTTAATATTCAATTATTATCTACAATTTTAACTGAAATTTATCTTTAAATCAATTTTTATTAGGAAATTCTACTAGAATTCAATTATTTAGATACAAAAATAAACAATTTGTTGAATAATTGAATGTTTCTTAAAGTTGAATTCTCATAAAGAATTTCATCAACAAATTTTTAAATAATTGAATTCTTTTGACGAATTTTAATACAATTTTTAAAAATAATTACATTTTTCGAGAAATTCCATTAAAATCGTATTAAAAATAATTGAAATACTGAGATAAATTTTATTATTTATGGAAATAATTGAATTCATAAAAAGAATTTTATTATTTTTGAACATAATTAAATTTCTGCAAAGAATTTTATTACTCTTGAAAATAATTGAATTTCTGCAAGTAATTTCTCCAAAATAAAAATTTTTTTTTGTGTTTTTAACTAAAATTCTCCTATAAATCAACAATTATTTTTAATAATTTTAAGTAAAATTGAAATAAATGTTTTCAAAAAAATTAATTCTTCTACAGAATTGTTAATTAAAAGTATGAAAAATTAAAACTTTCAAAGATATTAATATGAAACCTTTTCAAAATTCAATTATTTCTAAAAACTCACGCTATAATGCTTTTAATATTCAATTATAATTTACAATGTTAAGTGAAATTCATTTTTAAATCAATTTTTATTCGAAAATTCTACTAGAATTCAATTATTTAAATAAAAAAAATAATTTATTGAATAATTAAATTCTCATAAAGAATTTTATCCACAAATTTTTTAATAATATTGAATTCTTTTGACGAATTTTAATAAAAGTTTTAAGAATAATTATAATTTTTGAGGAATTCCATTAAAACTGTATTAAAAATAATTGAAATTCAGCATTGAGTTTTATTATTTATGATAATAATTGAATTCCTAAAAAGAATTTTATTAACGTAAATAATTCAATCCTTGTAAAATTTTATTATTTATGAAAATAATTGAACTATTTAGAAGAAATTTATAAAAAATTTGTAAATGATTGAATTCCTGTGAAATTTTTATTATTTTATGAAAAATAATTAAATGTTTGAGTAGAATTTTATTAATATTTTTTAAAATAATTGAATTTTTTTGGTAAATTTTATTTAAATAGTAGATATTAAAAATCATTGAATTGAGAAAATTTTTTTTTAAATAATTGAAATTTTGCCAAGAATTTTATTAAAATTTTTGAAAATAATTGAATTTCGGAGAAGAATTTTATTATTTCTAAAGATAATTGAACTTTTGACGAGAATTTTTAAAAAATGTTGAACATAATTCAATTTCTGTGAAGAATTTGATTATTTTTGAAAATAATTGAATTTCTGCAATCATTTGTGATTTCTCTAAAATTCTTTAAATTATATTGTACAATTTACGAACTTTCGTCCTTTTTTTTTTTAAAGAAAACTGATTTTTACGGACTTCAAGCAAATTTACGGACCTTTATGGGATTTACGGACCTAGTTCGAGCCCTGGGAATATCAAAAAACACTTCTTTGTAATTTTCAAGTTTTTTTAAGGACATTTCAAACTTTCATTTTAATTACATTTTTTTGTAACTGTTATAGATTTTGGAAATAAAAAATGTTGAAAAAAGTGACTTATAAGTTTAAATAACAATATCTTGCGAAATAATCGAAATTTTGCAAAACTTTTTCCACAACTTATGTGTATCCCCTAAGACAACAAAATGGCAAATTATGAAGAAAATCTGAGATTCAAAGTTTGCCCTGTGCAAGGAACGCCTCAATAGGATTTTCTGCAATTTAATTTTTCTTGTTTTGTAGACTAAACGAAAAACATAGAAATGACAACAATCATCGAGTCGGGAATACAATTTTTAGCATGGCTCGCCGAAAACTCAGCGAATCCTCTTAAAGTATTGGACGATGCACTGTTTCCAGACGGTTTGGGAAATAAACACACCGTCGAAATAAATGGAGATCCAGGAAGCGGCAAAACTCATCTTCTAGCACAATTAATTGCATCTTGCATTTTGCCGCCGGAATACAATGGTTCCGGCATAAATGTCCTACTTATTAATGCAGATAATCGATTCCCAATTAGAAAACTCGCTAGAATAATGACAAATTTGGTGAAAATGTCATTAATTAAGAAATCCGAATCGTTAAGTGATACAAAATTGAATGAGATTGTCAAGTTGTCATTAAAAAATCTTCTGATTATCAACTGCCTTGAATATTATCAATTCAATTGCAATATATTTTCGTTGCCAACAATGTTAGGTGCCAATAATAAAATAGGCATTGTTGCTGTGGACAGTATATGTGCATTTTATTGGCAAGATCGTCAAGTAAATAGAATTGAACAGTATTCATTGAGTTCGTACGTATCGTTTGTATTAAAAAAAATTCAACAATCTACCGCTCAGTTTAAGGTGAAAATCATTTTTACAAAACCAGCTGATTATGAATCTTTAAAAATTCGTCCTCTCTTAGAAAATGCAACAAATTGCGAGAGAACATTTGGAGAAATAAATCACAGGATTGGTCTTACTTATGATGTCAACTCGACTCATGGAATATGTAAAGTTCAATCAGCTAAAGGCTCTAAAACCATTAATTATAAAATAACAGATGTTGGCATCAAATGGTTAGATGTTGCTCAATCATAAAAACAGTTGTGGGGAATTTTAATGCAATTTATTTTTCATTCTTCAATTTTAATACGATTCGAACTTTATGCTTAAGAAATTTCAATTTTAAATGTTCATGTTCATCTAAATGTCATAATTTTGAATGTTTCTACTTTTCTAAAAAATGTTTACCAATTAAGGTTACATAAATTAATTGTTCAAATAAAAGAAAATGGAATATTTTTTGTTTTCAAAATTGTTAACCTGCTGTTAATTTAAAATTTGAAAGTACTTTTCTCAGTTTTTAAGTTCACAAATACGTTTAGTTTTCAACAATTTAATGTATAAAATTTTGCAATTAATTATTAATTAATATTTATAACTTTGTAGAACAACTTTTTAAAAATAATTTTAATAAATATATTTATTATATAAAGAATTTTTATCTCTTTTGCCTTCAAATATAGGAAATTCGTTTTCTAAAGAAGGAGAATTAAATTTGATGACCAAAAACTCGTTTTAGACACTTCACAAAACTCAAAAATTGTATTCAATATTTTATTTTTCTGACTTTTTCCTAATTTTTATCAAATATATTTACTTCTTCCGTATCCTGCTGATAAATTGAATTTTATTATTCGTGAAAGAATTTAAATATTTATAAAAATAGTTTAATTCTTGCGAGGTATTTTATAAAAATTTTTAAATAATTGATTTTTTTGATATTTTTTATGAAAATAATTGAATTTTGCAAAGAATTTTATTAAAATGCCTTAAAATAATTGAATTTTCGGGAATAATTTTGTCATTTATATATTATCGATCGACATAATTGAATTATTCCGAGGGGCAAACAACTAATGAATTATGGTGTACACTTGTGTTGAATTATCCTGAATTATCATCAATTACCTTGACTTATCTTGAATTACCTGAATTATCCTGAATTATTGTATTAGGTGTACACCAAAATCCTTAGTTGTTTGCCCCTCGAATTATTCATATAAATAATTAAATTCTTGGAATTTTGTTATTTTTGAAAATAATTTAATTTTTCATAAAAATTTTATAAACATTGTTTTAAATAATTCATTTTTTCAAAATATAATAAATATTATGAAAATAATTGAATTTTTCGATTGACTAATAAATTTAAAATAGTACCTATTAAAAATAATTGAAATCCTTCGATGATTTTCATTATTTATGAAAATAATTGAATTTCGTAAATTAATTTTTTCGATTTTTGGAAGACGTATATAAAAGGTAAAAGAAAAACACTCTTTTACTTTTTTATAAAATAGACGACGTTTCGGTGGTCAGGTTCGCCACCATCATCAGGTCACTAGTTAAAGTGACCTGATGGCGAACCTGACCACCGAAACGTCGTCTATTTTATAAAAAAGTAAAAGAGTGTTTTTCTTTTACCTTTTATATACGTCTTCCAAAAATCGAAAAAATTAATTTATTAAATAACTGTGGAAGAATTTACTAAATATTTAATTGAATTTCGAATATTTTTTAAAAATAATTAAATCGTTTTAAAGAATTTGATTAAAAAAAAGTATTTTAAAATTTAATAAAGATACGAATAAAATTCTTTTTTCCCGATTTAGTTAAAAAAAATAGTACAATTTTGGAAATTTTGAGCCCATTATGCGCTTTAAAAACATGTGCTAGATAAAAAGTTGAAATTCAGACTTCGCACTCGATAATTAATTTTATTATTTATGAAAGAATTTAAATATTTATAAAAATAATTTAATTCTTGCGAGGAATTTTATAAAAATAATTTATATCTTGTGAAGAATTTTATAAAAATAATTTATATCGTGTGAAGGATTTTATTAAAATTTTTAAATAATTTATTTCTTTCGACTAATTCCATGCAATTTCTAATTTAAATAATTGAATTCCCGATAAATTTTTATTACCTATTCATGAAAAGAATTGAATTCTTACGAAGATTTTTAAAAAAATGTTTTAAATACTTGAATTCTGTTTGTAAATTTTCTGAAAATAGTAGATATTGAAAATTATTGAATTGCGTAAAGTTTTTAAAACTAATTACATTATACAAAGAATTCTAATTTTTTTTTTTTGACAATAATTGAATGTCTGTGTGGTATTTTATTAAATTTTTTTGTAAATAATTGAGTTCCTAAAAAGCATTTTATTATTTATAAAAATAATTGAATTCTTACGAACGATTTTATTAAAATTTTTTAAAATATTAATTGAATTTCCAAAAAGATATTTATTACTTTTAAACATAATTAAATTCTTGTGATGAATATTGTTATTTATCAAAATAATTGAATTTTGCAAAAAAATTTATTAAAATGCCTCAAAATAATTGAATTTTCGGGAATAATTTTATTAAAATTTAAAAGAATAATTGAATTATTTCAAAAAAATTTAACTAAAATTGTATTTAAAATAATTGAATGCTTTCGAAAAAATTTATTAAAATATTTGAAATTAATTGAATTCCTGTGAAAAATTGTAATATTTTTATAAATCATTGATTTCTTCGAGGAATTGAAATTAAAATTTTAAAGAATAATTACAGTTTTTTAGCAATTCCTGTAAAATTGTATTAGATATAATTGAAATCCTGCGATGAATTTTATTATTTGTGAAAATAATTGAATAGTTGCAAAGATTTTCATTAAAATTTTCAAAAATAATTGAATTTCTGAGAAGAATTATTTTATTATTTATGAAAATAATTGAATTATTACGAAAAATTTTATTAAAATGTTTAAAAAGAATTGAATTTCTGTGAAAAATTTTATTATTTTTGCAAATAATAGAATTCTTCATAAGAATTTTATAAACATTGTTTAAAATAATTAATTTTTTTGAAATGTAATAAATACTATAAACATTTTATTTTAAATAATTGAATTCGTGAAGAAAACTTTATTTCTAAAAATAATTGAATTTTTTGATTAATTAATTTAAAATACATAGTAATAAAAATAATTGAAAATCTTAGATGAGTTTTATTATTTATGAAATGATTGAATTCTTGCTTACAATTTTATAAATTTTTTTTAAAAATAGAATTTCCATGAAAAATGTTAGTGTTAGTGAAAGTATTTGAATTATTGTGAAGAAATGTATAAAAATTTTGTTAAATAATTGATTTTTTCGAAACTTTTGTAAAAATTTTATTCTAAATTAATTGAATTCCAGTGAAAATTTTATTATTTATGAATATAATTGAACTTTGGATGAATTTTACCAATTTTTATTTTAAATAACTGAATTCTTTTGCGAAATTTTATGAAAATACTAGACATTGGAAATAATTGAATTTGGGATATTTTTTGAAAATAATTGAATCGTTTTAAAGAATTTGATTATAATTTTTTGATTTCTAGTATTAGCGAATTTAAAGTAGTGGAAATTCTCAGAAAAAACAGAAATAGTAGCTTTTAGTGGCTGAAATTTAAAAAAAGTACCCAAATAGTACCATAACTTAAAAAAAAGTAGTAAATAGTAGGTTTTAATAGGTGAGTGCGAAGCCTGGAAATTGTAAATTAATATCTACAGTATTATAGTGGTTTTACTTGATTTAAAAAAATTAATGTTTATAACTTCTAGGGTATATTATTTGTGTCTCAAAAAAACTCTGTATTCTTTTAATGTTTTAAGTTTTATTAATGAAGAAAATAAAAATACATTTTTCGTAAAAAGTATTTACGAACGGGGACGTTCCTTTTTCTCTTTATAAAGAGCCAACAAGGAAACGTTTGCTACCTTAACGACCTTAAATCTGACTCCGGGAATATCTCCCACGGCGTGACCTTTTCTACCGAATCCAGCGACCAAAACTTCGTCGTTCTCCTCGATATTGTTGAGACAACCATCCCGAGGTACGAACGCAGTGATTTTCTTTCCGTTCTTAATCAATTGAACTCTCACGCATTTTCGGATGGCAGAGTTTGGCTGTTTTGCTTCTACACCACTGTAAAATTTTATCAATTTTTTAACCATTTTTAAACAATACTTTAGTATTGGTTCAGATTTCGTGAATTTTTCACGAAAAATAAAAAGTATCTTTTTTAAATCGAAATGTTGAAATAGTATATTTCGTAACAACTGCTAGCACTAGTTACGAACGATATTTTTCATAACGCGGTGCAAAAAAGTGCCCTTTTTTGCACCGCGTTATGAAAAAACATTTCTATTTGGCCTTAGGAATGTGGGCACCGAAGAACATACAAAAAAATTTTTTTTTTTTAAAAAGTTATTGTAAAATGAATTTTTTTTGCAACTTTTTAAACAAAATTTTATTTCTCCTAAATGAATGAACCGATTTAAATGAACCAAGCGGGAATATAAAGGGGATAATACATACTTTCGTTTAGAATTAGAAAAATTTAAAAAGTTTAGTTTTTTAAAAATTATTTAATAAATTGTTTATAAACAATTTTTTTTTTAATGTTCTGCGCCTTTTGAAAATTTGAAAAAAATCCCAACATACAATTAAAATTATAAGAAATCAAAATAGATTTTGATTCCTTATAATATTGATTGTATGTTGAGATTTTTTTCAAATTTTCAAAAGGCGCAGAACATTAAAAAAAAAAATTGTTTATAAACAATTTATTAAATAATTTTTAAAAAACTAAACTTTTAAAATTTTTCTAATTCTAAACGAAAGTATGTATTATCCCCTTTATATTCCCGCTTGGTTCATTTAAATCGGTTCATTCATTTAGAAGAAATAAAATTTTGTTTAAAAAGTTGCAAAAAAAATTATATTTTGCAATAATTTTTATTAAAAAATTTTTTTTCTGTTCTTCCGTGGACACATTCCTAAGGAGAAATAGAAATGTTTTAACATTTCGATTTTAAAAAAATACTTTTTATTTTTTGTAAAAATTTAACAAATTTTGACCCATTGTAGTTTTAATTTTTTTTTAAATGTTACATTTCAGAAATAAAACAAAAAGGTTTCTATTAATTTTTGTTTTACTATTTATGATATTTAGTAGTTACTCTTTATTTACATTTTCTTTAAAGTAATTAAACAAATTAAAACTAATTGGAAATAATATTTCCGAATTAAGTGTTAGAAATAGAAGTTAATTTATAAGTGGAATTTTAGTTGGAAAGTTAAAAACAAATTTTATTTATTGCAACTTTGACAAAGCTTTTAAGAGAAATATAAAGAAAATTATGAGAATTGTTTTAAATTATGAAATGTAAAATTAAAATATACAAAAGTTAATGAAAAAGGAAAATAAATCTTTGATTTTAAAAGTTATCAATAACTTGTTGAATACTCACACTTTTTCAAGAACAATTCCTTTTGCATGAGAAGCACCACCGAAGGGATTGGCCTTCCATCTTGTTCCAAGATGGGCTTTTTTGTAATCTTTATCGCACCAACGTTGGTCGCGTCTGTGATTCACGTGTTTACGAGCAGTTCGAAGACCACGAGGTTTACCTGCCAAATAAAGTAATACGATAAATTATAATTTTAGAAAGAAAAAACACCTTTAGAAATTATTAAAAGAATTATAACCTAAAAACACATTTTATAATTAAAATATTTTTTATTGTAAATGGAACGAAATTCAGTTTTACATTTGTTCGAAATTAACATTTTTATGTTACAAACATAAAATAGAAAGCACAAATACATTTTACTTCAAGTGGAATATTTATTTGGCAAACCAAATCATTGACCGATACATCGAAAAATCTAACCTCACTTTTTTTGTTCCATGTACAAATGTGTCAAATGATAATAAAAATTAAAAGAATAAATTTCTAATTAAATATTATGAAAAAGGAAAAATGCGATCTAATTTTAAATCAACTAAACATTATTAAGTTTATAATTATCTTTAATATTTTGAAAGTGTCAAAGCGTGCACGCGGTTATCACACATTTTCAACATTCAATATTTCTCGAAAAAAAATGAATAACCCGAACTATGATTTCAATAAATCATTTCGCATTACTTCTAAAACATTTTTTGAAAAAAAACATATAAATTTTAACAACAAAGCACTTGAAAAATGTAAAAAATACAGAATAAGGATAAACACGTACCCATCTTGACGGCGGAAGTACACGAAAAGAACTTTCGATAAATATCGAATGCTTCGAGAGAGAGAATTTTATTCAACCGGAAGTATTGGACAAATTCAAAAAATACGAAAAATATAGAAGTTTTTATACCTTTTGTTAAGAAAATTTAAATATATTCGATAATTGATAAGGGAGATAATTTTAATAAAATCAATTCTAGTGATTAATCGTAAGAAATTAATAAAAATAATCGCAATGATTTTGTCCTAAATTCCCTAGATTTGGTATAGCCACAGGTCAGCTTAGGGAATTTTACAATTCTGAGAAGTGAGAAGTTTCTCCAATTTAACATACAATAACAATGGTAGTCTGCACTGTAAAAAAACAGTAAAAATCAGAACGTTTATAAAACTGTCATTGAATTTCTCTTGAACAAGAATAAAAAATTGATAACGAAACGTGATTTGAGATTGACTCGGGGTTTTAATAACTGTTTACTTTTTATACTGTATACAAAAAAGTAAAATGAAAATAAAAGTGTGTATTGACAGGAACATTATTTGTGAGCAATAAATGATGATATATAAACAAATGAAGAGCTGACAATGTTTATTAGTTGTACTATGATTTGATAATTATTTCATTCATCTAAGGTCTTTTTAATTAAGAATGTTTAAAGCAGAAGAATCGTCGAAAGGTAGTTTCCTTCAGCAAACAAAAGCCGCGAGAGAGGAACGTGCCAATGAAAAAATTCGAAGGGAAGCAGCAACTTGCATTCAAGCACTTGTTAAAGGATGGCTGACTCGAATTAAATTTGCCAATACAATTAGGTGAGTTTTTTCGAACATGTTTTTTAACATTCTATTAATATTATAGTTTTCATGTATCACTCAACAGTAAAAAAAAACTGATTCAGGGTTGTTGCCACAGGTCAGGGAATTCAGGGGAAAATCAGGGAAAGTAGAATTGGTCAGGGAAATCAGGAAAAAGTCAGGGATTTTTATTAAAAGTACTGGAAAAAATTACATTTTTAGAATTCATAAGAAAATTCTGAATTTTGGTGACTTTTTTGTTTGCCTCATAAACTATGAAACTACCACGAATTCTAATACAAAACCTTCAACATTTTTTTCTATTTCTAACAAGAATGAATTTTTTTAATATTTATTTAATTATTTCAAAAATTATTATTATTTTCATAAATAAATAACAATATTTATCACAAGAATTCAATTATTTTAAAAAATTTTAACAAATATCTCATCAAGAATTCAATTATCTTTATAAATAATCAGGGTTGCCACGATTTTGCTCTTTTCAAATTCCCTGACTTTTCCAGGTTAAAAAACGGGATTTTTCCAGGTTTTTAAAACGAAAATTATTCGAAAACATCAATAACTTCATTTTAAAATAAATATTTAATCATTATTTTTTTTTTAAATTTAAATATTTAAAAATTTGAAATTCAATAACATATGATACTTAAAACTTTCTACTTTGTTACTGTAACTTCTTCAAAAATTATTTTCATCATTACGATTATTCATTTCTAGAATTTTCAACTAAAATTCTTCTTTAAGTCAATTTTTTAAAAATAATTTTTGAAAAAGTTCTTTGTGAATTTTCAAATTCTTTTGTTTACAATTTAATTTTACGAAATTACGATTATTCTGACATTCTTCAATTAAATATATTAGAAATTAAAAACTTCAAAGAATTAAAACGAATTCCATTAAACTTATTGAGAAAAATTAATTCTATAGAATTCTTAATTAAAAGTATGAAAAGTTACAATTTTCAAAGATTTTAATTTGAAATTCATTTTCAAATCAATATTTATTAGAAAATTCCACTAGAATTCAATTGTTTAACTATAAAAATAAATATTTTACTAACAATTGAATGTTTCTTAAAATTGAATTTTCATAAAGAATTTTATCAACAAATTTTAATAAAATTTTTATGAATAATTGCATTTTTTGAGAAATTTGATGAAAATTGTATTAAAAATAACTGAAATTCTGTCAAGAATTTTATTAAAAGTTTTGAAAATAATTGAATTTCGGAGAAAGATTTTATTATTTATAAAGATAGTTGAAATTTTGACGAGAATTTTTGTAAACTTTTAAACATAATTGGATTTCTGCGAAGAGTTTTATTAAATTTATTTTGAAAAAATTGAATTTTTACGCAAAAAATTGCATTAAAGTTTTTGAAAATAATTTTATTCTTTAAAGAAATTTAATTAAAAATTTATTGAAAATAATACTTAAATTCTAATAATTCCATTAAAATTGTATTAAAAATAATTGAAATTATGCGATGAGTTTTATTATTTATGAAAATAATTGAATCCTTGCAAAAAATGTTATTTTTTCTAAAAATAATTGAATAATATATGAAAATAATTTGTAAATAATTGAATTTCTGAGAAATTTTTATTATTTATGAAAATAATGAAATGTTTGCGTAATACAATTTTATTAAAATTTTTTTTAACTCTTGAATTCTTTTAGGAATTTTTGTTAAAGTAGTAGATATTAAAAATCATTGAATTGAGGAAAGTTTTTGAAAATAATTAAAATTTTGCCAAGAATTTTATTGCAATTTTTGAAAATAATTTAACTTCTGAGAAAAATTTTACTACTTTTGAGAATTGAATTTTTGCAATCATTTGTAATTGCTTCAAAATTCAATTTGTTTTAGTGTTTTTAATTAAAATTTTTCTATAAATCCATTATTTTCAATAAAACTAGTTAAATATTTATATTAAAAAATTTAACTAATTTTAGAAGAATTTTAGTTTAAAAATTTTTTTTTAAATCTAAGTTTTTTTTTATATTTCTAATTAAATTCATTTAAAATTGAAATTATACAAAATTTTGAATCAAAATCTTTTAATACTTATGAAAATTGTAAACGAAATTCTTTTAAAATTGAATTAATTTTGAAATATTTAAGTAAAATTAGATTTCAAGAATAAACACAATAACTTTAGAAAACAACAACTTTCCAGGATTTCGATCAAAATTCCCTGACTTTTCCAGGTGTTTTCAAGGTTTATAAAATTCCCTGACATTTCCAGGTTTCCAGACCCTGAAATATCAACATTTTTCGCCAAAAATTCAATTACTTTCAAAAGTTTAAAAAAAATTCTTTGCAAAATTTCAATTATTTTCAACAAAAAAAAATTTTCGCAATTCAATGATTTTCAATGTTTACTATTTTCATAAAATTTATCAAAAAAATTTAATTATTGAAAAAATGTTTGATACAATTCTGCGAAAACATTCAATTATTTTCATAAATAATAAAATTACATTTAGGAATTCAATTATTTTCATCTCAGAATTTCAAATATTTTTAATACAATTTTAAATAAATTCTTTGGAAAATGCAATTGTTCTTAAAAATTTTATTAAAACTTAAAGAAAGAATTCAATTTTAAAAAACGTTCAATTATTTAATAAAATAATAAAAATCGTTGCAATAATTCAATTATTTTCATAAATAACTTTTAATTCGTCGCAAAAAAAATCAATTATTTAAAATTTTTTTTAAGTATTTCTGCAAAAGAATTCAATTATCTTTATAAACAACAAAAATTTCCCCATAAAATCAATTATTTTGAGGAATTTTAATAATATTCTTTTCTAAAATTAAATTACTTTGATAAATATCAAAATTCCTCAGAAAAATTCAATTCTTTTAAAAAGTAATAAAATACTTTGCAGAAATTAAATTTTTTTCCAAATTTTTTAAAAATTCTCGTCAAGAATTAATCTTTATAAATAGAGAAATTCTTCTCAAGAATTAAATTATTGTCAAAAATTTTAATGAAATTCTTGGCAAAATTTTAATTATTTAAACAAAATTTAATAAAATTCTTATTATTTTTATAAAATTATTATTTAAATTCTTCTCAAGAATTCAATTATATTTAAAAATTTTAATAAAATTCTTCAAAAAGTTTTCAATTATTTTCAAAAATTGTTATAAAATTCTTTAATATAATAATAAGTTTCAGTAAAATTTAAATTAAATTCTTTAAAAGAAATTAAATATTTTCAAAAGTTGTTAATAAAATTTTTCTTAAAAATTAAATTTTTAGAAACATTTAATTATTGAATATCTAAATTATTTATTTTTCTATTTAAGTAATTGAATTCTCGTAGAATTTTCTAATAAAAATTGATTTAAAAATAAATTTCGAAGAAGTTAGAGTAACAATATTCTTATATAAAATAATAATTTTATCCCTGGGTTATTTCTAATTGTTATAAAAATATTCTTATTAAGTTATTAAATTTCAAAAGATTTGAATTTGAAATTTTTGAAAATCTTAATTCCTATGGAAAAATATTAATGAATACTGCTTTTTTGGAAAAATTTATTTATTTATTTAATTTGTTAAATATTAATAAAGATCTTGAAAAATAAAAACTTAAAATTTGGTTACTTCTTTTCCTTCATACAGTGTTTTCAATTCAATAAGTAAATTGATAAAAAATGTTAATTATTTCAGAACACAATTTGATGACAATTTTCAAGATGAGAAACCTGGCGATAATGAAACAAATGACGCTGTGAAACTAAAACCTGCTCTACACATCTACAAAATTATTTCTAGATTTTTAATTGTATATAAGTCGGAGAAAGATCAAGAAAGAGTGGAAAAATTATGCAGGTAGCCTTCAGAAAAAAGATAAACAAAATTTTATTTTAATGTAAATGCAATTTTTTTAATTTTATTTTTATTAAACATTCTTCAAATTACACGGAAAAGAATAGTTTTCGAAAAAGTACTGAATTATTTCACTAATTCAGGATATTTTGGATTATTTTCAAATCAGTTTATTACTTATCCGAAAAGATAATTTTCAATTATCAATTCAACTCTGATGAATTGGTCACAATATTCTTAGTTTTACTCGACTCAGTTTAGTACTTTTTCAACAACAATTTCTTTCCGTGTACAAATATTTCTTTATTTCTTTGGAATTTACAATTATTTACACCTGAAAAATTCCATTTAAATATTGAAAATTTCTACAAGTAAATAAAATAAATTAAAATTAAAAATATTAAATAATACTTTCTCATGTGCACGGTGGTCAGGAACAGATTTTAAATGAAGTGAAAATGTAGAGAAAATCTGTTTACATAAATTTATTGTATACATAACTACAAAACAGAATCACTTTAACTCACATCTTTATTAGATCATGTGCATGTTATACACCATTTAAAAATTTTTAATTTTTAAAAAACTTGAAAGTTCACGCCATGCCAAGGTGTTTTAAATAATAAAATATATTCAAATAATAAAATTGATTTTAGACATGTATGAATGAGAATGAAACGACAGCTTTCTTCAACATTGATGAATGTGATGGGTGATTTATCGAATTTATTTTATATTTGTTTCACACGTGAAAAAGAATAATCAAATTTACCCTGTTTAGAACTTAACCTAAGGAGTGTTAAATTTATGTTTTTCATAATAGATTTAATTATCCTTAAGGGGTTACCCCCACTTGTAACTTTCAAATTTTACAAATTTTTTTTTTTGCACATTTTTGAAGCATAACTATCTAACATTACGTCCTTAATATTTCAAGCCGATCTGAAAAAATTATCTAAGATATGAACATTAAAAGAACAGAATCCGTTGCGTTGATGACTATCTAGCATGATTATAAATTACTACCAACAAATGTTTTGAACGCTATCATACCTATAAACACTGATCTGAGTGAAGAAACTTTACTTAAACAATGTGGAAAGTTACTATGTGGACGCGAAATAGATTAAAAAAAAAATTTTTCTTACTACTTGAAACTTGAAAACTACTGAACCGATCTTGCTGAAATTTGGCAGGATTATTCAATACATAAAAATGTAGTCTTTAATAATATTTTTATAAATCCTTCGATTAAAGACTAGTTTATAGTTTTATTTAACTAATCCTATTGACATTTTTTGTTTCACATTATTCAGTTCACTACAATTTTGGTCACCGCAAGACAAAAATAATAAAAAGAACCTTCATTTAGCAGAAATTTCTAACAAAATTATTCAATATTTTTTAATAAAAAAAATTCTAAAATGTATATGGGACATTTTTTGCCAAGCGGGCCACCCCATCTCACTCCCCACCTCTGAGTAAAAGATTTCAAGCAAATCGGAGGATCTTTTAAAATTTTTCCGCCATATTGGATTTGCCATTTTGTATTTTTCAAATCCAGACTTAAATTCATAATCAGCGACCCTAAAAACCCCTGAGTAACAAATTTTAAGCAAATCAGAAATAATTCAACATTCTGCCTCCATATTGGAACAGCCATTTTGAATTTTAGAAATCTAACTTCTGATTCTTGTTCTGCAACCTCAAAAACACCTTTGCAAGCTTATTTTGAAGTGTTCAGAAGAATTATGATCTATTATTTAGCTTTTAATGTAAGCAATTCTTGTATTTTCTCGACTGTAAGCTTTATATCTCAGCCGCCATCTTGGATTTTTAAAATCGCCCAACGGTATACAAAAATAGACATTTTAAGCTAATTGTTCCAAAACGTTTTAAATTTTTTAATGAAAAAAATGGAGAGAGAGAAATTCACGAAAAAAGCCTTTTTTTCGCTGCAACTGGGGGTAAATATAAATTGAATGTCAAAATGTAAACAAAATTCTTCTGTTTTGTAATTAGGAATTCTTGGACTCACCTAGAAATCTCACTGGTCTTTATTTGCGTATGTGTAACATACAAATATGCTAATTAAATCCTTCAATTAGAGTCTCTTATTTTGAAACTTTTAAAATGTTGTAAAACCTGTAAATGACCTATTAAAGATGTGAGTAAACAGATTTTCTCTACATTTTCACTTTATTTAAAATCTGTTCCTGATCACCGTGTGTGATAAGAATGTAAAAATAAATAATCATTAAATGGTGAATTTTCAGATATCTTGTGCTATCAATTTTATCAGAATCACCGAAATTCTCTTATGTTGGAGTTGCATTAAACAAAGAGCATAACATATCATGGATTTCACAAATAAAAACAATATTGCACCACTGTATGACTGGTTTAGAAAATCTCAAACCAGAAATTGTTTCTGACAATAAATCAATTGTATTAAGATTGCACACGTTAATCAGTTTCACGTCACCGAAAACATGGGCTATTCTTCATCTCAATGGAATGGAGAAACTCAAAACAGGAATGAATCAACTTTGTGCGAATATTATGGGACATCTAGTCAGCAATGGATTCTATAATATTATGCAGGTTTGATAAATTAATCGTTCTTATTTACAGCAGAAGAGTTTTTATTTACACTATATATATTGAGCGGATGGGATGAAGAACTCGTCGAGACGCTCGGCTGCACGCTGTATTGTCAGTTAAACGTTCCAAATGCCGATAAAATTAAAATTTGAAATTTTGAATTTTAAAAAGAGCTACATTATAGAAAATAAAGAGGCGCATCTTTTTTCCTTTGAATTTTTTTGTAGAACAATTAGTTTAAATAGTAAGTGCAAAAAAGTAACAAATTTTAATTTTCCATTCAATTTTAAAACATAAATCCTCGTAGTTGAGACAAATATTGATAAAATTAATCGGTATTTGGTATTATAAACTCGTTTGGGTCCAGAGAAGACGATTGCATATCATCAGACTTAAAAATTAATAATTGTTTAATAATATTTAATTGTTATTAATGACCTACCAGCAATCATTTTTCTGGAAAATTTCAAATTGTTAAAAATCTTTAATTACCAATAAAAAAAATATATATAATTCAAATATTTTAAAAATACTCCGCGAAAATATTACTAGATACTAGTACTTTTAAATACAACTACTTACTTTAAATTTTGCAACTTTGCGAAAATAGGGGGGGGGGGCACTTCAGGAATTTTTATTCAAAACAGTGGAACAAAAAATGGGTTACCGTTAGTTAATGTTTTGGATAAAATTATTCGATTTTTCTCAATTTTTTCACACTACTCCGCAAAATATTATATTTTTTTATAAGTTTTGAAAAAAGATCTATAAAAAATTTATTTCCCTTGCAACTTAAATAACACGTTAACGCTAAAACATCTTTTTTTTACTTTCAGTGATTCCTACAGTAGGTGTCAACTTCGAATTACTTAATAAATCATCAAATGTTATTAAATGATTGACAATGTAATTTCTGGCTTCCGTTTTATAATCATTATATACCTTTACTTGACTGTTCGGGAAATAAACAATTCGAACTAATTTACTAATTTTAATTTGTGTTAAACATTGGGCTTCATTTTCTAATAATGGTTCGAAATTTTTTACTTCGAAATCTGATTCGCGTACAGTTATAAATGGAGGATTTCTCGCATCCTTATGAGGTTTATATAAGCTTCAACAGTCTCAATTACTTCAGTTTTTTTTCTTTTGTCCGTACATCCCAAAATTTCGATCACACGAACAATATGAAAGTCCACGAACGGGATAAACATGTTCGACTTCGATTTATAATTTGGAGAAAGTAATGAAAAAAAAGATAAAACTAAATAATTTTTGTTTTGTCCTGGACAATTGTCTGAAAATAAAAATATTTCGTCGTAATAATCAATTGCGAATTCTTTTTTAATCGTGTCCCAAATTAAGTTGCAAACAGTGTTGTAACCTTTTTTCATACTTCCTTCTACAAAGAAGTACATGTAACTGCGCTTGTGGTCACCGAAAACATGTACATTAATAATATTCAAACACAGAAATCTTTTATAATATTGGTCATTCACTGGGATTTTCGGAAATGATAAATTTTTACCAAAGTCAAATTCAAGACATAAAACATTTTTCTTTTAATTCTTTATAATGATTGACTCTTTTTTTATGATCTGTCATTTCATCACTCATCTGCAAGCTACTTTTCTCGAATTCGAAGCATGTATTACAAAAGTCCGTTCCTGGTTTCGAAAAAGTGAAGTCAACGTCAACGTTGTAATTAAAACATTGACAGTACGTGTTTTCATCAATAGGTGGATTTTTATTTCCCGTTATTGCTGCATAATAATCTAAAAACAAGGAATACAACTTTTTAAAATTTAACTCTGAATTTTCAAAGTATTTTAAAGAAGTTTCCTCCCGCCTCTAATGCGATGCCGAATGTGGAATAGAATTTCAATGTTCCTGTATTAATTCTTTTACATCTTCATTTTATTCGTTGCAGAATAATTCAACCTTCTCATGAGTCCACTAAGAAACAAATTTTGTGAATTATAGTTTCCACATTTGTAAAATTGTTAAAACGATTCTGCTTGCTCTGACTCTCGAATATGATCATCCATACTTATTATCTACACGGCGACTCGATAGCGTGCCACGCGCAATTTGTTAAAACTTCAATATTTTCTAAACTTTTCAATAAAACAATTTGAAATTTCCCAGAAAACATCTTTATACATTGAAAAACAAATGTCTCACTGAAAGTTCACAAGAAAATGTGATTGCTGGTAGGTCATTAATAACAATTAAATATTATTAAACAATTATTAATTTTTAAGTCTTTTGATATGCAATCGTCTTCTCTGGACCCAAACGAGTTTGTAATACCAAATACCGATTAATTTTATCAATATTTGTCTCAACTACGAGGATTTATGTTTTAAAATTGAATGGAAAATTAAAATTTGTTACTTTTTTGCACTTACTATTTAAACTAATTGTTCTACAAAAAAATTCAAAGGAAAAAAGATGCGCCTCTTTATTTTCTATAATGTAGCACTTTTTAAAATTCAAAATTTCAAATTTTAATTTTATCGGCATTTGGAACGTTCAACTGACAATACAGCGTGCAGCCGAGCGTCTCGGTGAGTTCTTCTTCCCATCCGCTTAATATATACAATGCCCAAACTCGGACATTCTTAGTCGGAGACTAAGAATGAATATGGAAAATAAATAAAAGTAGAAAGAGTTATATATCCTGCACATTATATGAAATTACATTGAAAGTACTTAACATTAAGTATTTACAAATTTTTAAATAGTTTCAAACCGTTTAGAAAAATTTGTTAAAAAATCAATTGAAACATTTATTATGATTGTTGTAGTTTATTATCTATTTTCTTGAATTATTTAATGCTTTTACTAATATTGCTATTTGTAATTGAAATAATTTCAGGCTCTCTTGGTGAGAAGTTTGGCGAGAGAAAGTATTACGTTGACACCTGTTGAATTAACAGCCGTTATTACGTTAACGTTCAGGCCTCTGATTTCTTCTCAAATGTCTGATAAATTAGTTTCATTGTTTTTAATAAACATCCTCAGCGTTCCTTCTTTGATTTATCATTTAAATAAAGAAGAATTCGATAAGGTAAGAACGTAAGAATTTATTTGAAGCTTTTTAGATTTTTTAGACATAATTTATATGTTTGGTTGTATTTTCAAAATCTGATGTAAGGTTCGAAATGAGCGACGAAATGAATTTTTGGGAACGTCGTCCCCAATATTGTTTTACATTGTAAATTTTTTTAATATTAATGTATTTTTTAATGGGTTTTTATTTCAAACTAATTTTCAATTGATTAAATATATTTCAAGTTAAACTAACATTTAATTAAATCAATTCAATAAATAATGATAATAATTAAAAAAATTTTAAATAATAATTTTTTCATTGGCAGTGCATCTCATTATTTAAGACACATAGTCTTCTGTCAAGAAGTTTAGATTTATTAAATTCTGAGCAAAATTTAAGGATAGTTTTTAACGCTCTTGAAGGGAACTATGCGTTATGCCTGTTAGCAAATTTAATTCAGTTAGCAACTATCGAAAAGGAAGAAGTTTTAAAAGAGGCCTACTTTCCATCTTTCACGGTATATATTTTATCTTGATAAATATTTAGTATGTATTCATTAGCTTCTTTCAAGAAATTCTGTATTTTCTTCCTTTTTGTCTTTAGTTTGTGGTAACAAAGATGCTGGAGGCTTGTCAACAATATGTGGTTGCGAAGAAAAGTAATTTAACAAGTTGGCATCCAATTCTCGGATGGTTTGCTCAAAAAATTGATCCATCACTTCCGGGAGTTATTCCATTTGTTAAACTACAATTATCTGAACTTTGGACTGGAAAAATTGTAACTCAATTGATCGGTAATTAAGTTTTATGTTCAAATTTTTGTTTCTTTTTCATTGTTGAAAACTTCAATTTAAGAGGATTAAGATTTGATCATTTTATTCATAATAGCTGAAATGTTTGTCGTACTTTATATTCTATTCGTAAAAACCATTTTATTAGAAAGAAAATTTTTACTTCTTTTCATATCAATATATCATTTTTTTATATTCTGAAATATTAATTCTGCTTTTTGAATGAAAAAATAGGCCAGCCATTAATGGAACTTGTTGAGAATGAATCTCCACCACAATTGGAGCAACAAAGCATCTCAGTGGGTACTAATATTTTTGTTCGAGCTTTCCTCGAAGCGAGGACAAACAGAACAAATAGCAATAAAAACTATCGTAAGCTAGGAAGTCCTGAAACGACGAAAATAGCTTTGATATGTTCACTTTATCAGACTGCTCTTGACACACTAACTGGAATTAAATTTGATATTTTAATAGGTAAATAAATATTTATAGAAACTATTTTGATCAAAAAATAAATATGTAAGCAAATAAATGATAAGAAAAGTAAAATTATTAGTTACTTGATGACTTTTATTTATTCAGGTTTAAGCAGTGGTAAACTTTTATATCACATGTGGCTCTTTTTGGGAACTCTTGGTCCTCATTGTGGTTTGAAGGCATTCCTCGATTTATTAGCAGCTAATACAAAATGTACAGCTCCAGAATTTCACATGCTGATATTATTTTGTGACTGTATGACAAATTATATTGCGTGCGTATTTCTGATTTTATACGCCTGTAAATTTTCAATTCCTAAATGGAAATTCATGTATTATGCAATTTTCAGGCTGCTAGACGATATGAATATGTATGAGACACAAGATCCTTTTAAACTTTCGGATTTTATTACGATGTCGTATTTCCTCAACCAGTTTCTTTATAAAGCAGTTCTCAACAACTTATTCGGTAAGTCTAATAGACATAAGAAATATAGGGACGTAGTTGACGGTCTTACTTTAGAATGCACTGAGAGGCCTTTGGGTCTGCAGCAGATTTTCGATAGGCTGCTGCTGACCATTCCGTTGGTATTGTGAATTTTGATTGGCTAAAACTCTAAATTGACAGTTTTTCTGCTCGGTCATTTGAAACCAAGCATCAAATGATTCAAGCATCAATTTAGATTTCAGACAATTAAAATTCACAATTGAGGGTCCCTATCAAAGAACTGATTATAATTTTTTTAAGCTCAAAATCATTGCCCTGTAAGTCAAAAATTAAACTGTTTTTAATCCCAATTTTTTAAAAAACATTTATTTGGTAAATCTTTATATAAATACGAAATTTTTTCAAGAAATTAAAATTTTAAATCCTTTTTTTATTTAGAGGTCGAGAATTTTGAGTCTCAAAAACTTATAACCGGTTCTTTGATAGGGACCCTCAATTTCACTCACCAATCAACCACGTTTGCCATTTTCACAACACTGCCAACATGAACGTCGGAAACGAGTAATATAACTGTTACATAACATTGTTATAGAACTGTGTCATAAGCATAATTCAGAATTATTCTGTAACTAACTTGTAACTATGTTCTAGAACTCTGTTACAATAAGGTTATATAACAGATCTGCAACTAGTTTGCAACAGGGTCAAATGTTAAAAAAAAAATCAAAGTTGGTCATGGGTCTATTCATTTTTATGAAACTTGGTATAAATGTAGTGCTTTATGACAGAAGATTTTAGCAAAAAAAGATTTTTTAAAATTTTCAAAATTGTGTATTTTACCGGGCATCAAACATAAAAGTACATTTTTTTAACTAAGCAGAAGTAAAACAAGATTTGTTTTACTATAAATCAGTTGCGAAGAGGGTTCCCGCGAAAAGACATCCTTAATATCACCAAGTACTTGTCTCGCATCCGAAAGGATGAGGACTCTTGGAGTACCAATTCTCTTGGCATATAGAATAGCTGATAGTATAGCATACGCCTCAGTCGAGTAAGCAGATGTTGACTCCTGAAGAGCCACCCCAAACCTATAGTTAGACTCAGGGATATAAAATGCACTGCCGGAGAAAGATGCGTTAACCCCGAAAACCGATCCATCAGTAAAGATGGAAGTGAATCCTGGAAAGTTTTCCAGCTGTATAGATGTAAGAGTATTTGCAGGTGAAATCCCATCTTCCTATTTCTCCTGAAATAAATTCAGTCGAATATCCAGATCCATAGTTATCATTTCCCATTTGTGATCATAATCCGCAGGTCTATTGGTTCTAAACATAGATTCCAAAGCTTCACGCATAGATTCAAAGGTACGCAACAATGGAGATCTAGCAATGGTCACGGGCATACGACAAGCAGAAGAGCGTATTTTTCCAGACAACAAAACCAACTTAGGGATCAAAGGGTTAAAACGCCAAGCATAATTTCTAATAATGAAACGTTGAGTAAGCAGCTTCCTTCTGCAAGATAAAGGAATCTCCTTTACCTCCGATAGCAATACAGGGATTGGGGTGGTGCTCATGACACCAAGGGCAACCATCAAAGCGGAATTCTGGACCCTGTCCAAACCAGCAAGAGCTGAGACATTTGTCGACCAATAAAGTTGACATCCCAATTTCAGATACGCACAGATCAAACCCCTATATACCATCAAAGCCAAGACCGGGACAGCTCCCCAACTAACCTTTGAGATAACTTTAAGAACATTTATTGCTCTGTAGGCTCGTGAAATATTCTCTCTTATATGGGGAATCCAGGAAAGTCTAGAATCCAAAATTATTCCCAGATATTGATCTCGGATGCACCAATCACTCTTGTATTATCGACATCCTTAAAAACATTTTCAAGATCAACCTTTTTAGAGGAAAACGGACAAAATATACATTTTGCTGGTGAGATCCTTAAGCCCCTCTGCAGTAGTCAATTCGACAATGGAATCACCGCCGCCTCAAGCAAATTCTTCGCCTGGCCAACATCTCCACCTCTAGTCCTCTAGCATATAACAAAAGGTCATCCGGGTATTGTGTGGCTCTAACGTGTACCCGGAAGGTTGTACCAATTTCTATTAGATATAAATTGAAAAGTATGGGCTCCACAGGTTCTACCCTCTACTGAGTTAGGGAAGAAAAGATCCCTTCTCTCAGTAAGAGAAGCGACAAAATCCACAATGCGTCCCGGAACATTCAATTGGCGCAATTTTTCATTTAAAATTAATGGTCGAACGTTGTTAAATACCCCCTATATATCTATAGCCAAGGCAAGTGTGACACATCCCTGACCGAAACCCTGCAGAATGTCCGTCACCACCGTTAACACACAGTCCAAAGAAGAGCGTTTGCGACGAAAACCAAACTGGAAATTTGGGATTATATTGTTCTGTTCAATGAAGTTCTCCAATCTGCGTTGAATCATTGTCTCCATAAGTCTGGAGAGAACTGACGTGAGGGAGATGGGTTTGAAACGCTTTCCGCCAGGGTTTGGAAGAAAGATTACTCTAGTATTTCTCCAAGATTCAGGGAAAAGAGAGCGCAAAAAATACATTAAACAACTTCAAACAAAAATATTGAGCCTTCTATGATAAGGCTCTCAACCACTCCTATATGACGTAGTCCGTGCCCGGAGCAGATTTGACGTTACCCCGCATTAAAGCAGCACGAAACTCCTGCCAAGAAAGAGGAGAGTTATAGATATTATTATCGTCAACAGAAGAGCAACGTGGTATTTGGACAGGAGGAACCTCCTCACAAACCAATTCATCCTGAATCGGGGACCCCTGGGACCACTCTTTAAGGATCTCACAACAGACCATGTTTTAGAAAGGCCAACATCTGGGGTGAGTTTCCTGTTGCTAAGAAACCACTTGACCTCCATATCCACTTTTCTCGCCTCTTTCTCATTTTCCTTCGATTGATCTGTCCAATAAGCCCTGTTAGCTTCCCTCCTCTTCCTAATCGCATCATCACACTCCTCATTCCACAATAACGGGCGTGATTTACAAAATTTTGAGTTCCTAGATGGAAGAAAACCTCCAGAGGCTTCAACCGCTCTCATCATTCCAACAACGAAGGTGTCATAAACCCTCTCAGGATCCTCACCCAAATCCAATGAATTAGACAAATCAGGTATAATTTCGCCGACCTAGTGCTGGAAGAGAGACCAGTCGACCTTCCTTACATTATATCTAATTGAGGATGCTGTGCATAAGTTTGGATCACAGGATAGCGAAGAGGTAATCAAAACATAATCCGATCCAAAATTGTCGCCGGCAGGGTTGCGTAGTTACTCGTAACTCAGAGTTTTTGACGTAATTTACGTAAAAAACGTATAAAATGTATAAAACTAAACCAAGATGGCGTATTGAAATGAAAAATTTGAAAACACTAGGAACATAAACTTCACAATTCCTTGTTTACAAATTAATAATTATTATCTTATTCTGTTTGGTTGATGATGAGAGAATTGACGAATTCTAAAAAAGGAGGAGAAATTCCATGGAAGGATTTAAAGTTTGAACGACAAAAAGTTGAATCAAAACATGTATCCAAGTGTTTAAATTGTTTTAAAGTATTGCAAAATATAAGTTATGATCGTCTCGTAGGACAATCTGTCGTTACACTGTAAAAAATGATTTTTTGAGAATTTACTAATGAATAGTAAGGTCACAAGGATTACTGTGAGTTGACAATGTTGGACTTAGTTTGAAAGCAAACAATTTGAAATAAAGCGACGTCTAACGTTGTAATTTTACAAAAAACGTTGAAATATTACAAAGAATTTGTAAGATTACAACGTCTGACGTGACTCGAAATATGTTCTACGCCCAACGTTGTAACCTTACAAATTTTTTGTAATATTACAACGTTAGACGTCGCTTTATTCCAAATTGTTTGCTTTCAAACTACGTCCAACATTGTCAATTCACAGAAATCCTTGTAACCTTACAATTCATTAGTTAATTCTCAAAAAATCTTTTTTTAGAGTGTATGAGACACGTGGATACAAGCACTACAAAAGGTTATGTTTATATATGTCAGAATTTGACCACATATTGAAAAGGTAAATTACTTTTTGTAGAAAACTATTGACGTATATTACGTGCGTAAAATACGTATAAAACTCTATGTAATTTACGTGGTGTATATTACGTGCGCAACCCTGGTCGCCGGTCACTTCCCAAGAAAATAGATGCTGATTTTCAGAAAGAGTGAAGATTAAATCCAAATTAGAATGACTACGATGATCAAACGCTGAAAACGTTGGAAGCGAGTCATTAAAAACGACAAAGCCTTGATCCGCATGAAAGATGTCTACCTCTTGATTTTGAATGGGCCTCTCCCCAAGATTCATGGATAGCATTAAAGTCAACACACACAATCGGAAACGAATAGGTGTTGATAAGGTCGAAGATTGTCAGCCAATCATCAAATTCAGTGTGCACATTGGGTGGACAGTACACCAAAAGAAAGAAAACCAACCCCAAATCAGTTTCCACATTCATGGCCAAAAGATCAATCTCTCCTCCACACAGGATTGGTACCATCCCCAACTTAATCTTCAAACCATCCCTAGACAGAATACGAACCCCACGACCTCTTCCAACAATTCAATCAGATCTATGAGCTTATTAAAATTCAATTCTGACGTGAGCCATGTTTCAGATATGCATATTACATCCAATCGATAGGTAAATAAAATTGATTCCACCTCTGCTTTTTTATGTACTACGCTATTGGTATTCCAAAGACCCCATGTAAGATTGTGTTGTGTCATTTGACAAATGAAATAAAAATAAAATTATAATAAGGCAAGATTAAACTGGAATTAAGTAAAACAAAAATAACTAAGGATGTAAAAAACAAGAACATCCAATAAACAAAACAGACAAAACAGTGTCAATTCGAACCAAAATAATCCAAGGGTCAAAAATTATGATCGGGGACGAAAAGTCCCAAAAAAGAAAAAAATCC